TTTTTTGTTCCATTGCTTCTACTTTTAATTCCACATGATCTATTTTTGTTTCCGTTTTCCTAATTCTCTGTTCATTTTCTGCTATAGAATTTTGAATGCCCCCAATTTTATCCTTCATGGTCTTGATATCTTCCTTGACTTCTCCTAATTCATTTCTAATCTCTGCATGGAACGTTCTCATTTCTTCCTGATTTTCAGCTATTTTTTCTTGTGTTTGGAGCAGTGTTTCCTGGATCTTTTGAAACATATCTTGTATTACATTTGGTGCCATTTCCAGTTTTTCTTTTTCTTTCCCATCATGCTATCTATTGTTTTTTGTTGTGAGGGGGTAGGAGTCATTACTGACGTATTGGTTGTAGGTTTTTTCCCTGTCTTTGTTATGGTGGATGTTGTAGACATTTTCAATATTCAAGCTTTCCAACCTTAACATCAATTATTAAGTTATTCCTTAGTATCTCTTTTCCCCTCCAAACACTGCTTATACACCACACAGCTTATATATAGTTATATTATATTATATTGCCAGTTATCCCAATTGAGCAATTAATTCTTGTTCACAGTATAAATCAATTTACTTATCAATCAAGATTTTAGTTTAATTTTCTTAATTTTCTAATTAGCAATCTTTTAAATTACCCCCTTTTTCAATCAGTCTATCTCAGACATACAGTAAACTCATCTGTTATTTTGTATAAAAATCAACCTTTCACTTTAACAATAATTCCTTATCTAACCACAATTTCACAATACAATTTATAGCTATAAAAATATTATCAACTTATATATTTCTTTTAAATATTAAACTTATTAACTAATTAAACAGTTCAAAATTAATAATTCACTTAATTTTTATTTTCTTTAGTCTTTATTGTCTTCTTGCTTTACCTCTCTCAATCCGTTCTTTCACAGTCATAAAAAACGCGATCTGTGTCCGTCTCAGTCTTTTTTTTTTTTAATTACTTCTCCTAGTAATCGGATCTCTGCATTCAGTTTTCAAATCTTTTTTTTTTTAACTTAAGTTCTTATTGTCCAAAGTTATTTGTAAATCCAAAGTCCGAAATCCAGACAGGTCTTCTGTATCCGTGAATTTCATCACTTAGTCCGGTATTTCAGTCTCTGCACTCAGTTTTCCGATATTTTGGGGTTTGAATCAGTTATAATTCCCAGGTTCAAATGGCTTGTCTATATCCACACCACAGAGTCCACAGGCTGCTCCCTTTGCTCAACTGTAAAAGTCCGCACTCACACCGCTTCGAGCGCTATTTCTCCTTTCTTATGTTTGCTTAGTCATTCTATGGGTTCCTCTCTTCCACGCTGTAGTTGTTTCCCCTTTTTTCCTTCTCCTCTTGTATCTCCACTGTTGTAACTCACTTGTCTTCCTCTGATTCGATCGCGCGTCCCCTGTTTACCGCCTCTATTGTAGGTGATCTATCTGACAGTCACTCGGATTTGCTTCCACTTTTTGCTTCAATCTAGGCGGGCGCCATCACTCCTGTCCGCAGATAAGGCCGACTTCTTCTCCACCAATTTAAGAGGTTGATCGCTTGACCTCCCTGATGACAGCGCAACACCAGGGGGCTTCGCAAGTTCCTCTTTCGTTTCCCGATCCCTCCAAGTTTGGGAATGCCCTTAAAGAGCAATTAATGAGGAAATTTGGGTATCAGAGACGGAGCCTCCGTTTCCTCACCCGTTCGTGATGACGTCACCGCCGGAAGTCCCAATTTTTGTTTTAAATATAGAACAGAACGTGTTTATTTCAAACTGAAAAAAACTTCTCACAATACACAAATTTTGTTACAAGTAGAGAAAACTTGGATAATTTTGCATAGTCTTGTATTGTTATGCTATTATTATTATTGTATACATTTCAATTTTATGATTTATTTTTCATACCTAGGTCTATTGGGAACATTTTACGTATAAATTTGCAAATAAATGAAACAACTATTTTGGCCTTCTAGATTTTTTTTTATTAGATGCAAAAGATTTCATCATGTTCAATAGCATTTTTTTACCTTTTTACTTTAAAATAGTTAGTTGGAAATAAACATTGTAATTGGGGAAACAGAAATTATAATTCTACTACATCCTAAAGATAGATGGGTAGTTGGAAAATAATTGTAAGAAATATAGTTAAAGATGTTGTGTCCTTTTATTGCAACAGCATTGTTATGAATATTCTCTGAATGTTTAATAAAACTGAAGGACTGCCACTTAAGAACACCTACATAAGACATAAAAAAGATTTCATGAAAAACATTTTTATTCTTCTGTTGATGAAAACCACTACCGTATTTTCCGGCATATAAGATGACTTTTTAACACAGGAAAATCACCTCAAAAGTTGGGGGTCGTCTTATACGCCGGGTACCCGAATCTGAGTTGCTGGCGCTGACCGATGACGCTACGGGAGCGCCGACAACATTGAGGGGAAGCTGTGCCGATCTCGTCAAGGCTGCATGCCACTCAATGCTGGAACCAGCTGGTTGCTACGGGGAGCTTCCCCTGCCGTCCCAGGCATCCAGGGGGATATTACCGACGCTCCGACTTCCCCAGCTGACCACCAGTGATGGCGAGCCCCACCTGTCTGGGGAAGTCGGAGCGTCGGTAATATCCCCCTGGATGCCTGGGGGAAGCTCCGCTCAGAAACCAGCTGGTTCCAGCATTGAGTGGCATGCAGCCTTGACGAGATCTGCACAGCTTCCTGAATCTGAGTTGCTGGCGCTGACTGATGATGCTACATCAGTCTCTCAGGGAGATGCTTGACTTCCTCTCAGCCCCAAGACACTGGCTGGCCATTGAGATGAGAGAGAGAGAGAATGGGAGAGAAAGAGAGAGAATCAGAATGAGACAGAGAGAGAAAGAGACAAAGGATGAAAGAGAGAATGAGAGAGAGAGAATCAGAATGAGACAGAGAGAGAAAGAGACAAAGAATGAGAGAGAGAGAAAGACAGAATGAAAGAGAATGAGAGAAAGAGAGAGAGAATCAGAGAGAGAGAGAGAATGAGACAGAATGAAAGAGAGAGAATCAAAGAATCAGAATGAGAGAGAGAGAGAGAGAGAGAAAATGAAAGAGAATCAGAATGAGAGAGAGAAAGTGGGGGGAGAGAGAAAGGGGGACAGAGAGAAAGAGAGAATGAGAGAGTGGGGGGGAGAGAAGGGGAGAGAGAAAGAGAAAGGGTGGGAGAAAGAGAGAAAGAGGGTGGAGAAAGAATGAGAGAAAGAGTGGGAGAGAGAGAGAAAGAGAGAATGAGAGAGTGGGGGAGAGAGGGGGGAGAGAGAAAGAGAGAATGAGAAAGAGTGGGAGAGAAAGAAAGAGAGGGAGAGAGAAAGAGAAAGCGAAAATGAGAAAGAGTGGGAGACAGAGAGAGAGAGAGACAGAGAGGAGGGAGAGTGCCTGAAGGACCCCATCCTGTACTGGGAGTCCAGATGATTACATTAACAGTAACAATATTTAATCTTCCTGTATTTTTAAAGCTTTTATATGTTTCCGTCCCCTATTGCAGTGCAGGCTCCAACATGTTGTACTTACTATAGCCTTCAGCACCCATACAAAAAAAATTCATATCCCTGGTTTATGGTTAAGATGCCCAATTTATGGTATTTCAGCCAGAAGTAATCTGCATTATACCGGATAATGCACTTAAGTTCAATTTAAACCTTAAGCAGAATGGCTTGCCTCAAGTCTTTATGACTAAGCATGTTTGCTTTAACCAGGCTTTATGCCAATACTATGTAATTGGAAACTGTTTTTAGTAAAACCTTAAAAGTGTTTTTTCCCCCTCTTTTTTAAGAAAATGGATGAGGAAGGATATAAGTACAGTGTGCTTTGTTGGCTGGTAAAATCATTATTGTCTGAACCGCGAAATTTAAAATTATGAAGTTGGTGGTCCCTGAGGTCCAAAAGGTTGGGTACCCCTGGCCTAAGACCATCGGAAAACACATATTTTTGATGGTTTTAGGAATAACTTTATCGTTGGGGGTCACCACAACATGAGGAACTGTATTAAAGGGTCGCGGCATTAGGAAGGTTGAGAACCACTGCCTTAGCTGCTTGCCTTGCTTCGCTTGCCTGAATCCATTCCATCAGCAAGCAACTCCCTGCCTGCAATCAAGCAGGCAGGGAGTTGTGGACTTCAACTCCCAGAATTCCTCAGCCAGCAAAACAAAGCTGGCTGAGGAATTCTGGGAGTTGAAGTCTACAAGTCTTAAAGTTGCCAAGGTTGGAGACCCCTGTTCTATTGGGTAAGTTTTTTTCCCCTTTGGGATCTTTTAAAAAAATAGTTAATTGGGTTTTTTTTTAGTTGTTCTTTTTTAGATCTAGCCATTTAAAGTTTAGGAAGTTTTAAATTTAGCTTTCATATAAAAATTAAATTAAAATAAAATAATATTTGTGCAGCTTTCTGAGATTTAGTATGTTTTTGTAGTGTTTCACTCTAACTACACAAACACACAAAATTTCACAAAGCTGTATGTGGAATTTTGTGTGTGTAAAGTGTGAAAGTTGGGTTTTTGGGCTTTTTGTGGCTGTGTGAGGTTCCTGCTTGTTTCAGGGGCCATTTTGGGTCTAGCACAGCTGCTTTTACATTGTGGGTGAGCCAGTTGTATTGTGTTGTGTTGTGTGTGTGTAAAGTGTGAAAGTTGTTTTTTTTTGGGCTTTTTGTGGCTGTGTGAGGTTCCTGCTTGTTGCAGGGGCCATTTTGGATCTAGCACAGCTGCTTTTACATTGTGGGTGAGCCAGTTGATGTTTTTTTAATTTTTATTTGGTGTGCGTTGGAAGAGGGGTAGTCTTATACGGTGAGTATAGCCCAAACCCTATATTTAAACAGGAAAATTTTGGGGTCGTCTTATACGCCCAGTCATCTTATACACCGGAAAATACGGTACATTCCTATAATTTACCTGAGATGAGAACTTGTTAACTTTTTAACTAGTAAAGGCAACACAATTTATTAATCTGGTATTTCTTTCTGCTTTTTATTCTCAATAACTAATAAAAGGTGACATATCAGAGGAGTGCTTTGGATTTCCTTCAGAATGCGGACAGACAAAGTTTGTTAATGGAAACCAATATTTTGCATGCACAGCTAATCAGGCAAGGTGAAGAAAAGGAAGAAATAGAAATTCATCCAAAATGTCAAGGTAATGTGTAAAACTGTTTGATCAATGGGGTTACCTTCACTTCCCTTGCATCAGACTTCTTTTCTAGGCTTCAGTTTGAAAAAAAAAAGAGGTTTGTGTGTTATTATTGGTATATGTGAACTAGTAACAAGGATACCAAAAACTCAACTTGGACAACATATCATATGATCATGATCTCACTTAACCAACTTCAGAAGACAGAAAGTAGCATTAACAATGCCAAGGCCACAAGGTTCAGCTACTTGAGAGATTCCTGACCTCTCAGGTTAAAGACATTTGAGGTATTATCCCAAGAGCTTGACAAATAAAAATTAGTGGCCTAATTTTAGAGTGAAATTCTTGCAGTGAGTTTAAAATTATTATATGATAATAATTTATAATATGGAACACTGTAATGGAAATAATTTCATTAGAGGACTAAAGATTAAACACACGTTTACTATTATTGAAGTTAAACATTTTCTATAAATAAGAAACTGGTTTTCTTCTTTGTTCAGGATTTTGTTTCAATATGACAGATTAGCATGTTTAGTCTGTTTCTTACTGTGTAACAATGCACTCCCTAGAACTGTTGGAATACAATATGGAAATGCAAATAGAGCTCAAAAATACCAAGGACAGAACAGCTGAACTTCAAGAGCAGCTCAGTTCTGAAAGGATGGTGATTGCAGAACTGAAGAATGAACTTGGGCAAACCAAGCTGGAATTGGAAACAACCCTAAAAGCACAACATAAGCACTTGAGGGATCTGGAAGCTATCAGGTATAATTTTCAAGGACTGTTTTCTTTAGCACTATAGAAGATCGTGCATATATGTGTGTGTGTGTGTGTGTGTGTGTGTGTGTGTGTGTGTGTGTGTGTACAGTTAATATCTCGGGTTTCTTCCCGTGTAATTGTAAACATATCCTTAAAAGGATAGTAGCGACGTTTCGACGAAATCGCATTCGTCATCTTCTGGCTGAAGTTCTCGGTTTGGTGCTTATGGGCAAACACCAAACCGAGAACTTCAGCCAGAAGATGACAAATGCGATTTTGTCGAAACGTCGCTACTACCCTTTTAAGGATATATTTACAATTACACAGGAAGAAACCCGAGATATTAACTGTACACACATATATACCCGTGAAAACTTACATAAATATATATATATATTAAGAATTGTCCTAAAGATGCGAGTTCCAGGTATAGTTATAGAAGAGGCAATAGACATCATGATCTCTGGAACATTTAAAAGTTTAAAAATTTTTATTTTAAAACTTGTGCTAAGCTTTCGTCAGCCCCTACCGACTTCATCAGAGTATAAAATCCCCATTGAGGAGCTGCTTGCTTTTATGTAATGCTGATCAATTTGGTCATTGCACGTGTAACAGGCCCACACCCTTGCCTTCCCCCTGTAATTATCTTTTTTTCTGCCTTAGTCATGCTGACAGATGTCGATGCACTTTCCCCTGCCTCCTTCCCCATTATGTGTTGTCTCTTTCTCTCCCTGGGGGGTAACGCAGGGTTATCAGGCATTGCTTTGAAGGTATTTCTCCCGGCTCCCTCTCCCTCATTGTTATGCCTTTCCCTTTTTTTATTTTTATTTATTTATTTTCAATTTATATACCGCCCTTCTCCCTGAGGACTCAGGGCGGTGCACAGCCAGAATTAAAAACATGAAATACAAATATTAAAAACAGTTAAAATCTATTTAAATTTGGCCCAAAAATTTAAAAAACCACAGACCAATTAAACATTTAAAAAATTTAAAAAATTTCTTCCTAAGCCAGCCCGGCTTGCTGGAAAAAGTGGGTTTTAAGGGCACGGCGGAAGGCACTGAGGTCTTGGATTCTCCTTATCTCTGGGGGCAACTGATTCCAGAGGGTAGGTGCCCCCACAGAGAAGGCTCTCCCCCTGGGGGTCACCAGCCTACATAGTTTGGCTGATGGCACCCTAAGGAGGCCCTCTCTGTGGGAGCGCACGGGTCGCTGGGAGGTCGTCGGTAGCAGCAGGCGGTCTCAAAGATAGCTAGGCCTTATGCCATGGAGCGCTTTAAAGGTGATAACCAACACCTTGAAGTGCACCCGGAAGACCACCGGGAGCCAGTGCAGCTCACGCAGGAGCAGTGTTACATGGGAGCGCCATGCTGCTCCCATCACTACCCGCACTGCTGCGTTCTGGACCAGCTGGAGTCTCCGGGTGCCCCTCAAGGGGAGCCCCATGTAGAGAGCATTGCAGTAGTCAAGGCGAGAGGTGACGAGGGCGTGAGTGACTGTGCACAGGGAATCCCGATCAAGAATAGGCCGCAACTGACGAATCAGGCGAACCTGATAAAAGGTCCCCCTGTTTACAGCCGTCAGATGTTCCTCCAAGGACAGCTGCATATCCAGGAGGACTCCCAGATTGCGAGCCCTTTCTGTGGGGGCCAAGGACTCGTCCCCAATAGTCAGTGATGGAGTCAACTGACTATATCGGGATGCCAGGAGCCACAGCCACTCAGTCTTGGAAGGGTTGAGCTTGAGCCTGTTCCTCCCCATCCAGATCCGCACAGCCTCCAGGCACTGAGACATCACTTCAAGGGCATCGTTGGGGTGGCCTGGGGTGGAGATGTACAGCTGGGTGTTATCAGCGTACTGATGGTATCTCACCCCAAAGCCACGGATGATCTCGCCCAGTGGCTTCACATAAATGTTGAACAGAAGGGGCGAGAGGACCGATCCCTGCGGCACTCCACAGACGAGAGGCCTCGAGGTCGACCTCTGCCCCCCTGCCAACACAAACTGCAACCGGTTGGAGAGAAAGGAGAACCACCGCAATACGGTGCCTCCCACCCCCAACTCTTCCAGCCGGTGCAGCATGATACCATGGTCGATGGTATCAAAAGCCGCTGAGAGGTCTAACAGGACCAGAACAGAGGAGCAACCCCGAGCCCTCCAGAGATCATCAACCAACGCGACCAATGCCGTTTCCGTGCTGTGCCCAGACCTGAAACCCGACTGGAATGGATCTAGATAAGATGTTTCCTCCAGGAATTGTGGAAACTGTCGCGCGACCACACTCTCAACAACCTTCGCCATGAAGCGAAGGTTGGAGACAGGATGATAGTTGGCCAATATTGCCGGATCCAGGGACGGCTTCTTGAGGAGAGGCCTCACCACCGCTTCTTTCAAGGCAGCGGGGAAGTAACCCTCACTCAACGAAGTGTTGATAACACCCTGGAGCCAGCCTCGTGTAACCTCCCGGGAAGCCAGTACCAACCAGGAGGGACACGGGTCCAGTAAACATGTGGCCGTACTAAGTCTCCCCAAAATCCTGTCCACATCATCAGGAGTCACAGCATTAAACTCCTCCCAGATAACATTCTCAAGACTATTCCTCGTCACCCTGCCCTGATCTACCCAGTCAGAGTCCAAATCCCCCCGGATCTGAGCGATTTTGTCATACAGGTATTGTCCGAAATCCTCCGCCCTGCCTTCCAAGGTATCCTCCCGCACTCCCGGATGGAGCAGGGAACGGGTCACCCTAAACAGGGCGGCCGGACGATTCCCTGATGACGCAATAGAGGCGGATGTCAGGGCATTTATTAATCCCATGTTTGGCTCTGGGACTAATTACCCTGGTTTTGGAGGAGATGGATCGTGGCTTATTCCAAGTTGCAATAATCTGAAAAGAAACGCGAGGAAGGTTTCTAATAAAACTCATTTATTTGTTATAAAGAAAATAAAACACCTCACTAACTAAGAAAAGTTAATTGTTACATTTTTGAAAGTAATTCTTGCCGGCTATCTGAGCCGGACCTCTGGCAAGAGAACAAAGGAAAGAGAGTGTGAAGGAATGTGGGTGGATACGGAAACACGTAGCTTACTGATAAGAAGTTGGCAAAGCTACGGAGAGTCTGACAGTCCAGAAATAATGTCGTTGCCGCGCGGCAGGGAGCCAGGTACGCAAGCAACAAGCCCATCTGAACCCCATGACCCCATCTCACAAAGAGGGATTCACATCCGGCAATCTGTGGCACAGTGGTCTCCCTCGGACCAAGATCTTCGTTAATAATAACCGCCACCCCCCGCCCCTCCCCTGGGCCCTCGGCTGATGGAATGCTGATGGAATGCTCTGAAGCCTGGTGGGCACATCTCAACCAGAGGGACTCCTCCCTCCGGGCCCAACCAGGTCTCCATAAGACCCGCCAGGTCCGCTCCCCCTTTTAGGCACGCACGTTGCCTCCTCTAAACTCATTTGTTTTACCCATGATCTTGTGATGGGTCTGCGTTGTTCTTCCTTATCCCCCCATCTTCCTCATTCTGCTTTTTCCCTAACCTACTCTCTTGCCCTCTACCAGGGTTTATCACACCTTCATTGGGCCACTCTCCATGCCTGAAGGAGGAGATTTGTCCCCGATCTCCATTCAGTCTTAGTGATCGGTCCTCCTTAAGTCTTTCCTGGTGCCGTAAAGCCTGGTATGCCGGTGGTATGTCAATATATCTATTGAGGGAGTTGTTATTAGAGAACCAGGCTTCTTTCAAGAGGCACCCTCCTTTTGTTTCGTCGTGGGCAACTACTTCGGTCTCTTGGAAGTTGAACTCGTGACCATGCTCCTCCATATGCATCCAAATCTGGGAGCGCTGTTCCTTACGTCTGACCGCTAGTTTGTGCTCATGCACCCTTGTTTTCAGTCGTTTTGATGTTTCTCCTATGTAATGACCTGCGCAATTGCTGCAGTTAATATGATAGATTATTGAGGAAGTCTCCTACTTCGGCAAAGCTTCTTTCGGACGCATTACTCTCTTCCTCAGTGTTTGGTCAGATCTCTGTGCCACTTTAACCCCATGTGGTGCAAGGATGCGTGCCGCAGTTTCGGACACCCCTGTATGTATGGGAGCATCCTCCACGTTGTTGTTCCGCATGCGCCCTCCATGGGCTGCCGGGCCCTGGGTGTAATACAGCAATGGATAAAAGCAATGCCTGATAACCCTGTGTTACACCCCAGGGAGAGAAAGAGGCAACACACAATGAGGAAGGAGGCAGGGTGCATCGTCATCCGTCAGCATGACTAAGGCAGAAAAAAAGATAATTACAGGGGGAAGGCAAGGGTGTGGGCCTGTTACACCCGCAATGACCAAATTGATCAGCATTACATAAAAGCAAGCAGCTCCTCAATGGGGATTTTATACTCTGACGAAGTCGGTAGGGGCCGACAAAAGCTTAGCACAAGTTTTAAAATAAAAATTTTTAAACTTTTAAACATTCCGGGGATCGTGATGTCTATCGCCTCTTTTTTTTATTTTTATTTTTTTTTATTTTATTTTGAATTTGTATACCGCCCTTCTGCCTGAGGACTCAGGGCGGTGAACAGCCAAGTAAAAACATCAAGTACAAATATTAAAATACAGTTAAAATATACATATATAAATTTGGCACCATTAATTAAAAACAATAAACAAAACACTTAAAAACACTTAAAAAATTAGGCCAGCCCGGCTTGCTGGAAAAGGAAGGTTTTAAGGGCATGGCGGAAGGCACTGAGGTCTTGGATTCTCCTTATCTCTGGAGGCAATTGATTCCAGAGGGTAGGTGCCCCCACAGAGAAGGCCCTCCCCCTGGGGGTCACCAGCCTGCACTGTTTGGCTGATGGCACCCCGAGGAGGCCCTCTCTGTGGGAGCGCACGGGTCGATGGGAGATCGTCGATGGCAGCAGGCGGTCTCGAAGATACCTAGGCCCTATGCCATGGAGCGCTTTAAAGGTGATAACCAACACCTTGAAGCGCACCCGGAAGACCACTCGGAGCCAGTGCAGCTCGCGCAGGAGCGGTGTTACATGGGAGCGCCAGGCTGCTCCCGTCACTACCCGCGCTGCTGCATTCTGGACCAGTTGGAGCCTCCGGGTGCTCCTCAAGGGGAGCCCCATGTAGAGAGTGTTGCAGTAGTCAAGGCGAGAGGTGACGAGGGCATGAGTGACTGTGCACAGGGAATCCCGATCAAGAAAGGGCCGCAACTGGCGGATCAGGCGAACCTGACAAAAGGTTCCCCTGGTTACAGCCGTCAGATGTTCCTCCAAGGACAGCTGCCTATCCAGGAGGACTCCCAGATTGCGAGCCCTCTCTGTGGGGGCCAACAACTCGCCCCCAATAGTCAGTGATGGAGTCAACTGACTATATCGGGATGCTGGGAGCCACAGCCACTCAGTCTTGGAAGGGTTGAGCCTGAGCCTGTTCCTCCCCATCCAGATCCGCACAGCCTCCAGGCACTGGGACATCACTTCAAGGGCATCGTTGGGGTGGCCTGGGCTGGAGATGTACAGCTGGGTGTCATCAGCGTACTGGTGGTATCTCACCCCAAAGCCACGGATGATCTCGCCCAGCGGCTTCACATAAATGTTGAACAGGAGGGGCGAGAGGACCGACCCCTGAGGCACTCCACATATAAGAGGCCTTGAGGTCGACCTCTGCCCCCCTGCCAACACGAACTGCGACCGGTCGGAGAGAAAGGAGGAGAACCACCGTAATACGGTGCCCCCCATCCCCAACTCTTCCAACCGGTGCAGCATGATACCATGGTCGATGGTATCAAAAGCCGCTGAGAGGTCTAACAGGACCAGAACAGAGGAACAACCCCTGTCCCGAGCCCTCCAGAGATCATCAACCAACGCGACCAATGCCGTTTCCGTGCTGTGTCCAGGCCTGAAACCCGACTGGAACGGATCTAGATAGGATGTTTCCTCCAAGAATTGTGGAAACTGTCGCGCGACCACACTCTCAACAACCTTCGCCAGGAAGCGAAGGTTGGAGACAGGACGATAGTTGGCCAATATTGCCGGATCCAGGGACGGCTTCTTGAGGAGAGGCCTCACCACCGCTTCTTTCAAGGCAGCGGGGAAGTGACCCTCACTCAACGAAGCGTTGATAACACCCTGGAGCCAGCCTCGTGTAACCTCCCGGGAGGCCAGTACCAACCAGGAGGGACACGGGTCCAGTAAACATGTGGCCGCACTAAGTCTCCCCAAAATCCTGTCCACATCATCCGGAGTCACAGCATCAAACTCCTCCCAGGTAACATTCTCAAGACTATTCCTCGTCACCCTGCCCTGATTTACCCAGTCAGAGTCCAAATCCCCCCGGATCTGAGCGATTTTGTCATACAGGTATTGTCCGAAATCCTCCGCCCTGCCTTCCAAGGGATCCTCCCGCGCTCCCGGATGGAGCAGGGAGCGGGTTACCCTGAACAGGGCGGCCGGACGATTCCCTGATGACGCAATAGAAGCGGAAAAGTAGTTAAACTTTGCCGTCTTTATCGCCACTAGGTAGGTCTTAATATGCGACCTTACCAGTGTTCGGTCAGATTCAGCGAGACTGGCCCTCCAACCGCTCTCTAGGCGTCTTTTCCGGCGTTTCATCTCCCTCAGCTCCTCGGTGAACCAAGGAGCTGCGAGGGATCGACACCGGGTCAGAGGCCGCAAAGGCACGACTCGATCCAAAGCCCCACCAGCCGCCCGATCCCAGGCAGCTACCAGGTCCTCAGCCGAGTCGTGTGCCAGATCTTCAGGAATTGGCCCAAGCTCCGTCTGGAACCTATCAGGATCCATCAGGCGCCTGGGGCGGATCCATCTAATTGGGTCCGCCTCCCTGTGGCGGGGTGTAGCGGTTCGAAGGTCCAGACAAAGGAGTGAGTGATCTGACCATGACAAGGGTTTCATGTCTATATCCCCTATAATAAGACCACTCAACCACTGGCCAGAGACAAAAATCAGGTCCAGCGTGTGTCCCCCCCTGTGAGTGGGGCCATGAACTAACTGGGTCAGGTCCATGGCCGTCATGGAAGCCATGAACTCCCGAGCCATCTCTGACGTTTCACCAACGGACGGCAGATTGAAATCACCCATGACCATAAGCCTGGGTGTATCAACTGCCACCGTGGCTATCACGTCGAGTAGCTCGGACAGGGCCGTTGCCACGCGGCAGGGAGCCAGGTACGTAAGCAGCAAGCTTACATATATGTGTGTGTGTGTGTGTGTGTGTATACACATATATCTCTCCGGGAGACTGTGTTGCTCTCTGGGAGACTCAGAGAGCAACACAGAGTTGCAGTTTGTCAACAGAAAAAAAAAAAGCCCAGAAGCTTGTGAATGGGAGATATCAGATCTCCGGGCTTTTCGCCGTGCCCTAAAAACTGTTTTCTTCCATCAAGCAGGGCTGGCGTGAAACCCCACCCCCCACCCCCTGTTTTTGAGATATTAGATTTTTTAATTGTTTAATGGGTTTTAGTTGTAAGGTTCTTAATGTTTGGCCAAAGGGTATAATTCTTTTAAATTTTTAAATTTTGTATATATATATATATATTCTATTAAAAATCAGTTTTAAAGTGAGGCTGTTCAAATCTTACTCATTTTAATGCAAGATTTACTTTGACTTCTTTTGCTTTTTATCATTTTTAAAATGATTGAAATGAAGAGGCTCTTACAGCAGACATTGTATGGAATTGATTATTTTAATCATATTTTAATTTGATTTATTTGCTTGCTGAATGTTATTGATAAGAGAAAAATAACATTGACAGTCGATATATTAAATGTTCAGTGTTAATCTACTCCTAGTCAATCAAAAAAAGAGTATAGGGGAAGATTAATAGTACAGGTAATATTTACTACTAGAGTATTACTATTATGCCTCTCTCATAATTATTACGTGCCCATGTCAGAATTATTAAGAAGTAAAATTTAGGAAAACTTGCAGCTATGCCTTGTAATGTACAGTTTTGTGCTTAGCACACAAAGGAATATAAATATTTTTTCCTGTTTTAGTTATTTTTCAAATAACTAAAAATAATTTATCTTGGCTTTTATCAGAAATGAACTTAAGGGAAAGGCAACTGAACTTGACATCTTAAAAAACACGATTACAAATGAACAGAAAAAATCAAGGGAGTTTCAATGGGCCCTGGAGAAGGAGAAAGCAAAAGTGGAACACAGTGGTAAAAGAGAAAAAGAAGAAATTGAGGTAACCAATCTTTGTTATTCAAAATATGCAGTGGAATTGATTGCTTTATAAATTATTATGATGAGCAGGAGGAGGAGTTTTTCATTCTTTAGTATATATTTAATAAGATACCATGCATTGTAAAGATTGAGAATTAAGACAGCATCTTTAATGTTTGTATTTCCCCACATACTTTGCAGATGGAGGCTCAAGATTAAAACAACAAATTGCAAAAAGCAGAGTTCATTCCAAATTCCTCAGTGATCAAAACTAGATATTTGTAATTGTTCTTGTCAGAAATTTCCTTGTACCAGATGTAGTCTTTTACACTAAATCATTAACAAAAAGTATTTTTCTATAGGCTTACTGAACAAATTATGAATATGATGAATAGGTAGGTAGTCCTCAACTTAAGATCGGTCACTTAACAACTGTTCAAAGACTTTGGGGGTGAGTTCAGAAGCCAGACTCAGTTCCTAGGAGCACAGAGTGTTAAGAAAGAGACTTAAATCCTAACAAGGCAGCAAGAAACACAGTTAATTGTAGATAAGACTTTATTGAGCAAGGCATTTCCAATTATAGCAATCCAAAATCAAACTGAACATTTACAATGCCAGATGAAGAGAAAGACTTGGCCAAGGTTAATCAACAAGCCAGGTTTGTAAATAACTAGATTCCAAGTTGTCATGATAGAGAAACCAGATGCTGGAGCTGCTTCTAGCAAAAGGCCAATTCTTCCTATAGGAACTTAAGTATTTTCTCTGCTGAGAATGTGTACAGCTGTGATCAAACCTGGCTGATGAATTCAGTGTCTTGCTGTTTGGTCATGACTTGCACTTTGGCAAGGTGCAGGAGGAATTTCTACTGGGGCCAGTGAGCGCCTGGACCAGCCTGGATTATAACTGTGTCAAAGAGGGCATGATGGGGACACTTACAATCTGGATTCAAAGTTCTGATAGTCACTGCCCCGCCTCCGCAGTCATGTGACCACACTTTAAGCACTTGGCATTGGGGCTGCACTTATGGCTGTTTGCAGCATTCCAGGGTCATGTGACTGTATTTTACTATGGTTTTGCTGAAAACAAGCATTTACTACTGTAATGATCAGCCTCCATTACAGTCCTACCTTGAGGACTATCTGTATTTACATAATATAATTGTGAGGGAGAAAGCAACAGCAGAAGTACTTATTGTGCACATGTTTTACAATATTGCTGTGTATTTATAAGACAGTATGATCCCAGGAGCTTGAGATAGTTCACTATAATATCTAATACAGAACTTGGAATTGTGCCAATCTACTTCACTTCACCAAACCTTGAACTGTGCATACTTCATCTCTATAATCCATGTTCAGTAGTGAGGGTTATGAAAGAATAAGCGGCCTGCTGGCATAGATATGTGGGATGTTTATTTTATTACACAAAGAAATATTGGGGATACAAGGAATTTGTCTTAAGTGCATAAGCTCAGTGTACGTAAAAGCTATAAGTGATAAATCAAAAAGTGATAAATATTCCACTTTATCATAAACCTTTCATTACGTTGTACTGGAGAACCAGGTGCAACACATGTAAATGCCTGAATGGCCTTTAAATTCTCATACTGCTCTAACAGTAAAAAAGCAATAAAAGTGACAAAAATATTGTCTACGAGTTTTGAATTTACTGTTTTATAATCATTATTTCATAAATAGTGTAATCGGTTAATATATGAGGACACATTTGAAATATTGTTTCCTTGGGCATTTATTTTATTTCTATATTGTTGTTCTTCCAGTTTATAAGAGAACAATAAACATTGCCTTAAGTAAAGGCATTACAATTAACCATTCTTAAAAAGAATAGAAAATGTAAGCAAAATTATTTTTTTAAAAAAATATCAAAAGCAAAATAACCAGTGATCTTGTTATAGTATAATTTTTTTGTTGAAAAGCTTGCCTCATAGTGACTATATGGGCATATATATATAATTGGCAACAATAGAGAATAACTTTGCCATTGCCTTCTTCCGGGATTTTCTCAATTTCCCAGTTGTTGAGTAGCCTACATCTCTGGATTTCCTGATAGTCTCATTTCTATGTACTAATCAGTTCTGACCCTATTTGTTTCTGAATAAGGACAACAATAGTAGCCAATTAAAATTCCCTCAGGAGAGTTTCGTATTTAGAACATTGCCATTGAGATTGCTCTGCTCTCCTGGTCTGTTGTGATCTGTATGAACAGGGCTATTCATCTTGTCTTAATGCATGCAATCCCAGTCAATTTTAATGCATGATTGGATGGTACTAGAAAAAGCAGTACTTTTATCATCTGGTTCCTCAGCCATTTAGGATTTTAGAGACTAATCACAACACCTAAACTGTGCTATATCCAGATTTAAAGACAGGTTAAAATGGACAGATAATTGGTTTCCTGTAAGTATATTTGTAGTTAGATGGCCATTTCCATGTTCAGCACCAAGAAATAAATGTTTTCCTCCTTTCTGGGAAGACCTCTTTTAAGAGAGACAGGATCATTACCTTTAAAGTATTGGTTATAATTCTTATATATAGAAACACTGTCCATTCTTAGGACACTGTAAGATCCCTGTTGATGCTTAACAATTATGAGTAAGAATCTAGCTCAGATAATTGGTTTAAGCCTCCATAAATGTACATTTCCTTAGGGTCCACTAGGTGAAATTGATTTTGTAAGTACAACTGACTTGACCCCCATAGTTAACAAGAGCAGATGCAAATATTGTTATCCTTCAAAGATATTACAGATATGTTCTGAATCTGTTTCTGTTTTAGCCTCCAGTCAATAAGAAAACTTACTGTTTAAGGATGCAGTGAGGGGGAGAAATTAACTCTCTTTTACATTGCATAAGTGAAGTTACGCATTCTGATCCATGGTCAGTAGTATTTTCCCAAGATGTGTGCTACCTGTGCAGTCAGTAATTCTATGCCTGTTTCCTTTGTCTGATGTTTGGTCTGTAAGCTTAGGATCATTTTGGACTCATCATAACCAAAGATGCTCTTGGGAAACATAATGTCACTGTTTAGTAGAGGTACAGAGATTTCCATAGAACTGTCAGGCATTGCATCTGAAAAAATATTTTAAAAATATTTAGGAATTATCTCTGAGGGTGCATGGCTACTTCTCTCTTTCAGAAAAGATAATTAGAGAAAATTCACATTTCACCATGAAGTGAATTGCACCCCACCAATCATAAATTCCGTGTCAGTCCCCGTCTCCCGCCCCCCCGCCCCCCCGCCACCGCAATCTCAAAGCCAGATGAAAGTAACCAATATGTGTTAGGCCTATTAAAATCCGAGAGTTTTTTTATTCGCTATAAATGCCTTTTTTCAGATTGTATCCACCAGCTCAGGCAGGGAAGATGTTGAACAGCAACATGGGCAGTACAAATACTTACAACATACACCCAAACATGTTGTGCGAGGCCATGGCAACCTCTTCTTCTCCGATCCAACCTGTGCTGGTGCTGTTTATTGGTTACTCAACTAGTAGAGTTGATTTAGATCTCCTTTGTTCCAATATGCCTAAACAGGACTCAGATTAGATCAGCCTTTCATTCCTGAACATTATTTGTTCATTATTTATTCATTATTTATTCCAAGATAGCTTTGCTGACAGTAAAATAAATAGTTATGATTTATAGCTTTACTCCTAAAATCGTAAGTGACATATATCCTCAATATAGTAGTCCAGAAAAAAAATATTGAACAGACTTCTGAATTAAATTTTGAATTAGAATCCTAGCAAGATAAGCATGTGACTAGAGTCTTCCCAAGCTTTTAACTACCAGGTTCTAACATCTTCAAAATTACTGTTTTTTATGGTACATTCCACAGTGGTCTTACAAAGACTTATATACCGACAGTTTTCTTGTTTTTGTTGTTTTCCTCTTGTAAGGATTTGAAATCTTCTTTTGAAAATGAAAGACAGAAGAATATAGAACTGAGTAATCTTTTGGAACTTGAAAGAGAGCTGTCAAATGATTTGCAAAAGAAGATTGAATCCCAGGAAGCACTAAATGCAGTACAACTATCTGAGGAGCACAGCTGTAATTCTGAGCTCCAAGTACTGTTGGAATCTGAGAGGCTCAAAGTTCTTGAGTTATGCAGTGCCCTAGAGAGAGAAAAAGATTTACGTGCCCAGCTCCAGATGATTGAACAGACAAAGCGGGATGGAAGTTCTACACATTCAGAAGAACTGTTCAAAGATTTGCAAAAGCAGTTGGATGAAAAGCATAACCGTATAGTTCTAATGGTTAACGAATTGGAAGAGAACAAATTGGAATGTGTGAAATTGAAACAACAGTTGGAAAAAGAGAGGCAGATTCAGAGGAAAACTCTACAGGCAGAACAAGATGCTAATATCTTGGCACAGAAAAAAATACATGAACTGGAGTCCAGAATGGAAGACTTGCAGTGGCAACTTGAAGAAGAGAGACAACAAGGTCTTCAGTTGCTGGGTAATGGAAAAAAACAGCAAGACATGGTTGAAGAATTACAGCAAAAAATACAGAGAAAAGAGGTAGAATCGCAGGAGGAAAAAGCAACATGTCATGCTGTAAATGAGGTACGTGTCCCTCAGAAACAAAATTATTTTGCCTTTTAGTATTAGAGGTGGTTATTAATACATTTATATTCGTTATTTGTCCAGAGTAATTTTCAAAAACCTGCCTTTATTTATTGCTCATTTATAAATAATTTCATTGTTTCCTATAATGCAGATGACACTAACAATATGAGGAGAATGTCCATAAGCATGATTTCTGGGATTAGGCACAAATGGGCACTTAATATTTTGCAAAGCCCTTCTGAAAACTCCCAGATAATGTATAGGATGGAAATCTCCACTTCTAGTGTCAGGGAAGTCCAATTCCACATCCACTCAGTTTTTTCAGGGTTGATCTGAAGCCTTTACTTCTGCAACTAAGGTTCTTCAATCTCAAGACACTAGGACAGAACCTCAGAGCATCACTTGATTAGTCTGTGGCGGGGGGGAGAGGGCAATGGGGAGAGAGAGAGACAGATGTATTGACAGATTATTTCCCCCAGCAACTTCCTGCAGATGATAAAAAAGCAGGGAAAGAATATAACCCTGACTCACTCCACAAGGTTTAGGTTTAGGTTTTATTTGATTTATATACCGCCCTACTCCCGAAGGACTCAGGGCGGTGAACAACCACAAGATAAAACACATAAATACAAAATTTAAAAGCAAAATAAAACCGAATTAAACAATTTGGCCCAAGACAGATTTAAAACACTCCAGTAATTAAGAACAGATTAAAATTTACATTTTAAAAGGGAAAATTAGGCCAGGCCAGCCTGATGGAATAAAAAGATCTTGAGAGGGTGGCAGAAGGTGCGTAGATCCGGGATCTTCCGTATATCCGGGGGGAGCTCATTCCAGATGGTAGGTGCCCCCACAGAGAAGGCTCTCCCCCTGGGGGCCGCCAGTTGACATCGTTTGGCCGACGGCACCTGGAGGAGCCCCTCTCTATGAGAGTGTACTGGCCGGTGGGAGGCTACTGGTGGCAGCAGGCGGTCCTGTAGGTAACCAGGTCCTAAGCCATGGAGCGCTCTAAAGGTGATAACCAAAATCTTGAAGTGCACATGGAAGACCACCGGGAGCCAGTGCAGCTCGCGCAGGAGAGGTGTTACATGGGAACGCCATGTCGCTCCCATAGCCACCCGCACGGCCGCACTCTGCGCCAGTTGAAGCCTCCGGGTGCTCCTAAGGGGAGCCCCATGTAGAGAGCGTTACAGTAGTCCAGGTGGGAAGTGACGAGGGCATGAGTGACCATGCGTAAGGAGTCCCAATCCAGAAAGGGACGCAACTGGCGAATCAGGTGAACCTGATGAAAAATCCTCCTGGTCACGGCCGTCAAGTGCTCTTCTAAAGACAGCCGTGAATCCAGGAGGACGCCCAGGTTGCGAGCCCTCTCCATGAGGGCCAGCGATTCGCCCCCAATAGTCAGTAATGGCACCAACTGACTATATCGGGACGTCAGAAACCACAGCCACTCGGTCTTGGATGGGTTAAGCCTGAGCCTGTTTCTACCCATCCAGATCTGCACGGCCTCCAGGCACCAGGACATCAGTTCAAGGGCATCGTTGGGGTGGTCCGGGGTGGAGATGTACAGCTGAGTGTCGTCAGCGTACTGATGGTAGTCCACCCCGAAACCACGGATGATCTCGCCCAACGGCTTTACATAAATGTGGAACAGAAGGGGCGAGAGGACCGACCCTTGTGGCACCCCACATATGAGGCACCTCGGGGTCGACCTCTGCTCCCCTGCCAACACAGACTGCAACCAGTCGGAAAGAAAGGAGGAGAACCACCGCAACACAGCGCCCTCCACCCCTAACTCTTCCAACCGATGCAGCATGATACCATGGTCGATGGTATCAAAAGCCGCTGAGAGATCTAATAGGACCAGGACAGAGGAGCAATCTCTGTCCCGAGCCCTCCATAGATGATCAACCAACGCGACCAGTGCCGTTTCCGTGCTGTACCCAGGCCTGAAGCCCGACTGGAACAGATCCAGATATACCATTTCATCTAGTGCTGGGGGAGCTATCGCGCAACCACACTCTCAACAACCTTCGCCACAAAGTGAAGGTTGGAGACCGGACGATAATTTGACAACACTGCCGGGTCCAGTGAAGGCTTCTTGAGGAGAGGCCTCACCACCGCCTCTTTCAAGGTGGCGGGGAAGCATTTATAATCCCCTGGAGCCAGCCTCGCGTCACCTCCCAAGAAGCCAGCACTAACCAGGAGGGACACGGGTCCAACAAACATGTCGCGTTCAGTCTACCCAGAATCCTGTCCACATCATCAGGAGTCACAGGATCAAACTCATCCCAGATAACATTCTCAAGACCTGTCTCAGTCATGCCCCCTGAAACTACCCAGTCGGAGTCCAGGTCTTCCCAAATCTGAGTGATTTTGTCATGCAAATACTGTACAAAGTCCTCGGCTCTACCCTCCAAGGGGTCCTCCCGCACTCCCTGGTGGAGCAAGGAGTGGGTCACCCTAAACAGGGCGGCCGAGTGGTTATCTGATGACTCAATAAGAGCAGCAAAATAATTACACTTTGCTGCTTTTATCGCCACTAGGTAATTCTTAATATGAGATCTTACCAGTGTCCGATCAGATTCAGAAAGGCTGGCCCTCCAACTGCTCTCTAGGCATCTTTTCCGGCGCTTCATCTCCCTTAGCTCCTCAGTAAACCAAGGAGCCAGATGAGATCGGCGCCGGGTCAGAGGACGCAAAGGCATGACCCGACCCAGAGCTCCAGCGGCTGCCCTATCCCAGGCGGCCACTAGGTCTCCAGTTGAGGCGTGAGCCAGAGCCTCAGGGAATGGCCCAAGCTCCATCTGGAACCTATCAGGCTCCATCAGGCGCCTGGGGCGGAACCATCTTACCGGCTCCGCCTCCTGTGGCGAGGTGCAGCGGTTCAAAGGTCAAGACGAAGGAGAGAGTGATCTGACCATGACAAGGGCTTGGTGACTATATCCCCTATCTCAAGATCACTCAACCACTGTCCAGAGACAAAAATCAGGTCCAGCGTGTTTCCCCCCGTGTGGGTAGAGCCATGAATTAGCTGGGTCAGGTCCATAGCTGTCATGGAAGCCATGAACTCCCGAGCCGCCTCAGATGTCTCACCCACGGACGGCAGGTTGAAATCCCCCATGACCATAAGTCTAGGGGTGTCAACCGCCACTGCTGCAATGACGTTGAGTAGCTCGGGCAGGACTGCTGCCATGTGGCAGGGAGCCAGGTACGTGATCAGCAAACCCATCTGTACCCCATGACCCCACTTCACAAGGAGGGACTCACAGCCAGCTGTCTGAGGAACAGTGACCTCCCTCGGTCTAAGATCTTTAATAATAACCGCTACCCCACCCCGCCCCGCCCCTGTGACCTTGGCTGATGGAATGCATGGAAACCTGGTGGGCACATTTCAATGATGGGACCCCCCATCCTGGCCCAACCAGGTCTCTGTAATACCTGCCAGATCCGCTCTCCCCTCCTGAACAAGATCACAAATGAGGGGGGCTTTATTTACTACAGACCTGGAATTGCACAACATCAGCCGAAGGCCTGGGCCCTGAGGTCTGTGCAACCTGGGGAACGAGTGGAGCCTTGGGGGCTGGAGCGCGCCACCGCTCGTAAACAGCGAGCGTGCGCTCCCCTGACACGATATGGCCCCCTGCTCCCCCCGTATCTGCCATCCCACCCACAGTATTGATGTTAGAAACACCATCTGGATAAGCTCTAACCGCCCCCTCGACCCCGGGTCCCCCACCCCCCATGCCGCGCTTCACAGCCAGACCTGACCCTCCCCTTAGTAGATTATCCCCCATATCCACAGGCCGAATTCTAATCTGACCCTTCCCCCCCAGAACCCCTTAAAAGTTTGACTAAAAATTTGTGTAAAAAACCCCTCAACCCCCTCTTCGCGGCATGCCACCTTTCTGGGTTCCAAGACCTGTCATCAAGGTAGGCCCTCGATAATGTGGAGGGCCAGACCTGCGAGAGGGGGGAGTCTCGCAGCGCAAGAAGTTCAACAGTTGAGTACATCCACAAAACGGAAAAGGTGAAGATGACCTCTGGCCAGGGTTCCAAAGAGTCTAAAAGTCCTGAAGACAAAGAGGCAGCAAACTCAAAGGCGTGGGTAACTGGATTCCACTGTCCTCCCACGACTGGGAGGAGTCTTATGCCATTTCAGCAAATCCAGGGAGTGTTCCTCCCAGGCATCCTCTCACGATGTCTGGCCAGATGGAATATGCTATGGAGAAGTTCAAAAAACTGTCCCCTCTGGTAAGGAATAGCAGTAGTAACCCGGACTCTGTCAGGGCCCACATCATAGCTGTCCATTTGTCCCATGGTCAGGGGCATAGATATAACAAAGCAGGAGTCTGGAGCTAGACTGCTCTCCTCTTACAATCACTGATTGGAACTGGTCTGTGAGAGAGGAGAACGGCAGCAACATTGTCTCTCACTCTAAAGCAGGGGTGAAATGCTACTGGTTTGCTCTGGTTTGACAATCAGCTGTGCCATGTGATCATCAGAACCTTTTTTTTACTTTTTAAACTACTGGTTTGCCTGAACCGGTAATTTTTATCAGTAAAAGCTCTGCTGAGAGACAGTTGGGTGTAGTGGGTCTGGGAGAGAGAAGAAGCTACGTTTCCATTTGTGGAGTAAAGCAGTCTGAAGCAGCTAGAAAGAGATAATTGTTCTGTAATAGTATTCACAAGGTGTAGGTGTAATAGGAGAAGGAGTGATAATTGCAGTAGCAGTAGTAGTAAACAGTGGGGAAGAACGCTGTAGTGGTGAGCAATGAGTAATATCTGTAAATGTTTGTTTAGGTACCGTTGTATAAGGATCTCTATGGTTGGCTCTTTTGTATTTGGAGCCCATTAAAATGGGTATAGTTAAAAAAATATCCTGTGACACATGTAAAGGTTAATCAAATTTATGTTAAAATGATTCTTTGTGGTCATAAATTCTCTAGCTTTTAGAACTGTTGCAAACATAAATAACTGTTCTAAAAGCTGGAGAATCTGCGACCATGTAGACTTATATAAAATAAGCTAAACCAGACTTTCACATGCTAATCTTTTCTTTAGAATTGTTTATTCTAAAAGTATTTTTTCTCTCTCTACCTCCAATACACACACACACACACACACACACACACACACACACACACACACACAAAACCATCTTCTTAACAGTTCTTTATCACAATATATGTTTTTTAATATCATATTTTGTCAATTCAAAATACAAATCCTCCCAAAGCAGCTAACAAGCAATATAAATGATCAGGAATAACAATATAAATATTTACCTTATTTTTAATAATGTAAGTAAGTATATATTTTAAATAAAGCTCTTTCTCAATAGTCCCAAATGTAAACTGGACTTTCTTGGGTCTTTTTCCTTGAAAACATTAAAAACCAAGAAAGTCCAGTTGCTTTTGGAAAAGTACCTTTGGGACACCATTACTTGGATGATTAAGAATCTCCATAGATACTCTTACTCAGTAAAAGTATTATTTAACTGTATAAAAAATACAAACACCACGTACTTAAAAATGTCTTTTCTTGACTTTAGAACTTTCATATATTTAGTAGAAAGTAGCTTTATTCTCTTCTCACCTCCCCCTCACCTCCCCATGAGGGGGAGGTGGGCTTACCCGTGCAGGTTGCTTTGGATGAATCTAATGAACGAACAAGAAAGTGGATTTTCCAGCAGAAAATGGGACAAGCTGAAACAAAAGAATTATCTTACTCTTCCTTAATGGGCATTGGAGGAGGAGGAGCAGGTGATGCCTCCAGACAATGTCAAGAGCTTGAGATGGTTCGGCAGAAGCTCAAAAATGTGTTTTCCAAGTTGAAACACTTGGCCAATAAAGCTGCCTGCAGGTTAGATATATTTATTTTTAATAGCAATACAGTGATGAAAAACCTGTATATAATGTGTATATTACAATTTAGGAGTATTTGATGTGAGTAATAAGAAGCCAGGTTATGAGCTTCATGTGACTCATTAAGTCATAAATAAAAGTAACAATTTCTGAAGGAAGTCTTTAAATTTTTTACAGTATTAAGCAATAACTATAGTTGTATTATTTACTTTCCATTATTTTATGTTTTACACTTAAAATTATGACCATAGATTGCTTTAATTTAACTCGGCTTGGATTGCTTTAAAATCATAATCCTTGTTCTGTAATAACTTTTATGTGTGTCATTTTTCACAAAACATCATTATTGAACCTCTGGCATTTAAAATCTGTGATAGACATAGGAAAATCATGACAGTGGGACAGGGAAAATAATGATTATGTGTATTTCATGGTCAATTGTGTTACACAAATGTCAGAGGTTATTTTTTAAATTCCAGGTTACCCTTTGAAAGATCAGATGATGAAGACTTAATTGGAATACAAACTGACATTGAAGAAGTTCTATTAAAATTGCAAGTGCTCTCTGATTTATATAGCCTGGAGGTAATGTTCAGAGAGAGGGAGCAGAAATACTTATTTAGGCCTATTTTTAAGATTAAAAATGATTTATTTAAATTGAATTAGTTTGTGTACATTTGCAAGCATAAGATAACTTCTGTTTTCCTGTTTTAAAGCATATGCACTGTTTTTAACATTGGAATTTAGGAGAGTACAATTGGGTCTTTACTACATGGCGCTAGAATTTTGAATCAGTTCTGCCTTTATGTGAAATAATCCATGTAATTTACAATGAATCCAAATGCATAAAGCAAAGTACAATCTTTCATGGAAGATCTTATCTGAAAAGAAGCAATAGATTTTGTATGCAATGTAAATATGTGTTAGATTTGTGATTTGATTTGACTTCCATTTCTTAGAAAGCAGCATTGCAGCATCTTTCCTAATTGTGGATGAGTTCGAGCTATTTTGAGCTGCTTTACTTCCTATTTTTTTCCTACATAGATTAATTCAGATTGCCCATCTTCAGCCTCATTGACTGAAAGACTGCTAAAACAGAATGCTGAATTGACTGGGTTTGTCAGTAAATTGAGTGAGGACAAGAACAATATGAGGAACACAGTCATGAAACTGGAGGAGGAACTGAGAAGATATCAATACAAAGGATCTTGTGGAGACTCAGTACGTTTTTCCATTCTTTGAAACTATCGGTTTCCACTCCATCTTAAGTACTTATTTGTTTGGACAGACTGGAAAATAATTTGCAAGCCCAATGTAAAGTTAAATACTAAATCTTTCATTTAACCTACACCTTTTTAAAAAATGAAAACAGACTAATGGTGGATTTCCTTCCAGTGGAAATAATTTAAAAGGATTTCATTATAAGGGTTTCCTTTTAATTTCCGCAGTATAAAAATTATTAGCTTTCCCTTTAATATTTGTATTTTAGATCTTATGTATATAAAAAGTATTTTTAACTGGATATGTAATTCAGTACTTAGATTGAAATCCTATGCAGATTCCATAGTGAAGAAGCAGTGGTTTCTATTTAAGAACATTCACTTTTGCATGCAATTGCATATACTTCGACTAATCACAGATAATCATTTTACGGTAATAGGTAATCAATCTGCAGAAGCATAATGGGTAGGTGAGCACATCCTATTACTAGACTTGCCTTACGTTGCATTGACACACAATATATAAGAGGCAAATATGTTTAAGTTGTAGAGTTCAGCATTAAGTGTTTTCCATAGGTCTTAACGGTTATGATTACTAGGACCTATTTGCATATTTATTCAACCAGTGATAACTGAGGCCAGAAAGAATTACCAAGATCTTTCTGTAAATGCTTTCTTGACTATTGTACACAGTTTAGCTGTGTACATTACATTTGTTATTTTCTCTTAGTAACAAGGAATAGGTGTAGTTACTACTAATTAATTTGAATGTTTCTTTTTGTTCCTTTTGAAATTTTGCAAGACTTTTAGACAGTCATTACATAATGGAAGAAATGTTGATGCACTGATTGCTTCTGAAAAAGAAATCTGGCATAAAGAGAAATTAAGTCTTCAACAGTCCCTCAAGCAGGCGGAAACCGAACTGGCCAAACTGAGAGCAGAATTAAGAAATGAGGCTTTCTTGAGAGAACTGGGATCAGATTCTGAAAATGCAGCTTTAAAGGTGAAAAGCTTTATCTTAACTATTTATTGGATCATTTCTTCTGTCATTAGATGTTGCACTGATTTGCTTTTTATGGCAATCTGAAATCAAATGATCCAAGTCTGAAATGTGGCACCCTTATTTGTCTCAATTTAGCTGAAAAACATTCCATATCTTTTTCTTTTGACTAAGGAATGGTGACAGCCCCACAACCAAATATAATGGTAATCTAATATTTCCTATAGAATCTCACAAATCGGGTAGCAAAATGCTTGAGCTTTGGTGTCATCTGTTTTTTACTCGATTGGGATTTTGAAGATTTTAAAAATGGGAAGCATTCTTATTTTCATTCCTTCTGAAATCTAGTATAAAATGGTATGAAAGTTCTTTATCTTGTTTCTTTTTGTGATATGACTGCATCAGTAAAAGATGTTGTGTAGCCCACTAGCAACAAAGAGACCTGAATTAAATCCCTCACCCAAATATATGCCTGGACTAAATTGAAAGAAAAATCAGCTTCCCACATCCAGCTGATTTTCAGAAGAAAGCATTTGTCCACTTATGATTGGAAATTTCATGCATCCATGCTGTATTACTAAAGCCAGCAACTCAGAAGAATAGTAATCTAATAACATAAATTATCATCAGTCTCAGTTTGATTTATTAGATGATAAAGTGGGCTGAATGCCATAAAATCACAACTTCTTTATTAGTCTTTATTCATAAGACTGAAAGTTTCTATTCGTCTAGAAACCGAAAAGCATGATTGCATATAGCACTTCACAATATGTAATTTATCACTGTATTTAATTTCTACTCTAGAGAGTTTATGGAAGGTACCTGAGAGCAGAGAGCTTTCGGAAGGCTCTCATCTATCAAAAGAAATATTTGCTGCTCTTACTGGGTGGCTTTCAGGAGTGTGAAGAAGCCACTTTAACTCTTATTGCAAGAATGGGTGGGCAGCCTTCCTACACTCAACTGGAGGTCATTACACACCATTCAAAAAGTTTTACCCGATTTCGCTCAGCTGCTAGAGTGCTAATTGCAATTTCAAGGTAAGACATAAAAGATTAAATTCTTTCTTTAATAAGAAATACATCAAGCTAGTTTTGTATGTAAAGTGGTAAAATGGTGAAAACAAGGTACTTAATTAAACACTAAGTCTTCTATCTAGGAAACTATTCCCCAAAGTACATAGAGAATATTTAGAAAGCAAATAAGGAGATAGTAAATTAGGAAATTAGTTATATCTAGCAAGAATTTCTCATATACGGACATGAAATGTGTTACTTATTATTGATTTTTCATATCAGATGTCCTAAATATTACAACATATTTCCCTTTATTATAAATGCAGAATGAAGTTCCTAGTTCGAAGGTGGAAACGAGTTACTGGTTATCATTTAATTGGCGTCAACAGAGATAGTTGTAGTCAGAACACAGGTAAATATTTCAACGGCACTGAAAAAAGTGACATTGCTGTTTTTCACACTTATGACCATTGCAGCATCCCCAGGGTCACATGATCCAAATTTCAGATGCTTGGCAACTGGCTCATATTTATGATGGTTGCAGTGTCCCAGGTCATATTTTGCACCTTTTGCAACTTTCCATCAAGCAAAGTCAATGGAGAAAGTGAAACAGATTCACTTAACCACTATGACTAAATTAACAATTTCAGTGATTCATTTAACAACTGTGTCAAGAAAGGTCTCAAAATGAGGCAAAATTTGCTTAACAACTGTCTCAGTAACAGAAAATTTGAGCTCCATTGTGGTTATAAGTCAAAGACTACATGTATATAAGAACATGGTATTTATTGTAAGGTTCAGTTTCAGATCTTCTCTGAACAAGAAGAGTGAAATATCACATGTTCCTTGTTTCATATGGTATTACCCAAAAGTCATTTCACCAGGAAATGGCAACCATTTAAGACTTTCAGTTTTAATTAATTTCAATTGAATTTTGTTGTATTTATTGTTCTATATTGTATGGTTGTAAAAGTGTCCGATGCCTATTGCTACTTGAAGTTATCTATGTTTATTCTTTCCAAAATGCTAAGGAAATTTCAAAAAATATATTTGGCTAACAGTAGCAGTCATTGGAGGCATGATTAATAAAATCTTTTACTCTCATTGTTCTTGTACCTATGCCAAAAGCTTTCTCTAAAAAAAATTAAGAATTTGTCAGAATATTTACAGGCTCTTAACAGAGAAACAGGTTTCTTAAAGAAAGCTGCTTAAGTTCTAAAATAAGGTTATTTTTGTTCTTTGTGTAGGTAACGAGTTACGGTCCGATTCATTTTCTGGTAGTCTGGAACTCTGTGGAGAACATAGAGCTGCTTCTTATAGATCCAGATCGGAACTGGAATCTCTCAGATCTCCTTTTTCTTATCAGCAAAGGTAAATGTTGATCTATGCTCATTGCCTGCATTTCAAATATCAGGTTGCTAGAGCGTATACACCCTTTCTCAGTAAAAATGCGGTTGATAAAACAATTTTATTAGCTCTCCAGATGCACATGTTTGGTGACTCTGGAAATTGAATGCTAGAAATATTTTGATGTGAATCTTTGCAACTCGGAATAGTATTCAATGGTAGTTTTTATTGGTTTGCAAAGTAATTTTTGCAACTTGAACCTGGTAAGTATATACTTTTTCCCAAGTATATTATGAAACTGTTGTGCTCCATTACGTATCATATACATCTCAGGTCTGTGTTGAATTTGACCAGATATTCTACTGTTCCACTAATTGATTTATGATAGGAGAATTTTTGTATGCTAAAAAGTTCTCCAACTTCTCCAATTTTGCGTTACTAAAAGTAGCTTCTGAAGATTGGGGAATTCTTCATAGAAATCTATAACTCAGCAAAAGGAGCTGAAATCAAAACTAAATCAGCACAACTCTTTGTTTTGTGGATGTAGGAAAACACTTTCATAAGATGCATTAGTTATCTAGAGTATTTTTTAATATTGGAAACTTTTGGAAATAATACTGTCTTGACAAAATATATTTAGTGAATAGTACTGTACTATAGGAAAGCTATTTTATAAGCTATGTTAGTGTATTTTAGGGATGTGATGGCTCAGTTGTTAAAGACACTGAGCTTGTCAGCTGGAGAGCTGACAGCCCATGTTCAAGACCTGAGCTCCACACAATAGGATAAGTTCCCATTATTTGCCCTAGCTCCTGCCAACTCCATGACCACCAAAATTGTCTTTGGACAACACTGGCTCCCTCCATCAAGAAACAGAGGTGAGCACCGCTCCCTAGAGTCGTACACAACTTTACCTTATTAGTGTATTTATCAGTTGAAAACCTCTGTGGCTAGTCAACAATAAGAACTTCAAATATCAAGTGCAACTGAAATAATTGTAAACTACTTTTCCATGTAACCTGCCTCCATTTCTTTTGTTGAATCTTTAATTGCAATGTTTTTTTAAAGATGCATATCAATGGTGCCAAGTAAGGATTTGTTTAAAATTAATGGACAGGAAAATACCTGACAAGTTTAAATTGATAGTGTTTCTTCAGGGCATTGCAGTATACAATATATTTACTTTCCTAGTATCTAGGACATTCTTTTCAGTATTTATAAACTGCCAGATATTTTGCAAGTCTGTTTCATTACCATTTTTTATGTTTTTTCTTTTCTAAGGTATCAGGGCATCCATACTGATTTCAGCCCAGTTTCCCTTGCATGTTCTCAGCTGCAGAATTACGATCCTGATAGAGCTTTAACAGATTATATTAATCGTCTGGAGTCCCTACAGAGACGACTTGGCAATGTACAGCCAGGTAGATATTATTGTTCTTTTAGTTACAGTTTCCTCGTCTGGTACCTCAGACTAAATTCTACTGCATGTAGTCCTCAACTTAACGTTAGTGACTGTTCAAAGTTACAACGGCACTGAAAAAAGTGACATGAGAGTTTTTCACATTTACAGCCATTGCAGTATCCCCATGGTTACGTGATAAAAATTTGGATGCTTGGCAACTAGCTCATATTTATGACACTTGTAGCGTCCAGGGTCCTGTGAGCACCTTTTGAGACCTTCTGGCAAGCAAAGTCAATGGAGAAGGCAGATTCACTTAAAAACAGTTACTAATTTAACAACTGCAGGGATTCACTTAACAACTATGGCAAGAAAAGTCATAAAATAGGGGGAACTTCACTTAACAACTGTCTTAATTAGCAAAAGAAATGTTGGGCTAATTGCAGTTATAAGTTGAGTGCTACCTGTATTGCTGCTTTCAGTAGTTACTATGTTGATTGTATAAGATCTTTAAGATCCTGAATATTTGTCTTTCTGCCCCACAGCATCTGCTTCACAAACTCAGCTGCATTCTGCTCTCCGAAGATAATCTTAGAAATATTTTTGCCACCAATAGTAAAATCAAATGAAATGCCTTCTGCAAATTATCCTGCTGCTGTGCTTTTGTACAATGTCGTGGGACCAACATGAACACAGTTCAACAATTGTATGCAGTTCACCTTGCTGTCACCACACAAAGATTAGAAGTTATGTATATAGGCACTTTTTGTGGTTGTTTGAGCTTGATTATTAAATCTCATGTATATTTGTGGAATGCTAATTTAAACACTTAAATTATTAAAGTGTGTATTTATCAAAGGGGTGAGAGGGTAAAACCTTTAAGTATTGAGATTACTGAATGCATAGGAGCACAACTTTTTCCTCCCAATAAGGTCTAAGTGAAGGACTTTTCACAATTTTATTCTATTTGCTACTGGCATCGCAGAGAGAAATATCACTTCTAGAGACCTATTTTTGTACAGGTAGAACTTTTGGATTTTCTGGTTATTTTGTCAAAGTGCTGAAATAAAGATGATTTCATCATTTTAATACGTGTCTGAAACTATTTTAAAATGGGTTTTTGTGTTCTGATTTTAAATAATGAAAATGTTGTTTTAAAAGCTTAAATATAATTATTTGTATTGACATCTACATTTATCAGTCCTTCACAGCAAAAACTCAACTTCAGAGTAGGTTTCTTGGGGTTGTAAATACAGTAGACCCACGCTAACAGAAACTTGTTGCCACAAAGATTATAGCATTTAAATGGGTAAAGAACTGTTGTGTCTTTATATGAATATTAGAATATAGTCTATATATAAAATTCCATTTCTATATATTCTAATAATACAGAATATATATTCCATTGGAATATTAAAAAGGGAATGAATCAGATTGAAATGCTAAAAATCCACCTGCTTACGATACATGATGATATATGACAAGTGTTATACAGTACCGGTCAGTTTTCATTCTCTTTAATTAAAAACATTACTGAAGGTCAAATAGTTAAATAACAACATTTTTCCACTGTACATTCTATATGCCTAGTTACAGTACATAACCCCCCAATGACTGAATGTTTCTAGTTTCTAAAAAGGAGTTACTAATATGTCATCACTTTAACAAATTATTCTTTAAATCCTGCAGATTTTATTGCTATTTTCTACTTAGACAGTTGCCATATTGCAATAGCAAATATTTCATATATGCTTTATATTAACTTAATAGGCATCAGGCGTCACAGTCATTAAGATGAAGGGAACAAGATTCTATTTTCCCCAATGATTATAAACTGCTTTTAAAAAACTATTCAAATTTTATTTTAGAAGAAATAACATAACTTCTGGTAAGCATGTTAATAGCAGTTTTCCAGGAAGGAGTCTTGTTAGTCATACAGAAATTCACTATGCCAATATCTACAAAGTTATAGCAACCTGAAATTGATTTTGTATTTCTAAAAATTCATTGATAGTATTTTAGTTTTTTTCCCCATGTTTAAATTATGACATCTTATGTGCCTTATGAACCAGTCTCTCTTCATCCATGTTACCGTTGAGCTTTACAAATTATGTTTAGTAAGAGTTTTCATCTAACAAGAAAAATTAACTCAAACACATTCAAGTTACTGAAACATAAAAAAATGGCAAACTGTAACACAAAATTTCAAGTTTTCTTTACAAATTACAGGCAACTTTCAACTTCTTTAGCTGTGCTAGAAAAGCTCTACAATGTATGTGTCTCATTTGGTGATCTCCTTTTATAAATAATTATAGGGTTAGTAGGTGTGTGTATCATAGTTGTATAATTTATGGCAGGAAAGTATCCATTCACTAAGTCAAATTCATATAAACGCAGAAGTGTTGACCAAATTGTCTTAATCTGAATATATGCAAAGTTCTCTCCAATGCAGCGATGACGACCTAAAAAGAAAAAAGCACATTGACTTTCCATTTTTAAAAATTGTTTCCATTTTATTTAGTCTACTTTAAAAACAGCAGAATTCTCATTATTTATACATAAAATACAAACAGAAAATTATTCACACCTCCTCTCATCTACTCCCATGAATGATCTTTGAAGAATTAGTGCACCGAAAAGAAGATGGTGCTTCTGCCTCACAGGGATTCTAAAAAAGTATATGACATTCATGGGTAGAAAGACAGATACATCAGCATACATTTGTCTTCCATACAGGTAGCCCTCGATTTATGAACATAATTGAGCCCAAAAATTAGCAATAAATAGCAATAGCACTTAGACTTATATACCACTTAACAGTGCTCTACAACCCTCTTTAAGCGGTTTATAGAGTCAGCATATTGCCCCCAACAATCTGGGTCTGGAATTTATGGAAGACTGAGTCAACCTTGAGCCAGTGAGACCCAAATAGCCTGCAGTACTGCATTCTAACCACTGTGCCATCGCAGCTCAGTGGGATACTGCAACCATCGCGAATATCCGTCAGTTCCCAAGCATCTGAATTTTGATCACATGACCACAGGCATGCCGCACTGGTAAGTGTGAAAAATGATCATAAGTCTTTTTTTCAGTGCTGTTGTAACTTTGAACGGTCACTAAATGAACTGTTGTATGTCAAGGACTACTTTTCTATGCATTCTGATGTTATAACCACCGCGCGGGTGGTTATGGGAGCAACATGGCGTTCCCATGTAACACCTCTCCTGCGCGAGCTGCACTGGCTCCCGGTGGTCTTCCGGGTGCACTTCAAGGTTTTGGTTAAAACCTTTGGGTAAAGCGCTCCATGGTTTAGGACCTGGGTACTTGCGGGACCGCCTACTACCACCAATAGCCTCCCACCGGCCGGTACGCTCCCATAGAGAGGGGCTCCTCCAGGTGCCGTCGGCCAAACAATGCCGACTGGCGGCCCCCAGGGGGAGAGCCTTCTCTGTGGGGGCACCTACTATCTGGAACGAGCTCCCCCCAGAGATATGGAGGATCCCGGATCTGCGCACCTTCTGCCACGCTTTAAAGACCTTATTATTTCACCAGGCGGGCCTGGCCTAATTTTCTCCCTCTTTTATAAAAGATTTTTAATTTTTAAATATCTTTTAGTATTTTATACATTCAATTTTAAAATTGGTTTTAAATAGTTTGGGGTTTTAATTTGTCGGGGCCAAATTATTTAATTTGATTTTATTCTACTTTTAAATTTTGTATGTATGTGTTTTATTGTTTGGCTGTGCACTGCCCTGAGTCCTTCGGGAGTGGGGCGGTATAGAAATCAAATCAAATAAATAAAATAATGATAGAAAAAATAACTTCCTCATTCTAGAGAATGAATATTAATCATTTTTGTAATCCCAGAAAAGAGCTGCTCTTTTCCTATCCAGTTATTGGTTTCTCATATTTAAGAATCCCCATTTACCATTATTCACCCTTCCCAGGATAGCCTTCTTCAGGTGCTTTTTGCAGAGGGGGGGCATTGTTATTGGAGAGAATATGCAGAAATCAATTTTATAAATAGGACAATCTACGCTATAGGCATCTGTTTATGTTTATGTTTGATTTATATACCGCCCTACTCCCGAAGGACTCAGGGCGGTGAACAGCCACAGGATAAAAACACATAAATACAAAATTTAAAACTGAATAAAACCGAATTAAACAATTTGGCCGAAGAGAGATTTAAAACACCCAATAAATTAAGAACGAATTAAAATTTGCGTTTGAAAAAGGGAAAAATTAGGCCAGGCCAGCCTGATGGAATAAAAAGGTCTTGAGAGCGCGGCGGAAGGTGCATAGATCTGGGATCCTCCGTATCTCAGGGGGAGCTCATTCCAGATAGTAGGTGCCCCCAGGGGGAGAAGGCTCTCTCCCTGGGAGCCGCCAGTCGACATTGTTTGGCCGACGGCACCCGGAGGAGCCCCTCTCTATGAGAGCGTAGAGGCCGGTGGGAGACTACTGGTGGCAGCAGGCGGTCCCGTAGATAACCAGATCCTAAGCCATGGAGCACTCTAAAGGTGGTAACCAAGAAGCGCACACGTTAAGACCACCGGGAGCCAGTGCAGCTCGCACAAGAGAGATGTTACATGGGAACGCCATGCTGCTCCCATAACCACCCGCGCGACCGCACTTTGCGCCAGTTGGACCCTCCGGGTGCTCCTCAAGGGGAGCCCCATGTAGAGAGCATTGCAGTAGTCCAGGTGGGAAGTGACGAGGGCATGAGTGACCGTGCGTAAGGAGTCCCGATCCAGAAAGAGATGCAACTGGCGAATCAGGCGAACCTGATGAAAAATCCTCCCGGTCACGGCCATCACATGCTCATCTAAAGACAGCCGTGAATCCAGGATGCCCAAGTTGTGAGCCCTCTCCGTGGGGGCCAGCGATTCGCCCCCAATAGTCAGTGATGGCACAACTGTCTATATCAGGACATCGGAAACCATAGCCACTCGGTCTTGGATGGGTTGAGCCTGAGCCTGTTTCTACCCATCCAGATCCGCACGGCCTCCAGGCACCGGGACATCACTTCAAGGGTATTGTTGGGGTGGTCCGGGGTGGAGATCTCATTCAATTTAATCTTAATTTTTTTCTCACCATGAACTTTCTGGGAGTAGCTTTAGGCCAATGAGCGTGAATAAATATGTTATGTGTGTACAACGAAACACAGGCTTATTGGGAATGAGGGAAATCTCCGGGATTGGCTCTGGTTGTTAATAGTTGCATAGCCAGGTGAGACCAGGTAGACTGAAAATGCGCCTCTCCTTCATACTCCCATATCGACTCTATTTAATTAAGCCAATCATTGGAAGTATTTACATTATTGATTTCAACAGAACAACTTTTTTTAATAAGACTGTTTGAATTTGCAAATAACTTTAAATACTTGAAACATTAGCACTAACTATACTTTGGGCATGGTAACTTTTTTTCCCTAACAATGAATGTTCTGCCCAACAGTTCCAGTTTATTAGTTGAAATCATGGTTGTTTTGCTGCTTTTTTGGGGGGGGGGAGGGAGTAATACTTCCTAGTATTAGGAAGGATACACTGCAAGCAATCATTCATTGCAATAAAATTAGAAATTGGAAATATAGGGATGTAGTAAGTAAACATACCAGCACCAAATGGCACAAAGGCAAACTTTTCTGCAGCTGCAGGATTATCTTGAAGGTAGCGGTCTGGTTTGAACTTTAAATTTTCCATCCAACAGTCTTTAAGTGTTTGATTAATAGTAGGAGATACACAAATCTGATGACCAGGTAGAATTGTATAACCAGCAACAGTCTAAAGACAAAAGAATATAAAAGTTTATTGATGCCTAAATTACCAAGAATATACATTAGGAATTGGGATTCAGATACAACTTTCAATACACACATAGAGATAAGCTACATTTATACAAAAAAATACCAACGAGACAATAAAAAAGCTAAGAAGGAAACAAACAAACAAAAAATCAGAACACATCATCTCCAGTAACCAATATTCAGATAAGCAGGGATTAAGACCAGATAAACTATCAAACAGAAAAACAACAGCCTAATCAAGGAACTATCAAAGAGAAATGCACACTGCCTACCAATACTGAAAGGAAAACTACTTTATAAAACCCCCATACTTTTGCATTGATAACATTATCTAGTTGGGTATTGCAACATCTGCAAGCAAGGTTTTCTTTTTAATATTACCTTAGGGATTTATTCTTATTTACACTGATATATATTCAATATGTATATTATATTCAAATGTCTTACTTGGGGAGTTTTAGCCAGTCTCATCATGGTCATTATAGGTGGTCTAAGTCTTAATGTTTCTTTCAAGCAACGATCCAATACATTCAAATTCTTGATCTAGAAAAAAAGTTTATTTACAATTTCTTATATTCAGAATTTTTTAAAAATATAATTATAAGATATAATTTCATGTTCGTGTAGTTGATATTGCAAATCTTCAATGAACTAAATAGCTTTGATACAAGAATGGTAATATCTACTTATGATTTAAAATTGCATTCAGAAGAATTTACTCCCAAGCAAAGAAATAGAAATGAGTTTTTAGTATTGATAGTAATATACAAAACTTGATACACATAATACATACCTTGTACATAATAGTCACTGCAAAATCTAGACAAAAGGGAAAGAAGGAAGGAAGGAAGGAAGGAAGGAAGGAAGGAAGGAAGGAAGGAAGGAAGGAAGGAAGGAAGGAAGGAAGGAGGGAGGGAGGGAGGGAGGGAGGGAGGGAGGGAGGGAGAGAGAGAAAAGCAAGAAAAAGAAAAGCAAGCATTGGACACCCACTTTCAGGCTAAGAGTATAAATGATCACCTGCAGACCAAAAATACTTTTAAAAACTGTCACAGAGGAGTTTTTTGTTTAATACATTTCTGTCTTAATATCCATATGCAAAAAAACGTGTAGGTTTAGAATAGTATATATTATCTCACTAATGCAAACTTTCTCTGATTCCACATATACGTTTAAAAGCTATATTGGTAAATTGAAAAGGAGTAATAGGCCTACAAACCTGATCATAGGTCAATGATGGTAAATCTTCTCCACATACATTTTTTTGTTCCTCATAACACTGTTCCTGTATTGATTTATCCCTAGCCAAAAAGAAGCCAAGCCAAGTGCTAGTGGTTGAAGATGTATGCTGGCCTGCTAAGAGCAATCCAATAAGCATCCCAGCAATTTCATCATCAGTTAGTGATCGTCCGTCTCTGAATTTCAAAACATAGATAACACACCAGAATGAGAAGGACAATCCCCAATTTTTTGTTAATCCTCACAATATTTTACAATACAGAATTTCAGCATAGGTATCAGTATTATTAATAGTATTTAAGTCTTGCCATTTCTATACTGACTTCAATTTAAAGAGCTGCTGCTTCTTCTTGTGCCATGTCCGTCATCAGACGTTGGCGATCATGTTGGCAATCCTATTTTTGTCAACATCAACAGCCGTATGAAAAAGTGCTGCTGAGTTTTGTCCAAACCAGTCCCTTAGGTTTTGAAGCTATGATGTTCTGCCTGGGCCTCGTTTGCCTTCAAGCTTTCCCTGGAGGATTAAGTGAAGGATGCTGTATTTTTCTGGGTGTCGCATCACATGTCCAAAATACTCTAACTTTCGCTTTTAATGGCCTTGATTATTTCCCTTTGCTTTCCCAGGCAGCTTATCACCTCCTCATTTGTGATTGTTAACCCAGTTTATACGTGACAGCCATCTGTAAATCCACATTTCAAATGCTTCTAGTTTCTTCAAGTGGTTTTCTGTCAGAGACCTCTACTCCGTAGAGAAGGATAGAAAAGATGTAATATCTGACAAGCCTGGTTTTCAGTCTTAGGCTTATGTCGTGACTGCAGAAAACCTTTTTCATTTTGAAGAATGCTGTTCCACCTTTCTCTAGCCTTGTCTTTACTTCACTGAACATGTCCCAGCTTTCATGTAAATTAAAACCAAGGTGATCCTTTCAACTTTTTCTAATGGTATTCCTTCCAAATTTATCAGTGGTAAATTAATGGGTTGTTTGCTGACGACCACAATCTTGGTTTTTGAGGTGTTAAGCTTCAAGCCATATTTTTCAGATATTTCTGAGACACTGTTGTTGAGGAGCTGAAGGTCTTCATACTTACTGGCAAGCAGAACTATATCATCAGCATATCTTAAATTGGTGATCTGAATATCATTTACTTTGAGGCCAGCATCAGTGTTTTCCAGTGCTTCGTTGAAAATTGACTCAGAGTAGATATTAAATAACAGTGGAGACAGAATACAGCCCTGTCTGACCCCTCTTCGTATTTCTGCATTATCTGACTATTTTTGGCCTAGTCTCACATTTGCTATCTGATGCCAATATAGATTCTTTATGATTCGGATGTCTTTGTCATCTAGCCTCACTTGTTTCAGGATTTGTAATAGTTTGCTGTGTCTTATTTTATCAAATGCTTTTTTCAAAATCGATGAAGCACATGTAAACACTGTGACTGACATCTCTACAGCACTATACAAGAACTTGAATCCTGAATAGGGCATCCCATGTACCAAGATTGTTTCTGAAACCAAATTGTGTGTTACTTAGACACTCCTCAATTTTGTTGTATATTCTTGTATGAATTATTCTCAGGAAGATTTTCAGGGCATGACTCATTAAGCTTATTGTTCTGTATTCGGTACACTTCTTTGAATTTATTTTTTGGGGGATCGTCACAAAGATTGACTTTAGCCAATCATTTGGTATCTTTCCTGTTTCATATATTTGATTGAAGAGCTGCAGTAAAAATTTATTTCCATTGTCTTCCAGCAATTTTAAAATTTCTACTGGGATATCATCAGGTTCTGTGGCTTTTTTTTTTAATTTAATTTATATGCCACCCTTCTCTGGAAACTCAGGGCGGCTTACAATGCGTTAAGCAATAGCCTTCATACTTTTGTATATTTTATACAAAGCTAGCTTATTGCCCCCCACAAACTGGGTCCTCATTTTACCTACCTTAGAAAGGATGGAAGGCTGAGTCAACCTTGAGCCTGGTGAGATTCGAACTTAACAGTAATTGCAGACAGCTGGTGTTAATAACAGTGCTTTTAGTCTGCTGAGCTACCAGGCCCTTATTTTTGCTATTTTTATTGCGTGTTCAACCTCCCCCATAGTGATGTTTGGTCCAGTTGTTATACTTCCCATATCAGTATCATCCCTAGTGTCCTCAAAAAGTTCTTCAATATATTCCTTCCATCTTTTTAATTTTTCATCCTCATCCAAGATGATTTTCCCCTCGTCAACTAAGTTGTTGGCTTTCTTTTTGCAGATACCTGCTGCTTCTTTCATTTTTTGTGTAAATTGAAATTATCATGCATACGTTCTGTCTCTTCTATTTCTTTGCATCTCTTTGCAAACCACTTTTTCTTCTAATTGTTTTCTGCAATTCATTGTATTTTTCTTTGTTTTTTATTTTTATAAGAACATCTTTCATCCATGAGATGAAGAACTTCATCCATCATCCACTGTTGTTTCTTGTGGTACCTCTCTCTTTGTTTTGAGTTTGTTACCTCTACTATTGCATTTTTAAATTTATTCCAGTTCACTTCTACATCTTCATTATTTCGGTTGTTCATTTCTCTTAAATGATTTTCTAGTTCTTTTATCTTATCTCCATGTTCAATTCTTGGTTTAGGAGGATTCGGGTTTTTCATCTTTTTTAGTTTCAACTGGACTTTGGCAAGCAGTATATTATGATCGGATGGTACATCTGCACCTGGGTATGTCTTTGCTGATTTTACAGCAAAATCAGCTAAATCTAATTGCAAAATCTTTTGTTTATTGTAAAAGAGTCATTTGGTTCCTTACTATATTATTTCGTGTATCTGCCGGTGATCTCCAAGTGTAAAAGCGTCTTTTTGGTAACTTGAAAAAAGTATTCATCACATATTGCCTATGTTTCTTGCAGAAGTCTATAAATCTGTCACCTCTACCTTTCTGGTTCCTAAGCCAAAGTTTCCAACTACAGGAGTATCATTTCCTTCTCCCACTTTTGCACTGAAGTCCCCATGAGTATCATTACTTTTTAGGGTTTTCAATATACTGCTTATGTCTTCAGCTGTGGGAGCATAAACTTGTAGAACATTCATATTTACTGGAGTACTATTTATTTGGATTATCATCACTCTATCGGATACAGGAATAAAGGACTTGATGCATTTATTTACAAGATTGTTTACTATTATAGCTACTCCATTTTGATGATGTTTACTATTTTCACCAGAGTAGTCGATAGTATAATTTCCTATTCTACACATTCCATTTTCAGGCCAGCACATTTCACTCACTCCCAGTATAGAGATATTGTATTTGAACATTTCTTGGGTAGTGTTGTGTGTTTTCCCAGATTCTCAGGTTCCACGTTCCAATTCATAGTTTTGAGTTTATCATGCGTCTAGCAGACCGGGAGAATCTTTGCACACCTGCCCCATTTAAGGGGTGCCCATACTCGGGGCCATTGTTAGGTTTTGCCGCCATTAACATGATTTTCTTGGGAAATATATAGTGTAGTAGTCTTCCCTTTGCTTTCTACACCTGCACATGCTGTTCAAGTGGCTGCCACCACACCGTGTGCTATTCTTCTGAAGCCGTTCTGACCAATGAGGTCTCCGCCTTCAGTCGATACTGATGAGCCAGCTGCCACTCACCAAGCCTGTTGGTCCATGTGAGGTATAGGTTAGAGTTAGGGTAAGGAATGTGGGGGGGAAGGGGGGGAGGAAAGAAACCTAACTGCCTGTTTGGTAGTAGAAAGGCAGGATCAGGAATGGCGGGGGTGGGGGAGAGCTTACAAATTTAAAATATTGGAGATTATAGGACTAATCAAAGTAATAAGGCACAACAGTCTCCTTTTTAAATGTCTTAACTAGTCTTTCTAGATATTGATTTATTTAAATATCATTTTAAAAGAAAACTTCTTAATGCTGCTATGTCTATACACAAAATCTTTTCAAAAATTTTCAGCCAGGATCAAAGTTTGCCTTTTATAAAAGTTTGGCTCCTGGAAACAAGTAGCTTTGAATTTATCAGATAAATACTTTATGGCAGGAATGGGCAATGTGTGGTTCTTCAAAATTGTTCTTGTGTTTTATAGATTAAAGTTTGAATCTTCTCCTGATTTCTAATCCATTATACAAGTTTTCACACAGTTCTGTTTTTATTCCTATTAGGATTATGGTAATCCTTATCCAGGTGTTATAACAATTTCACATACTTGTAAGTAACATCCAATAGTGTTTGCAGCATGTCATCCTCTTTCGTAGAAGACTGTCTTCGTTTCTGAATTACTTCATGGAAAATAGATTTTATTTTACGATGGGCTCTATCTCTGCATCTGAAATTAAAAACAAGTTGCAAAAATGTAAACTTGGATATTACAGATATTTTTGAATATTTAATTGCCCCCTAAATTCTTTTTTTTAACGCTGGACAAAAGATATGTCTAATTTTTAAAAGGGCTATTGTAGTGCATTGCCAAAACTTGGCAATTACTTACTGAAAGCAATCCATTGCCCAGTCTGCAATTCCCAACTTGGTTCAGAACTGTTTTTCTTTTGCATTTGAAGAACTGACCCAATACACTTCCTTTGGTGTTTGAAGTTATAGCCTGAACTCTGTAACTTACTTTAAATAAAGGTAAAGGTATGTGCTAGTAGTTCCCAACTCTAGGGGGCGGTGCTCATCTCCATTTCAAAGCTGAAGAGCCAGCGCTATCTGAAGACGTCTCCATGGTCATGTGGCTGGCATGACTAAACGCCAAAGGCGCACGGAACGCTGTTACCTTCCCACCAAAGGTGGTCCCTATTTTTCTACTTGCATTTTTTATGTGGTTTTGAACTGCTAGGTTGGCAGAAGCTGGGCCAAGTAATAGGAGCTCACCCAGTTACACAGCACTAGGGATTTGAATTGCTGAACTGCCGACCTTTCTATCGACAAGCTCAGCATCTTAGGCACTGAGACACTGTGCCAAATAAAACTAATGAGTTTTTTGAGGATCAACGTGTTTGGTGTTATGGTTAAAGTTTTGGCCTAGAAATCAGGAGACTGAGTTCTAATCCTTTCTTAGGAATGAAAACTGGCTGGACCAGTCACTCTAACCCCAACCTACATCATAGGATTATTATTGTGAAGAAAACAGGAGGAGGAAGTAGTGTTAAGTATGTTTGCACCCTTGAAGTATATATGGGGGAGAAAAGGGATTTAAATAAAAAAAAACCCGCTTATCGAATTGATTTTTCTAAAGGCTTTTATACATTTTAGCTGCCCTCTTTCTTGTACAATTGTATCTAATGTTTGCACTAGATTATCTCCAAGATCCTTTTCAATCCTTATATTCTATGATTCCAGCCTATAGATGGTAGAACTGGTATAATCACAATACTATCTAGTTTCAGACATTGGTTAACAGGCCACTCTTGAGTACATTAACCACAATCTATGATGATGGAAAATAATTATACCTAATAGAAAAGGCTCATAAGTCTCTACTATTAGCTTTCAATCCTGAATGAGAGTTTAGAAGACTTTTTCATTTATAAGTTTACTGAATTAACTGAGAATTTTAGATTCCAAAATACACTTCCAAAATTGGATTGGCTTATTCACAAATATATGCAATAATACTTTTTTGCCATGAAAGAAGTGCCATCTGCACATTAGCAAATTGTGAAAATTAAAACATTTGAAAATTTCAAGGGTTAGCTTATCCACACATTTGAAAAACAAGTTTCTAGAATTTGACAGGGCAAAACTGACAGCAACTTGTAATTCAATTAGGAAACATTGGATTCTGTGTTGAAGTTTAATGGATAGTGCTGGGCATAAAGAGAGATAAAAGTAACATGTTAATGATTTAAAAAATAGTAATATGTGTTAGCTTTCATCACAAGCCAGTAACGAGGATTACTAGCTCTAATTTTATTGCAACATTAATAGACTTATTGCAAGTCTGAAAATATTCCTCCCATTCCTCACTTTTACTCTCCCAATTTCTAGGGAGGGTCTTCCCTTCTGAGACTTTATTCTCATCTCTCCCTCTGAATTCAAATTTCATTTATAAAACCATTGAGCAAGCTACAGTTGTTCATCCTGTCTTCAAGGTCATTCCCACATACTGTTCATCATACTTGATTAATACTATTCTTGGGTGATCAAGGTGTTAAAATACCTGAAGCTGGGCAAAGGCAGCCACCCTGGTAAGAGCCATGCGGCGTGAGTAAATCCCCCATCCAAATCGGCATAGAGCTGTGCTACTTTCTCATTGAGAATGCTTCTTATTTCCTTCCCATGTAAACAGTGGCTTGCAGTCAAAATGATTAGTTCGGAAAGGGCTTCAAGTAAATCTGTGAAATTCAATAAGGATTTTTTTTAAAAAAAATAGGGTTACTATTTCCAGTCCATTTTTAAAATTACAAAAGTTAATAAGATGAATATAGCAAGATCAATATAAAATTTTATGATGGTTCCTTGGTCGATATTTTGAGATAGGAAGGCGAAAGATGTTCTGGAACAGGGCGGAAGATGGGGAGAGAAGAGATAAGATGACTTTCCTTTTTCATCCCTCATTGTCAAAGAATATCACACACACACACACACACACACACAGCATATCACCACTGAAGCTTGCACTTTAGTTCTGATAAGATCAGTAAAGTAAGTTATGTACACAGAAATCTATCACAGGCAAACTGGCCAAAGTCTGCATTCTACCTAATAAGGAATGCCAGGGCCAACCCAAAACTAGCCTACTTCTGCACTTAATCATCGAACAGTACAGAAGCTCAACAGCATTCAGGGCCAGCCCTTGCCTAAGTCATGAATAGCCATCAGAAAGCAGATAATACATTTGTTTATTTAGTTGTATTTTCAAATTTTTACACGAGTTCTGTCTGATATTTACAGAACTGCCAGCCATGATCTCAACTGAATTTCATCAAGTTTCTGCAAGACAGCAAGTACCATTTACAACCAATAATGTAGCGAGAAAACAACTACCAGAATTTCCTGGAATTTGGAATTGATGTTATTATTACAATTTTCACTGAAGTGTTTTTTTGGCTTGGCATACATTTTCTATATACTACATCTGCCTTCCTTGGTTTGATCAGATTAAATCCTATAGTCCAAATGTAAAACTTTTCAAATGGTATACTTACTTCTTTTTCCTTTATCTCCCCAGCTTTTAAAGTATTCTATAGTTTCTTTCTCAATTATTGGTATATGATTTTTAAATTGACTTATGTTCAGACCTGTTTTTAGCATCTTCTTCTGTTCCAAAAATACCTTAAAAATAAAAAGAATATTAATTTCAAAGCAAAATACTTGCTCAAACTTTGTGTTTCTGGAGGACTAAAATCTAAATTCACAGAAGATATATTCATACATACATACATACATGCATGCACACACACACACACATAACATAAGTCTCCGGAAAAGGGCGGCATATAAATCAAATTAAAAAAACAAAACAAAAAAAAAACATATATATATGTATGTATGTGTGTCTATGTATGTATGTGTATATCTGTATATATTAACTATACACACACACACACACACATATATATATATATATATATATATGTTTTTCTTCTAGCCAGGTTTTCCCTACGTAGCCAAGTTTTTTTTGTAGCTTTTGTAGATATATATATGTCTTTTTCTTTTTCGTAGGCTTTTATGTGCATATTCTTTCTAGCCAGGTTTTACCTACGTAAACTAAGCTGTGAATGAGATTTCACAGAACCAGGGCTGTAGAACAACTTAGTTTACGTAGGTAAAACCTGGCTAGAAAGAATATGCACATAAAAGCCTACGAAAAAGAAAAAGACACATTGTACCTTTACAGGGAGGATATCTGAGAAGTGGGTGTGGCTCACTGATGACGCCTTAAAAGGCAGAAATAGCTATCTGAGTCTCCCAGAGACCAACAGAGTTGCAGTTTGTCAGCAGAAAAAAGCCCCAGAAACTTGTGAATGAGATTTCACAGAACCAGGGCTGTAGAACAACTTAGTTTACGTAGGTAAAACCTGGCTAGAAAGAATATGCACATAAAAGCCTACGAAAAAGAAAAAGACACATTGTACCTTTACAGGGAGGATATCTGAGAAGTGGGTGTGGCTCACTGATGACACCTTAAAAGGCAGAAATAGCTATCTGAGTCTCCCAGAGAGCAACACAGAGTTGCAGTTTGTCAGCAGAAAAAAGGCACAGAAACTTGTGAATGAGATTTCACAGAACCAGGGCTGTAGAACAACTTAGTTTACGTAGGTAAAACCTGGCTAGAAAGAATATGCATATATATGTATACACACACACACACACACACACACACACACACTTACTTTACGCTCTTATTATAAGGATACATTACCAGAATCTCACAAGTTTGAAGATACAAAATTCCTTCTACTCTTTTTTAACCACCTGAACAATTAGGTGGGTCCTTCCTAAATTTCTTTCCCTGTTAAGCTGCTGTGGGCTCCGCAATCCCTTGTTTGATTGAATCCTAAATTGCATCTCTTTAACTCATTTCCCAAAGTCATCCAAAGATCCCATTACTTCAGCTGAAGGTATAAACTGTGCCCTTGAACAAGGCAGTCAGAAGATGAAAGCTGTACTTTCATCACAAATCCAGCCTTGTTATTGACTTTTTCCAAATGGAGCTCTTTGTCAACAGTAAACCTTTATAATTAGAGATCTTTAAGAGAAATGTTTTTTCAATTAAACGTAAACTTTTATGTTAGTTTTTATATTCTATTTGTATGATTCAGTACTGAAATGTAATTAAACTAATGATTCATGTAACGATATACATACTGCGTTGGGTACATCATAAGCTACTCCCTTGCCAAAAATAGGAGTAGTTAGCCGTGAATAAACGTCTTCTGCATTCAACTCTTCGTTTTTACTATTGAACAAGAGAGCAGCTGCATCACTGCCCAGGAGGTAAGTGAAGGTCTTTCCCACCATAGTGAAGCTAAATACAGGCCCATACTGCAAGGGACAAACCGAGCAGTTAGAAATAAGAAAAATGAAGAAAAACAGAAGTGTACAATAATGTAATTTTTAGCATAATTGCATATGAGTGAAAATCATGTTTTGCGTAAGTAACTGCAAGAGTTCCCCAACTTGACAAGTAACCAAACTACATATTGAAATTCTCCTTGCTATAATTAAAATGCCTACCTGTATACTATTTGGGGCCTTCTTCATTCTTTTTCATCTTGACAATAAAATTCTAATTTCACATGTTCTTATTTTATTTAAATTATAGTTTAGATCAGTTTTTCAAACTCAGCAATTTTAAGATATGTGAATTTCAACTTCCTTGCTGGCTGGATAATTCTGAGTGTTCCCACATCTTAAAGTTACCAAGTTTGAAAAATGGTCAGGGTAAATCCAAGAGCAACATAGGATAATTCAGTCAGAGTTCAGTTCTTTATTTACACCCAATAGACAGACTCTTGCTAGACCAAATCCTTACTTGTTTCCCCCCTTTCTTTCTGTAATATGCTATGTCCTTACTGCTTTCCTTCCACAGTTCCTTCTCCATGTCTCCATATCTCACAAAAACACTGATTTAGATCCTGTAGTAGAGAGGAACCTTCTTCAGTGAGCACTGCAGAAAGCAGCTAAGATGGTCTTCAAGTGCAGTGTTTCCTAAAGCTTGCCCAATCTAGAACCCCATATTGAGCACCTAAGATTTTCCAAACCGGGTGATTTTGGGGCATGTTTCAGGCTATCCTGCAGCATGTACTAGAGACAGCGAGCCTATAGACTGGGCAACCATTACCATTCCGTTGGCAGTACATGCCAACGGAAGACAACCTGAAACAGTCACAAAAGAAGAATGGTATCTGTTGGTCATCACAAAGGCTCCTCTCAGTATTGCAAAGGAAGCAACAACATGTTGGGGTTTTGTGGACCCCAACATTCTTCTAGACTGGATGGGTTCACAATACAGAGTGGAGTTTCCCATCCTGGACGTCCTTCTACAATGAGGACCACTGGCTTGTAAGGCAGGCAGTCCTCAGTCAGGAAGTATTTTGGCCTAACGCTGCAAGAGAATCCTAGGAGTAACTTCCTTCTGTAACATTGCCTTCAAAGCCACCTGACCTTTGCATTGACGCAAATTGCTCCCATCTCACTTCAGCAAAGTAAACCATATGTTGCCTCCATATTAAGTCCATATTGTTTTATCACTTTGCTTTGACCTGCCCTAAGAATAAGTTTTTGTTAGATTTCACATGCAGCCCTAAATGAAATATTGAAACCACTAACAAGATGACCTTTGGAGAAAGAGAAGACATGGCAAAAAGATTACGTACATTACTCTGCTTTTATGCTCCATGAGTAACAACAATATTCTTAGATTTGTTGGATATGCAATTATGTTTGTCAAACTAAACTATTGTCTTTATTTAGTTATGGATTCATTAATTCCTCCAGTTATCCAAAACAAATATTGCTGTTTAAATATTTAGAATAACTGTATTATTACAGAACTATTACATTAGCGGTGCAAAAGAATTAGGCTCACCTTTTCATAGGCATCTTCTAAAAATTGGATAGGATTTCTTCCAAAGGCAATTGCATGTCCCAGAAAAGGGATATTTGATGGAATGTAAGGTGGATACTTCTACAGATGGAAAATAAGAGAGAGAGAAACAAACTCTATTGTATACCTGTACAGAGAGCACTACATATCTAACCAGACTAGTTTTAAACAGAAAATTTAAAATCTTTATTGAATCTCTTGCTTCCCTGTCTTTATTAGAAGTGAGTGAACAAATGCTGAATAAGACTGCTAAGATAACATTTTAACAAACAAAACTCTGATTGGAGGAGGCTTTAATCATACAAAAAAATTGCATGGAATTGATCCCAGAAAATCAGAAGACTATAACTGAAAGAAAAATGAAAATAATGCTAGGTGAACAGATCAAGAGTAATGCTTAAAATGAGTAAGTTCATTTTAAGAATAGAACAAGTAAGCATTTTACTTTAGGGAACATAACTTTTGGCTAGAAACCTAAAACCTGTGCTACTGGTCCTACCCCTTCACATTTAATTTATTGGTTGCTAAGCAGAGTTTCTCACAGTAGTTAACCATTACACAGAGGCCCAAAAATGCACTTCTAGTACTCCATTATGGGAACGGAGGACAACTGCTTTTTATTTTGGGTTGGGTAGCAAAATATTCTTAAGATCTGCAGTTGCTATGCAACCTACTATCTTTGAAACTTGAAAGGGAATAGAAACTGAAGTTGTACATTGGAAAGAAAGGCTCATCACCTTTGCCAGTGCTCACTGGCCACACTGGCAGTAGATTCTGGAAGTCACGATCCCAATACATCTGAACGCTCCCAATACATATGGGAGCCAGATGAGTGTCATGGCCAGACACCACAATGAACTAAGCAGTGCTTTTGTCTTTCATCAGGGAATATTGAGGACAGGTCTCTCACCCTACACACAGGTTTCTACAAAGAAAAGCTCAAGGAATAGATGCTCTTTTTATTTTGGAAACAAAAAGGAGTTCTCATTATCAACCCCTGAAGGGCAGGGAAACTGTGTGTCACACCTGCACTGTGCTCTTTGGCACCCCGAGTCACATCAAAGTAAATGCACTGAAGGGTTCATATGGGGAATGAGACTCAACACACACACATACACACACACAGCACACCAACTCCGCCGTGCCTTTAAAGAAAAAAGGCCATCCAGGATCAAGTTACTTACTTGGCCGCTGGCAGACTGCCGCTGCTGGCGAGTGCCGAGCTGGAACAAGTAACCCAAGCTCAGGGCAAAAGCAGAAGCGGCCAAAAGCAAAGAGAGCGAGCTGTCGGCCGCGACCCTTTCCAGCAGAGAGCCACCCGCTTGGAACCAGCTCGGCTCCATCGTGCCTTCAGCCCGGGAGGACGCGCCGCGCGGCTCTCACAAGGCAGGATCCAAAAAGACTTGGGCGGAGCCCACCGCGGCTGGGCAGATCTCTGCCCATCTGACGAAGAGCGCACGGCAGCCAATCGGCGAGCGCGCGAGGACAGGTGATCACGGGAGGACTGGGATGGATTGGAGCAGCGCGAGCCCGGGCGATTGTGAGACTGGAAAGAGGCGCAGATTTCTGGTTAATGACATTTATTTTTTTTTTGGTCGTGGTATTTGTAGACACTACAGACAACGGTGAAGCTAGCTGCGGACCGGTTTAGGATTGGGAAGGGATGGCGTGGTGATGGGGGAGGGTGGGTCGTGGAAACTAACCTCTCTTGTTATTTTTCTCTCTCTCTACCTATTCATTTGTTTAGGAGAGATCCGACGCTCTTTGAATGGCTTCTGTCTGCGATCCAGGACCATTCTTCTTAACATTTATTCCGAAACTGCATTAGGTGGATTAACTTTAAAACATCTAGCTAACAGATGTCTGTTTCATCAAAACTTTAACGGTTAATGTTTTACTTGATATATCCTTGCATGTTTGTATTTAGCTGCCGAAAGTATTCAACAGAATATTGGAATATGCAAATAATAAACTATCATATCACACAGATTTCTGCGCAGATAATATTCAACAGCTCCCTTTTCTTGGAAGTAGATTGCAATTTTCTTAATTTCCTGGCCAACATTAATTTTTTTCATAACCAACGTACCATTGTTGTTAGTTGCGAAGTTGTGTCCGAATCATCCTTCAACCCCATGGACAACATTCCTCCAGGCTTTCCTGTCCTTTACTATCCTCTGGAGTCCATTTAAGCTCACTCCGACTGCTTCAGTGACTCCATCCAGCCATTTCATTCTCTGTCATCCCATTCTTCTTTTGCCCTCAAACTTTCCCAGCATGAGGCTCTTCTCCAGTGAATCCTTCCTTCTCATTAGGTGACCAAAATATTTGAGTTTCATCTTCAGGACCTGACCTTCTAAAGATCAGTCAAGGTTGATCTCCTCTAGGACTGACCGGTTTGATCACTTGCAGTCCAAGGGATTCGCAGGAATCTTCTCCAACACCATAGTTCAAAGGCCTCAATTCTTTAGCACTCAGCTTTTCTTATGGTCCAACTTTCACAGCCATACATTGCAACTGGAAAACCCATAGCCTTGACTATATGTACTTTTGTTGGCAGGGTGATGTCTCTGCTTTTTAGTATGCTGTTTAGATTTGCCATAGCTTTCCTCCCCAGGAGCAAGCGTCTTTTAATTTCTTGGCTGCAGTCCCCATCTGCTGTGATCTTGGAGCCAGGAAAATAAAATTTGTCACTACCTCCATTTCTTCCTTGTTTATTTGCCAGGAATTGAGAGGGCCAGATGCCATGATCTTAGTTTTCTTAATGTTGAGTTTCAAGCCAACTTTTGCACTCTCCTTCTTCACCTGCATCAAAAGGCTCTTTAGTTCCTTTTCAGTTTCTGCCATTAACATGGTATCATCTGCATATCTAAGGTTGTTGATATTTCTCCCAGCAATCTTAATTCCAACTTTTGATTCATCTAGCCCCGCCTTTCTCATGATGTGCTCTGCATATAAGTTAAATAGGCAGGGTGACAGTATACAGCCTTGCCAGACTCCTTTCCCAATTTTGAACCAATCAGTGGTTCTGTGTCCAGTTTTCACTGTTTGCTTCTTGACCTGCATGTAGGTATCCCAAGAGACAAATAAGATGGTCTGGTACTCCCATCTCTTTAAGAACTTGCTACAATTTGTTGTGATCCACACAATCAAAGGCTTTAGCATAGTCAATGAAGCAGAAGTAGATGTTTTTCTGGAACTCCCTACCTTTCTTCATAATCTAGCATATGTTGGCAATTTGATCTCTAGTTCCTCTGCCTCTTTGAAATCCTGCCTGTACTTCCGGTAGTTCTCAATCCACATAACTGCTGGAGCCTAGCTTGTAGGATTTTAAGCATAACCTTACTAGCATGTGAAATAAGCGCAATGGTGCAGGGGTGAAATCTAAATTTTTTTGCTACCGGTTCTGTGGGCATGGCTTAATTAGTGGGTGTGGCTTGGTGGTAAGGTGACTGAGTGAGCGTGGCCAAGTCAATGTCACTTCTTTGCCCTTTTTTAACCTACAAAACACAACACAACACAACTGGCTCACCCACAATGTAAAAACAGCTGTGCTAGACCCAAAATGGCCCCGCAACAAGCAGGAACCTCACACAGCCACAAAAAGCCCAAAAAATCAACTTTCACACTTTACACACACAAAATTCCACATACAGCTTTGTGAGATTTTGTGTGTGTGAGTGAAACACTACAGAACACACTAAATCTCAGAAAGCTGCACAAATATTATTTTATTTTAATTTATTTTTATATAAAAGCAGCTAAATTTAAAACTTCCTAAACTTTAAATGGCTAGGTCTAAAAAAAGAACAACTAAAAAAAACCCAATTAACTATTTTTTTTAAAGCTCCCAAAGGGGGAAAAATATTACCCAATAGAACAGGGTTCTCCAACCTTGGCAACTTTAAGTCTCTGGAGGCTTGGGACAGCAAAAAATGTCACTTCCTGTCCCACCAGGAGTTGGGAAATGGGCTGTTTCAGGCCTTTGGAAGGCCTCCAAGGGAATGGGAAAGGGTGTTTTCACCCTCTGCAGATGCATAGAGAGGATCTGGAGCCAGGTAAAAAAGAAAACGGGCCTTCCCCACCCATCCCCAGCCCCTCCGGAGGCAGGAAACAGCCTGTTTCCCTACTCCTGGTGGGCCCAGAAGGCCCGAAAATTAGCTGGCCGGCACGTGCATACGCGCCAGAGATAAACTGGTGTGCCCACTGATATGGCTACCATAGGTTTGCCATCACAGGTATAGAGTGTGGGTGATATGTAGTCAAAAGAACAGAGAGTCAAGGACGCCTTGCCCTAGCACCTGGAGTCGGATGACTGGGGCTGTTAGCCGCGACCCTTTGTAGCAGAGAGCCATCCGCTTGGAACCAGCTCGGCTCCATCGTGCTTTCAGCCCAGGAGGACATGCCACGGGCTCATACAAGGCGGGATCCAAAAACACTCAGGCGGAGCCCACCAAGTTGGGTCAGGTTGGAACAGAGCGAGCCCAGGCGATTGTGAGACTGGAAAGCGCCGTAGGAGATTTCTGGAAATGACATCAATATGCAACAGCTATTCTTGAAAACATGCCCTCTTCTCACATGATTTTCAGAGGTCATGTAGGAATAGGGTGTGTTCTCACACATCCTCCAGACCCTCCAGAATTTTCTTTTCCATTCTCTCTCATGGCTTTCAGACCCTCCAGATTTGCCAAAAAGATTTGCCATCACTGCTCTAAGCATTATTCCGTATTGTGTGATCATCATAATCATAAGTTTATTTGTCAAGCATAAGATAACAGGTTAAAGTATAAACATAATTTGAATACATGAAAAGAGTAAGTAAAAAGGAATATTAGGACAGGGATGGTAGGCACGCTGGTGCACTTATGCACGCCCCTTACAGACCTCTTAGGAATGGGGTGAGGTCAACAGTAGACAGTTTAAGGTTAAAGTTTTGGGGGTTTGGGGAAGAAACTACAGAGTCAGGTAGTGCATTCCAGGCATTGACCACTCTGTACTGAAGTCATATTTTCTGCAAACGGTTTACCTTGAGTTTGTATCTATTATTTGCTCATGTATTATTGTGGTTGAAACTGAAGTAGTCATTGACAGGAAGGACATTGTGGCAGATAATTTTATGTACTATGCTTAGGTCAGATTGAAGTCGACGTAGTTCTAAGTTGTCTAAGCCCAAAATTTGGAGTCTGGTGCATAAAGTATTTTATTTTTTGGCAATGTTGTTACAGTGGGCTCGGGCACTTAGATCTTTAGAAATGAGTACTCCAAGGTCCTTGACAGGGTGATGGTCATCTACAAGGTCATGTCCATTTAATTTGTATTTTATGTTTTGATTTTTTTTGCCAATGTGCAAGACAGAACATTTATTGGTTGAGATTTGAAGTTGCCACTTGTTAGACCAAACTGACACATAGTCAAGGTCTTTTTGAAGGGTAGTTGCATTGTTGGTGGTGTTGAATACTTTAACATCATCAGTGAAGAGAACACAGTTGCTTTTAATATGATCACAAATGTCATTTATGTAGAGTATGAAGAGTGTTAGACCAAAGATACTGCCTTGAGGAACACCGCTATTAACATGTACAGGATTTGATAGAGCACTTCCTATTTTGACCACTTCTTGTCTGACAGGAAGGCAGCTATCCATTTATGTAGGAGTCCAGAAATGCCATAGGATTTTAGTTTTAGAAGTAATTTGTCGTGTACCACTGAATCAAAAGCTTTACAGAAGTCTATGTAAACTGCATCTATTGCTATGCCCTGATTGAGATGTGTAGTCTCGAATTGTTTGTTAGAAAGTAGCTTGTTTGTCTCTAGGTGTAGTGTAATAGATTGGTTAATGATTGATTCCATGACTTTGCAGGTGACATAAAGAGATTGGTCTGTAATTTTCAACTAGGCTAGGGTTTCCCTTTTTGAAGATAGGGATGACCCTGGCTTGTGACCATTGGTAGGGCAAGCTGCAGGTATTGAAAGATATTTCAAAATCATTTACAAATGTTATAGATTGCACGGTTGGATTTCGTGCACAGAATGTTTTCTTCTTGTTTGATGTAATTGGTACATTCAGTCTTTATTTGTTGACAAAAGTTTTTATAGCGTTTTTTGAAGTTAGCTACATAGTTTGTTTTGTTTTTTTGCCAAAGATTTTTTTTCTGGATTGTAATTTCCTTATTATTATCAGTAGTTTATTTTTTCTGGTTTTGTGAGGTATTAGTGGTACGTAAAGTTTAATGATTCTTTTGAGTTTGTGCAAGAAAATGTTGTAATGGTCATCAGCAGCATTACAGCCAGAGAATAGATTTTGCCAATCAAGATATGAGAGTTCATTGTCTGTGAGATCATAATTGACTTTTTTAAAGTTATAACTGGGAATCCCATCATTATGATTTTTGAGAGGGTATAGGTTGAGACAAAAGTCAATCATGCTGTGGTCGCTATTGGAGAATGGTTCTTTTCTTTGTAGTCCATAAATAGAATTTAAACTGATACAGAAGATGAGATCAATGATAGATGATAGCTGCTTATATGTTTTTGCACTGAGTTGTAGAAAAGATGTTGCTGTTTTAAAGAACTGATAATGAAAATGAAAATAGGCGACAATACTTTCCAGGCCATCATAGAAACTTGAGAAAAGACAGACCACTCAATAGCAGAAATATGTGCAAAGATTGAAGCACTTCTGAAACTTTCAACTTACAAACTTACACATCTGGCTGAGTCTTCAGAAGGATTCAAGAAGGATTCAAAAAAATCAAATGGTAGTCACAGCCACTTAACTGAAGCCCTCCATGATTGTGCAGGAGGAAGAGATGTAGACGGGTTAAACATACAGGGAATAATAACACTGGTGATTTTATCTAGTTTACGTATTGAAACATCTACAAGAAAATAACCAAGCTCCTAGAGCATCAAGCAGCCTCATTTCAATCCTGAGCCATAAATATTCTCTGATGCCAGGGTAAGGAAAGGCTTACCAACTCAGAATATTAGGGATATCTAATGCTGGTTTGCCAAATCCAAAATAGAAAAGAAATTATATAGTGCTCTCTGGTGTTTAAAAATCTTGTAGTTTTACAACATTATGTGCTGGTCGGGTGAAAGATGGAAGATAGAAAAGAAATATCTTTGAATATTATGGTAACATGGGAAAAAAAGTTAAAATAGAGCAAGAAATAAGGGGAATACTAGTGTGTATGTGTATGTGTGTATCAAGATATATGTAATAATAAAAGGGAGGTTTGGAAATTAATATGTCAAGTACATATTAGTTAATATATATAGGTATATATAGATATAAATATGAATTGCAAGGGCCTGGTGGCTCAGCAGACTGATAGCATTGTGATTAAGACCAGCTGTCTGCAATTACTATAAGTTCGAATCTCACCAGGCTCAAGGTTGACTCAGCCTTCCATCCTTTCTAAGGTAGGTAAATTGAGGACCCAGTTTGTGGGGGCAATAAGCTGACTTTGTATAAATATACAAGAGTATGAAGGCTATTGCTTAATGCATTGTAGGCCGCCCTGAGTCTCCGGAGAAGGGCGGCATATAAATCAATTTATTTTTTTTTTAAAAAGAATAATAAATGAATACAAATAAAGGATACATTAGGACAGGGACAGCAGGCACGCTGGTGTTCTTATACATGCCCCTTACAGACCTCTTAGGAATGGGGCGAGGTCAACAGTAGACAATCTTAGGTTAAAATTTGGGGGGTTGGGGGTTGGGATGAAACCATAGAGTCAGGTAGTGCATTCCAGGCATTGACCACACTGTTGCTGAAGTCATATTTTCTGCAATCAAGTTTGGAGCAGTTCACTTTTCAGTTTGTATCTATTGCGTACTTGTGTGTTGCTGTGGTTGAAGCTGGTTGAAGTGGTTGAAGCTGAAGTAGTCATTGACAGGTAGGAAGGACATTGTGGCAGATAATTTTATGAGCTACACTTAGATAATACCAAAGGTGGTGTAGTTCTAAGTTGTCTAAGACCGGAATTTCAAGTCTGGTGGCATAAAGTATTTTGTTGCTAGAAGAGGAGTGGGGGACTCTTCTTGTGAAATATTTCTGGACACGTTCAATAGTATTAGTGTCCAATATGCAGTGTGGCTTCCAGACAGATGAGCTGTATTTGAGAATTGGTCTAGCAAATGTTGTATGTGCTCTGGTTAGTAATGTGATATTATTGGACAAGAAGCTACGTTAAGATTAGGATTATAACTCTTAATTCCTTTTTGGCGATGTTGTTACAGTGGACTTTGGCACTTAGATGATTGGATATGAGTACTCCAAGGCCCTTGACAGAGTGAGGGTCGTCTATAAGGTCGTGTCCACTCAGCTTGTATTTTGTGTTCTGATTCTTTTTGCCAGTGTGTAAGACAGAGCATTTTTGGTTGAGATTTGGAGTTGCCAATTGTTTGACCATTCTGACACAAAACCAATGTCTTTTTGAAGGGTAGCAGCATTGTCGGTGGTGTTAAATAGTTTTACATCATCGGTGAAGAAAATGCAGTTGCTTATAATATGATTGGAGGTCATTTTTGTATTGTATGAAGAGTGTTGGTCCTAGAATGCTGCCTTGGGGGACACCGCTATTAACAGGTGCAGGATTTGAAAGGGCGCTCCCTATTTTGACCACTTGTCTGTTTGACAGGAACATGGCTATCTAATTATGTAGGGGTCCGGAGATGCCATAGCATTTTAGTGTTAGAAGTAGTTTATCATGTACCACTGAATCAAAGGCTATACAGAAGTCTATGTAAATTGCATCTATTGCTTTGCCCTGATCAAGATTTGTAGTCCATATATTTTTGCAGTGTAAAAGTTGTAGATTACAGGATAATTTTTTTCTGAAATCAAATTGTTTGTTAGAGGGTAGGTTGTTTGTTTTTAAGTGGATGGTAATGGATTGGTTAATGATTGATTCCATGACTTTGCAGGTGACGCAGCATAAAGAGATTGATCTGTAATTTTCAACTAGGCTGGGTTTGTTTTTTTGTTTTTTGTTTTTTGAAGATAGGGATGACCATAGGTTGGGGAGACAGCTGGTCCTGAAAGATTTTTCAAAGATTATGCTTAGGGGTTCAGCTATAGCAGTGGAAAGCTTTTTTAAGAAGTATGCACATAGTCCATCAGGTCCAATAGATAGAGATGGTTTTAGTCTGCGTAGTGCTTATCTTCTGTGAAATCTATTTGTGTTAGAACGTTGTAGTTATTAGTGGTATGACTAGGGAATGTTGGGCACGAACCATTGCTGTTTACAAAGACTGAGCCTAAGAATGTGTTAAAGAGGTTTGCTTTAACTGCTTCATCATTGCAGTCTTTACCGTTAGGTCCTTTTAGGGATGGGATGGATCTTGAGTTTTTAAGTTTGTTGTTTACAAAAGTTATAGAATGCGCAGTTGGATTTTGTGCACAGAAGGTTTTCTTCTTGTTTGATATAATTGGTACATTCAGTCTTTATTTGGTGACATATATTTTTGTAGCGGCTTTTGAAGTTAGCTATGTAGCCAGTTTTGGTTTTTCACCAGAGGGACTTTTTTTTATTGAAGCTTTCTTATTGATATGGGTAATTTGTTTTTCCTGGTTTTGGTGGTGATTAATAACTATTGATTTCGAGCAAGAAAATGTTATAATGGTCTTGCCAATCAAGAGATGAGAGGTCAGTGTCTATGAGATCATAGTTGGCTTTTTTGAAGTTGTAGTTGGGTATCCCATTATTATGGTGATTTTTGTAAGGGAGTATATTGAGACAAAAGTCAATCATGCTGTGGTCACTGTTGTAAAAGGATTCTTTTATTTATAGTCCATAAATTGAGTTTAAGCTGTTGCAGAAGATGAGGTTGAGGCAGTTATTGAGACTTGTTAGTTACTAGTTGGCTTAGACCTAGATTATTAACAGCATTGTATAGGGTTGTATGGATGGGTTCCGTTGTACATTCATTTATTGTCCATTTAGTAAGAGGTAGGCTGAGGTCATATTGTTTAAGCAATATGAAATAATGAAAATGAAATGTAATAACTATAAGTAATAATATTATGTCTATTTGTATCAAAATGTATGATACCCATGTACCACACTATTCATGCAGTGATATGTATAAATAATATAAAATAAAAAACTTGGGGGGAAAACATTATGTGCTGGTCATAATCCAGGCATATATCATAATGTTATTATGACAGGCTGTATAATAACAAATGCAAATATGTGCAAATCAAATCATACATGTGGGATTGTAATTTTTAGAGACAGAGCTTAAAGATTAAAAGTTGTGTTCGGATCCAAGCACTAAATGTACTGAATGTAATTCTATGCTATATGTGTATTAAGTACGGAATTTTACAATTATTTTGCAATTTTCTTTGAAATCCATTTTTAAACTTAAATAATGATTTTTTTTTTTTATAATTTCAACTTTTATTCCCTTCCCCCAGTTATATAAAACAAACTGTTTAAAACAAACAGTTAAAACATTTCCAGTGGTTAAAGTGGGGTAAATAATTCAATCTAAAGACAGGGTAGTGGGGATACTCCAGATGTCCTACCCAGTGTTGTAGCCAGGTTTTAAGTACTTTTTTGAAGGCAGGCTGTGCAGCTCCAAGGTGACATCTTGTTTCAAGAGAATGCAGTGAACTAAGAACATACCTCCTCACTCCCATGAAATGACTCTGCTCCCTAGATTGGACCTAAACCATGTTTCTTACTGGATGGACAGATGCAATAGGAAACACTTTCCAAAATAATCCAAATAAACTATGTAGAGCTTTATATATGACAATGTCTGGCATTGCTTGAAACCAATGCAGTTCAAGTCATAGTAGTGTTGCTGAAGCACTAGCCGCAATACCTACTGTGGACAAGTTGTAGCGTCCAATGGTCTTCAAGGGCCATTAAGAGTGCAATTGATTAAGCACACTAAATCAACAAGGTATTGAATGCTGATAAATGTATTTAGTTTCAAGATATGCCCAAAAGTTGGAATTGGAAATACAGTGTTTATCAAAACTTTACCAGTCTTGAACACAGCTTTAAAGCTTTGATTTTGTTGGACAGATAATAGAGGCCAGATATAATCAATATTCTAATCAACTGGTCTACCATAGCAGTTGGAGACAAATTTTGATTTGCTGCTTTCCAGGAGTTCAAGGCCTCAGCAACTTTTTCTTCTAATGTAAATGATCTAAAAATATAAATAGAAAAATACTTGATGTCCCCATGATTGATAGAATCTGTGAAAAAAATGTACCAATGAAACATTAACGAAAATACTAATTAAAAGTATTATCTTTTGAGCCACAGTGGCGCAGTGGTTAGAGTGCAGTACTGCAGACTATTTCTGCTGACTGCCGACTGCCTGCAATTTAGCAGATTGAATCTCACCAGGCTCAAGGTTGACTCAGCCTTCCATCCTCCTGAGTTGGGTAAAATGAGGACCCAGATTGTTGGGGGCAATATGCTGACTCTGAAAACCACTTAGAGAGGCCTGTAAAGCACTGTAAAGCAGTATATAAGTCTAAGTGCTATTGCTATCTACTAGGAAAAGGAAAAACATTGCATTTATTTATGTAAGTGTTTATATGGCCGCTCAACTTAGACAATGGGACCCTGGTGGCTTACAAAGAAGGGAAACCGCGATCAACCCATACAAAACAAGATAGAATGTCTCATTAAATATTGATCATTAAATATCACTAACCTCTTATTTTCAATATTTACAATTATATCATTGTCAAGTTGCATTTTTCGGCAAAAATAATCCAAATGTTCAAGAGGAATATTTTTACTAATGGTTTTCAATATTTTCTCCAGGACTTTTTCTAAAATAAACATGTTATAAATATTAGAGGACAACAATTTGATATTACAAATTATTTAGACTATATTTATTTAGACTATAAACACAATTCTGGGAAATGTTGCTCTAGTAAGAGTAGATCAAAATTGGTCGCGCTGGTGGATGATCTCTGGAGGGCTCGGGACAGAGGTTATTCCTCTGTTCTCGTCCTATTAGACCTTTCGGCGGCTTTCGATACCATTGACCATGGTAACTTGCTGCGATGTCTCGAGGGGCTAGGAGTGGGAGGCACTGTTTTGCAGTGGTTCTCCTCTTAGCTCTCGGGTCATACGCAAGCGGTGTTGGCAGGGGAGCAGAGGTCGGCCATGAGGCCCCTCACTTGTGGGGTGCCCCAGGGGTCAGTCCTCTCACCTCTTCTGTTCAACATTTATATGAAGCCGCTAGGTGAGATCATCCGTGGTTTCGGGGTGAGGTATCATCAATACGCAGATGATACCCAGCTTTTTATTTCCACCCCAAACCAGCCCAGTGATGTCCTCGATGTGATGTCCCGCTGCCTGGAGGCAGTATGGGTCTGGATGGGGAGGAACAGGCTTCGGCTCAACCCTGACAAGACCGAGTGGCTTGTCGGTCCGATGGCATTCCGGTCCGACCTAGAGGTTCCATCTTTGTCTATAGGGGATGAGGTGTTACCCCGGTAGACAAGGCACGCAACTTGGGTGTCCTCTTGGATTCACAGTTGAGTTTAGAAGATCATATAACAGCCGTGACCAGGGGGGCGTTTGCCCAGGTCCGCCTGGTGTGCCAGTTGCACCCTTATTTGGACCGGGATGCCCTACGCACAGTTACTCATGCACTAGTCACCTCCTGTATTGACTACTGCAAGCTTTCTACCTAGGGCTGCCCTTGAGGACCATCCAGAGGCTTCAGCTGGTACAGAATGCAGCTGTGATGGGTGGTTCCCGATACGCCCATGTTACACCTCTCCTGCGCGACTTGCATTGGTTGCCGGTTGCCCTCTGGGTGAGATTCAAGGTGCTGGTGATGAGCTATAAAGCCCAAATGGCTTAGGTCCAGGTTATTTGTCAGACCATCTGCTACCAGCAACAGCTCCCCATCGCCCGGTGCGTTCTCACAGGGAGGGCCTACTCAGGGTGCCGTCGGCTAGACAGTGTCGACTGGCGACCCCTAGAGGCAGAGCTTTCTCTGTGGGTGCTCCCATCTTCTGGAACCAACTTCCTCTGGGGCTCCGGTTGGCCCCTGACCTCCGCACTTTCTACCGCGACTTAAAGACATGGTTGTTCAGCCTGCACTGCGGGGATTAACATATATTTTAACACGCTTTTATTCGGTTATTTTATTGTTGTGAGCCGCCCTGAGTCCTGTGGAGATAGGGTGGCATTTAAATAAAATAAAATAAATGAATAAAAATAAAATAAAATCACAATTAAATATGCATCTGAACTGAAAAGAATATAGGATTGGAGACTAACTGTATCCTTAACTAGGTATTAAATTGTGGGTTTATTAATATAGCCAGAACAGTCTGTAGAGACAATTATTAATTTGTAGTATATCATTTTGTTTGATTTCAAGCTACTGATAGACTATAGTTGTCTGTTTAGGAAAACACTTTAAATGGAATTGCTTTTCCTGATTTGTAATATATATTGATTAATGTTTTCTGGGCCCACCCACTCATCTTCTGATAAATGTAAAATGTAGAAGTGAAGAAACAATGATAGGGAAAGCACAAAGTAAGTAGGACCCAAGTAACAAGCATGAGTTCTGGGAAAGACCCAAAAAACAGTGGGATGAATTTTGAGCCATTTAAGCAACTCCAGGTATTTGCCATGAACAAAATTATATTTAATGGAATTTAGTCTTTAGTAGAATACAAAGTAACCGAGGACTTTCTTTGGGGATCCATTGTATGGGGAAGAGAAAATGCAACCTCTTTTAAATAAACCACAGCAGCAGAATATAAGTACCTGCCTACTCAGTGCCTGTGATTCCTAAAGGCTCTTTTGATACAGGACTAAGGGATTAGAGATGAAGGTTGAGGGAGGTAGCAGATGACAGAAGTCAGCAGAGAAAACATCTCTTGGATTAATTTATCAGATCTGTATAAACAAGCAAGAGAATTGTTTCTTCAACCTAGAAAACTTTTTGTACAGAAGGAAGGGGCCAGACACTACTGAATTCAAGAAGCGTTGGAAGATTTATTAAAACTGTTGGTGTAAGAATAGGAGAACAGAAACTTCAAATGGTTGCTGGATGAATTTATCTCTTTGCTTAAAGATTTTATTTTAAATGCTATCTTAAGTTCTCAATTTGGACTATGGAAGCTACAAAAAGCTACAAAAGTCTGCTTTTGTTTCAGTTTTTCTCTCTGAATGTTCAAAAGACTGAGAGTTCAATAGGTTCTCTGTGTCTTTGAAGAGTCCAGCATTTGCTTTTTGTAATTTTTAAGTCAGTTCCACCTCTATTTACAAAGGTCTTTGCCACACTGGTGTCCAAAATGAGATGAAGAAGAGGCTTAGTACAAGCAGCTGACCCATGAAAAGAGGGTCAGAGTGTGGGATTCCTCAGAGTGTGAATTAAGGTGACGTGTTGGTGCAGTCTAGCTATGTTTTATGCTCAGCAAACAATCTGCAGACACTCATAATTTGCTGCCACAGTTTATTAGCAAGGACACATAATTACAACGTCATTGAACATTGTCTATTATCTGTCAATGCTATAAGATAATAAATTTCTTCTAACTCATGTGACTTATTCCAATTGGAGGTAAAATGATCAGAGCAATCAAGAAACAAGGGAGACTGGTACCTCCCTACCCCATGGTAGATAGGAAGTCTCAGAAGCCCAAAGAAAACAATCTGAGGCATGAGTAAAAAGTCTATTGATACTGGGATATTTAATCCAAACTTACCATCTCTTTGATCAGCATTTTCTAAGTAATGTATGATGGGGAGCAGTTGTTTCCCTTTACAGATTTCCAGAGGAGGCCTGATGAGAGTATTTTCATCAAAATCTATATCCTTTAGTTGCAGAAGAAGGTGCATATCACTAGGCAAGTATATAAGCTTATTTTCTAGTAAAATAAATACAAAGAAAGCCATTTTGAATTGTTAACTAAGTACAGCCATGATGAAAGATTCAGTCTTGTAATTCATTAGTCAAAAATAAATCAGTATTATAAATATTATGTGACATCAATAATGAATCATGGTTACTGAAATCTAACACAACCTCCTGGTACTCAACAAAATCTCATTTGCTACAGCAAAGGTTGGCAAAAGGTATATGGATCTCCTTGCCCCATTATTATTGACTTTGCTCCAGGGTGGATGTGCATGTGTTCACGCACATACACACACAAACAAACATACACACGCTTTCCTTGCAATCTTGCAATTCTTGCTACAATCCTGAACCAAGTCATCTTGGTTTAGGAAGTTGAAAACTCCGCAACTATCTCAGCCTGCACTTGTATTAAAATACAAGAATAGTAAATGCAATGAATTTGTGGCCCTCTCAGGATAGGCTGCTTTTGATCAATAGTACAGCTGGCCCTTTTTCCTCATGCATAATTTTAATCTGACTTTTGTTCCTTGCAAAATGAAGAAGCCCTTGGGAATTTGAATTGTTTGGAAAACAATTTTTGTTTGGGACATTTTTGGCAGAAAGTAAGCCAATGCATCTTCTTGCAGGGCATCTTGGCAACTTTTCTGTCTGTAAAACAGTCTATACAATAGACCACTATATAACAGACCAGACGGCTCTAGATAATATAGCCTTGATTCATTCATAGTCATTTTATATATATATATATATATAACTATTCTTACAATACATCCTGAATAAGGTAAAAATACAGGTAGTCCTCAAATTACGACCACAATTGAGCCTAAAATTTATGTTGCTAAGTGAGAAATTTGTTAAGTGAATTTTGTCCCATTTTACGTATTTTCTTGCCATATTTGTTAAATGAATCACTGCAGTTGTTAAATTAGTGACCGGTTGGTAAGTGAATCTGGTTTCCTCATTGATTTTGCTTGTCAGAAGGTCACAAAAGGGAATCACATGACCCTGGGACACTGCAACGGTCATAAATGTGAGTCGACTGTCAAGCATCCAAATATAAATCATGTAACCATGGGGATGCTGCAAGTGTGAAAAACAGTCATAAGTCACCTTTTTCAGTACTGTTTAACTTCGAATGGTCACTAAGCGAACTGTTGTAAATCAAGGACTACCTGTATTATCATACTTGTCCTTTCCTTTTAAACTCCTTTTTACCTAAGGTAAAAAACATCAAGATGGCAGCCACAATGATGCAATTGAAAGCACACCTGTTTTTGATGTGTTAAATGTACAATTCACATAAAAAAATAAACAGCTTCAATTTCATCATCAGTAACCACCTTAATTTTTTTGACCATATCCTGCAGCCAACCCCAAACTTCAGCTTTTGACCACATCTTACTCTAATCTCAGTTTATGGGAAAGACTTTTTATTTTGAGCTGTATTGTGTTTACATAGCAACTCTTAGTCACATTTGTGTGCATTGTAAAATACTAGAAAAATGTAAACTCCTCAGGGCCTTTTGTGGAATATTGATTACTCTTGTTCTCCCTCTTTTAAAAAAATTATCTGTGTTGCATAAATTTTGTTTTCTTCCTCCTTTCAAATCCTAATAACCATAGGAATATTAATATTAAGCAACGTGATTACACTGATATAATTGTGGGGAAATAGTGGGTTATACTATATGAATCATTTGATTTTTAAATTTTAATTCTAATTCAATTTTATCATGTTGCAATTGATTTCATTTCATTTATAAGCTGACAAATATTTCTATTATGTAATTCAAACCCTATATACCCAAATTATCTTCTTATTTAAGAACTACACTTCTCCAGTTATCCAAGCATTGTCAAACTAATTTATTGGCATTCTATTGCAGCTGAATACAAGTTTGTACATGTTTACACTCACTTTTCTATACTTGCTACATCTGATCTGCATATCACAACTTGTTTCTGCGCATTCTCACTGGATTAGGGTTATTCTTTTCACACCTGAGTATCATTTCCTATGATAATAAATATAAAACCGCTTACCTCTCAGATTCAGATGACACAAATTACAGAGTGACGAAAAACTTGAGGGAAGCTTTGTTAAACAATTGTTGTTTGCTATTAGAGTGACCAAGCTCTGTATGTCCCCTATACTTTCTGGTATTTCTTGTAATTCATTGTGAGAAATATCCAGCTCTTTAAGAGATTTCAGCTTTGATATCTCTTCTGTCAATGATTTTAACTGAAAATAAAAGCAATTAAAATATTTTTATAGCAAGGAATTGTTTTGTTATAAAAGAATCATCTTTTGTTACCTATATAAGAAAATATTAAATAGATTCTGCTAAAACAGTGCTGGACAACAAAATAAAACAAGGATAATAATCCAAATAATCTTTTTAATATTCTCAATAGAAAAAAATATATATGGCTCAGGTTTGAACTGTAAAGATTGGTGCTCTCAGATCTTTAGGAGTCGTTTCAGAAGTCAGAGTACAGATATAATTTAAGGGAGATTCAATTCCAGGAGGTAACAGCTTAAGGAGAAGGTGTAATTTTAAAATGGAGAAAAAGTAATCAATCTTGATTGTGCTATTGGGCCTAGTGTACCAGAACATATATCATGTTTTTCAAACCTGGCAACCTTAAGATGTATGAACTTCAACTCTCAGAATTCCCCAGCCAGCATAAAGAGTCATAATTTTAAGTAGCTTACCCTTAATCCATTTTTCTGACTCAGAGTTAACTTCTGCAATGATAAAAGTTGGCATATTTCATTTGGAAATGATGCAAACTTGTTGTCTGATAGATTTAAGACTTTTAGCTTTGATAGTTCCTTAATATCTTCAGGAATGAACTGTATTTTGTTTTCAGAAAGATCAAGAACCTTTAGATGACTTAGAACACATAATTCTCTGGGAAACAAAGTAAATTTGTTATTGTATAATAGCAGAACCTGGAGACATTGCATTTTATGCACACTTGTGGGAACAGTGCTTATTTCATTGTTACTTAGGTCTAAATAGCTCAGTCTAGAAAGAGTACAAAGGTGTATGGAAAATGATGGCAATTTGTTCTTACTAAAATTTAGATGCTGCAGATTTTTAATAAATGAAATGTCAATAGTTATTTCTGAAATATAATTTCCACTGAGATTTAAGTGTTTAAGAGCAGCTAGTGCACACAATCCAAGTGGAAACACAGCCAATTTGTTATAACTTAAGTCAATTTTAATGATTTCAGTACAGCTTTTTATTTCAACAGGAATATACATTAATGAATTTCCTGATATTTCTAAAATTAAGAGTTTCTTAATGTATGCTATTTTTTCATCTAACAAGATCAGTTGGTTTCTGCTTAGATACAATTCTCTTAGATATTTCAATCTGTATAGACTGGAAGGAATCTGTCTTAATTGGTTGTCATTAAGGTTGAGGCGTTCTAACATGGTACAGTTGCAAAGACTATCAGGAATTATTTTTAACAGATTATTAGAAAGATTAAGGTCACAAAGCTTTTCAAGCTTTTCCACTTTATCTGAAAGACTTTCTAATTGATTGTTATCCAACCTCAGTTTTTCAATATGTAACCACTGAAAAAGCTGCACAGGCAAAAATGTAAGCTTGTTGTTACTTAATGAACACTCTTTTAAACCTTTGAGTTCTTTGACTTCTTTTGGTAAACTTTGGATCTGATTTTCTGACAAAATAAGCTTATTTAGATTTGGAATGTAACAGACCATCTTTGGGAATATTGAAATGCTACAGGAATGTAAAAAGAGTGCATTTAATTTGTTCATGGTAGATATTGAGTCTGGGAGGGTCACATTATTTCCACTGAGATCTAACACTTCTAGCCTTTCAAGTTTTTCTAAAGCAAAGTTGATTTTTTCAATGTTGTTATAACTGAGCAAAAGACATCTGAGTCTTGATAGTTCAGAAAAATTTTGTGGCAATGATGATATTTGATTATGACTGAGATTCAAAGTCCTAAGTTTTTTAAGAAGACAAATTTCAGGAGGTAATGAAGCTAACTGATTTTCTTCCATACATAGTATTTCCAGGTTTTTCAACAACCTTATTTCTTGTGGTAGGGTCTTTATTTCATTATTGTTTAAATTCAAAAACTTCAACTTCTTTGTGTCAAAAATCGCTGAAGGAACTTCTATGAGCCCTCTTGTATGTAACTGAACTGTAAAGTCATCAAACATCATTTCAGATGGTGATTCTCTGATTAGCATTTGAGACACCGAAGCATTTTCTACAGAGTGCAATAAACTTTTTTTAGCCTGAACTTCAAGAAAATCTTGTGGGATTTCAGCTAATCCTTCAGCATATAGATATGCCAAAAGTTCAACATGTTTTGTATCCACTGTCCAATCTACTGGAACTTTTTTCAGTGTTTCTAGTTTCTCTGAAGAATCTAAACTGCATTTTTCCTTTTCTTTATCTTGTACAGGACTCATAGAGCTTTTTGCTTCTTTTTCAGTTTCAGTCTCCTGGAATTCACTTGCCTTTTCCTTGGGCAAACTGCTGGAAGATATTTCTGACATTTCCAATGTTTGTGGGATAGTTTCACTTTCATTAGCATCAGTGGCTTCATGCTGATTTTCTTCTGGCACTTGATCTGAAGAACTTCCAGTTGTATCATGTTCTTTAATAGATTGCATACTGCCATTTTCAATCTCTTTTAGAGAGCTTTCATTTACGTCCCCATCTTCATTTGCGTCTTCTTCTTTATCGGACATACTTCGAAAAAAAAGCAGGATCAGTTGTTGTTGCTTATTCCAGCCTTTATTAAAAAATAAAAAATAAATGAGAAAACCATAATATAATGGCAAGATATATGATAGGTAAGAAACAGGATTTAGACAATATTAGTGAAATAGTGTAGGATATAAGAAAATTCAAAAATAAAATAGTTTGTAGGTATATAGGTTAGAAATGCATATAAGTAAAGATTCAATTTTGCTTAGGCAGCAGGTTGGACTGGATGACCTGCCCCTTCCAACTCTGCTACTCTGGTAAATTTGTTAGATATTATTTTGCTTTAAGATAGTTGGAGAACATGCTGACCAATATGTAACAATATTGTGTTAGAATAAATCTTCTTTTGTTTTAGGACCGTTAGAAAGAGGCCTTGAAAAAGGGGACATTCCTTAATGCTAGGGCAGTAGAAATAAGAAAGAGCTATGCTTGCAAAATATTGTATGGGTAGTTATGGGAAGAAGTTGATAAATATGTAATTAGAGAAAGAGATGATGTTCTCTCTAAAAGGCGCTTCGGATCAGCTGTGGTCGGTCACTGGATGCGATGTAGGTGGGGCATGGGGGGCATCGGGATAAAATGTAATGCTTTTGAAACTTTAGGTGTGGCTTCGTGGCTCAAACTCCTTGTTGAGGTGTGCTGGGATACCACCCTATTTTGCAAAATTGTTTTTATTATTTTCTTTTAATAAAGTCTCTTTGTTTTTATCGACCCATGCTTGTTGGTTGAATTCATTTCCAACAATCAAGCAAAAATATCACTTAGTGATATTGTAAGTGTTGTAAATTGTAAGTGTTAGATTGAATTTTAGCTGTTTGTAACTGCTTAGAACCATCACACCTACATTTTAAATAATGTATTTTATAAACTTAATTTGTAAACAGATGAGAGAAACATAAAAGAATTCTAATAATATCAACAGCTTATTCTAATAACAATAAAACTTACTATAAAACTATGATCTTATTCAGGTAAGGTTAATCCTTATTTCATTCATGGCTGCAAAAACTAAACATATCTTCTTAGAAACAAGACTAAATCTTATGAGGCTTATACCTAGATATTAAGATTATGCAGTGCTTTGGATACAAATGTCATACCTTTCTACAACTTTTAAAAGACCAATTTCTTTCTTTACTGTAAAGAGTTGCCACAGCTACAAATCTATATACAGTACTGCAAAACATCTTTGTGAAATTGAATCTGAAAGTCTCTGTAGCCATCATACAGTGTAGTGTCTAGAATATTTGCCATTTGTGGACCTTCTGTCATTACTAAAAGCTAGAGTATATTTACCAAGTAGGGCTTGTTGTTCTTTTAAACCTCACCTTATAGAATTTCCAACTGCCAGAGATTTTCTAATGCAAGTTCCAATTTAAAGCAATTCTGATTGGCTTATTTTTCTCACCAAGCTAGAGATTCTGTTTAGATCTAGGATTTCAGTTGTATAACTTTTGAGTTTATCCCAAGCGGTTTTTCTTAAGTAATTGACAATACGTTTCTTTAACTTTGATATTATCTTGTGTTCTTGTGAGTGGATAATGTAAACTTCTTTCCTTTAGAAAGCATATCAATGTAATATCTATGAAAGTGCCTCATGTGATTAGATCCTTATTTGTTTAACAGTTTAACAAACAAAAATACAAAGGCCTGGGAAATGTCTTCTGTGACAAAATATTGATTCACTATATTGGTATTTTTAGAAGAATATTCTATTGTAATGCTACTTTCATATCTTTTTAAAAGTTGCATTCAGGTAATCCTCGACTAATAACCATTCATTTAGTGATTATTCTAAGTTACAGTGGTACAGAAAAAGTGACTGTTAGGACTGTTTTTCACAGTTATGACCATAGCATCATCCCCATAGTCATGTGATCAGAATTGGGCACTTGGCAATTAGCATGTATTTATGATAGCTGCAGCTTCTTGGTGTCATGCGAGCACCATTTGTAACAGTGGTGGTTTGGACCGGTTCTATAGAACCGATAGTAAAACCGGAGGGAGACTCCGCCCACTGACCCTGATGTCATCAGTACGCTTCTGCGCATGCGTGGCCCCGTTGCAAACCGATAGTAAAAGTAAGTAGAATCTACCCCTGATTTGTAACCTTCCCAGCTGGCATTTGACAAACAAAGTCAATAGGGGAAAGCAGATTTGTTTAATGACTGCTTGGTTCACTTAACAACTGCAATGATGTGCTTAAAAACTATGGCAAAAAGATCATAAAATGGAATAGAAGCAATTCTGGGCTATTTATATTATACTATTCTCATGTAAAAAGCAGGAACTTTCTGCATTATCTCTATTCTAACTGAAATAACATCAATAAACTTTCTCACTCCATAGAAATAGCCCACCCTTCTTGCTCCAACAGAAGGGACATTGCTGCCCATCTTATATTCAAAGAACTTTGTCTGGCAGGATCCAGGAAAAGACCCTTTTCTGCAATGGCTCCTGCTCTCAGGAACATTGTGCTGATGGAGGTGAGAGCTACTCCCACCCTTCCACAAGGGCCTCAAAACATGGCTCTGCTGATTGACTTGGGGCCCCAATAGGGCTGTTCCATGGTGCAGATGGCTGGTGAATTAAGAAGATCCTACTTACCTCCCTTTGTGTACTAGTTTTACCCAACTTCAAGTTCCTGTTTAAATTTTAGAAATTAGGATGAAAACAGTGACACGTACATCCTAATTACTAATGTTTTAAATATGGGGAATGTGCTTTTAAATTCACAATGTTTGTAAAGTTCAGTCTGGAGTATGATATAAAAACAAATATCATATGGGTCATTTAGAAAGGGATATAAAACCTAGCTAAGAAATTAAATTTTTGGGAGGGCAAAGCTGGAAAAAAAAAGAATCAGTAGTTTGGAATACAAACTGGAATATAAATTTTGTAAGTAAATTAATAAAGAATTTAAAAAAAAACATAGTCCTCAATTCTTTGGCCTTTGAATATCAACAATTCTATCTTTATAAGGGTTGCCCCTGAGAAACAGTTGCTTGGAGTATTGTTAAATTTCTAGGATCTAGCCCAATAACTCTCAGTACTTCATCAATAACAGAAATAACTTATGTATTTATTATTGAGAATATAAATTAACCTATTCATACACATCTATAACCTTGCTTCTTTATCTCATAGGTATTCATCTAAATCTGAGGGAGAAGTTTTACAGACAAGGACTTATATACCCGGAGGAAGGAGTCAAAGGTAAGGCGGAATTGGGAATGGGATGGGTTTAAGGGATTTAACCCATGCTAAACCATAGAGTGCAGAATAAATACAAGAGTTAGACATTTTATCTGACAAGTATGTGTTAATTCTTCTAATTTGATGGTATAGCCAAGCCTTATTTGTTTCCTCATTTACAGTGGTACTTTAATATAACATCTTAATATGTTATTGGATTTGAAAAGGCGGGGGTAAACAAAATATGAGGAAAGAAACTCAAGTCTTGCCCATAGGATGCCTACCAGCCATACAACTAGAACAGTGTTTCTCAACCTCAGCTACTTTTATAATGTGTGGACATCCCTGGCTTAGAAATTGTGGGAGTTGAAGGTCATATATCTTAAAAGTTGCTGAGGTTGAGAAACATTGCACTAGAGCTGTCACATCTTCACAGTGGCATCATGTGACATATCAGGACTTTTCCCCCCTTCTCTAAAACAGGTCTGGGCATGGCCTGTACATGACACATCCAGCCCACGGGCCAGGAGTTTGACAGCTCTGCATTAGAGCAATGGCTGGCAATAGTGATTTATCTCATCTTGTCTTATGGCAGAAATGCAGAAACTAGAAAGGGGGAAATTATTCATTTAAATTTAAAAATATTAAATCTTTAATAAAAACATAAATTTACATAGTTCTAATTCAATGCTGGGCCACATTGATGGCAGGTTTATTTCTGACCAGCAAGTTGTTCTGGGTTCATGTCAGAGAAACATTGCACTAGAGCCGTGATGGCGAACCTATGGCACACGTACCACAGGTGGCACACGTAGCCATATCACTGGGTACACAAGCTCAGCTCTGGCGCATGCCGGCCAACTGACTTTTGGGCCTTTTGAGCTTGCCAGAAGTGGGAAACAGGCTGTTTCCTGCCTCCGGACGGCCTGAGGGGTGGTGGGAAGGCCTATTTTTTGCTGTCCCCAGCCTCCAGAGCCTCTCTAGGAGTCTGGCGAGGGCGAAAACGGCCTTCCCCATCCCCCAGAGGTCTTCCGGAGGCTGAAAACAGCCTGTTTCTTCACTTCCAGAATTAGGCAAACGGGCCGTTTTCGGCCTCCGAGGGACCTCCGTGGAGGTGGGGAAGGCCGTTTTCGCCGTCCCCAGACTCCTAGAGAGGCTCTGGAAGCTGAGGACAGCAAAAAAACGGGCCTTCCGGTCCCACCAGAAGTTGGTAAACAGGCCATTTCTGGCCTCTGGAGGACCTCCATGGGGGTAGGAAAGACCATTTTTGCCTTCCTCAGACTGCTAGAAATGCTCTGGAGTCAGGCAAGAGAAAAAAAACAGGCCTACTGGGCCATCGCATGTCAGGATGTGTGCACACATGTGCGGAGTCGCAGCGCATAGATTTATAGGTGTGGACACACGCACGTGCAAGAACCCCCTTTTGCCATGGCAAAAAGGTTAGCCATCATTGCAGTAGAGCAATGGCTGCTAACAGGAATGATTTACTTAAGCGTTCAGCTATTTATTTTCACATGATTTTACCCAAAAAGGTGATGTGTCTTTTAATATAGAATTTCAACATTCTGGCATTGGAGTTCCCCAGGAGTGAAATCTACTTACCTTCCTTACCGGTTTGGAAGTGCACATGCCACGCACGCACACAACCTTCTGCGCATGCGCAGAAGGTAAAAAACACATTACTTCCTGGTTAAAACCAGGAAGTAATGACACCCGGGTGGGTGGGCAGAGCGTCACACCGCCATCGCTACCAGTTCTCCAAACCACCTGCCACAATCGCTACCAGATCGCCCGATCCGGTCTGAACCAGGCGCATTTCACCCTGGAGTTCCCTCATTCCTCAGCATTGCTCAACTATCTTGGTTACTACATTTTGACTTTTGAGTGAGAATAATAAAAGATATAGGAAAATACCATATGTGAGGAGCATGTTTAGCAGTGGGTCTCCAGGACTTGGGCAGAAATCCTTGACCCAATGGTTACATAACATTTTAGTGTGAGATACCAGAGACTGAATTTTGACTTTCTGCACAGAAACTTACACCACATAATTCTGGGTTCTACCTTTTGTTTGGATAAGAGCCAAATATATTCCTATTATACTATATTTCATAGGAGTTGCTAGTAGGACCATCCATATGGGTGAAAATAACGTACTGTAATTAGAGTTTACTGTACTTTAGAACTTCCCTCAACTAAAGGGGATGGATGTTTGTCAATCCCAGTTGCTGGAGAGACATTATGCCATCCATAAATGACAAAATAACAGCCACAAATTACCTAAAATGACAAAAAAATGGAAAGTTCATCCACATTTATAGTCCATTAAATCCAAGTTTCATTGCACTGATTATATAAAATTAATTAAGGAACTTTCTATTATCACCAAATACATAAATATTGCCCAAATCATATGTTAATCAACCATTTTTATTTAAAAAAACATTTTCTTCAGCTTATATACAAATATTTTTAAATGCTGTATTTCATAAACATAATTTAAAAACAGAATTATTATCTGATGCAGCAAGGGCATACAAGGACCATATATTTCAAATTGTTATGTAAGGTAACTCTTATTGACATAAATTATTCAAAATATGTAATAAGGTATCTTTGAGATACCAATATGTAGCCAGTTACACCTTAGAGATTAGGGACCTGCCTTAGAGATTCCCAGGTCCCACAAATTACCTATAATTTAGGCATCTGTTTATTTATTTTTGTGGGATGCATGCCGCACCATTTATTTTGGAGTTCAGGAAGGCATACTTAGGGTACCCCCTCTTATTTTTTCCAGCTGTGAGGTAGACTAGGCTAAGACAAAAATACTGAAATTAAGCAGACAAATTGTGTGCTTGTGAACAAGTTAAAATATATGTCTCCCATTCATAATCCAACCACACCACTACAAATTTGGTGTTTTTTAACCACAACACCACAAATAAGGAATTTAGAAAGATCCCATGCAAATGTTTCATAGGTTTCATATTGAATTGCCAGTACCCTGATGTCTTCCTAGAACAGTAAGGGCAAACCAGTGGAGGGTTGCCCCCGGTTTGGACCGGTTTGCAAGAACCGGTAGTAAAACCGATGGGAGGCTCCGCCCATCGACCTGGATGCCATCATAGGCGGTCTGCGCATGTGATCCCATTGCGAACCGGTAGTAAAGGTAAGTAGAACCCACCCCTGTGGTAAACCTTTGGGGCTCAGTTTATTAAAAACTCAGAAAATGCCTAACTTGGCTCTACTGATGTCTCTATCTCTGTCTCTCTCTCTCACACACACACACAAAACCCAAAACAGAAGCAATTGTCTTCCTCACTCCCACCATATCTTGTGGCCCTGAACAGCAGCACTCAGAGTATCACCAAGGCTGGGCCTGAAATAGAGACCCAGGCCTTGATTTCAGTCCTAGTGCCACAGGTGCCATGCAAAGCCACCCTAATCCTGTTCTCCAAGGAGTGTAAGCCTTGGGGAACAGTGTGATTGTCCCCACAGCCCAAAATCTGCCATGTGGCCTTCAGACAGTATTCTTTTTGACAGGCCTGTTACCTAGTCTACCCAAGGCTGTTCTAGGTTTCATGAGGCCTTCATTTATTCTCCACTCTCTCTTTGGAGAATGCTTTTCCATAGCCTCCAAAAACCATGTGAAAGAGTTCTGTAAAATCCCACTTTCACATGCTTTTTGGAGACTTTAAAGCAGAATGTTTTACAGCCTGCAAGCCACATCCTGCCCTTTGATTATCTCTGTTTGGTCCATGGCGACTGTAGGGTAGCACAGCGGCAGCCCTTCACAAAGGTCCTTGTTTCTCATGTGGCCTCTTAGGAAAATTAATTGCCCATCACTGCTCTAAAGGCCATGCAAAAGCACAGCCATCTCACATGACGTCCAGTGGCTCTGGAGGATGCATAAGAACACACACCATTCTCTCAGTCTGCAGACTCCAAAAATCATGGGAGAACAGACATGCTTTTTGAAAATAGGTGTTTCTCAACCTTGACATCTTTAAGATATCTGCACTTCAACTCCAAGAATTCCCTTGTCAGTATGCCTCAGTATGTCTAGAATTATAGTCCTCATTTTATTTCCTGAATTCCTGTAAATTACATACACAAATATTATTCTTATGGCTTTACCAACCAAATACTTTAAATGATTATATTAGAATAGTGCTGTACAATATAAATATACAAATGATCAGGGCGCTTTCGGTAGGACCTCCATCAGGCAGTGTCTTTTATCCTGTTCAATTAATCAATGTGGAACATTTGAACACAATGGGTCCCCATTTAATTTAGTCGCTTCTCTCAGGTATCAGCTGACTGCTTAGCTTCATCAGAAGTTTTATGACAAGACCTGCCTACAAACAAAAAAAGACATTAAAATAGTAATAAAAGTCATGTAATTGTAGCATTGTAGAATTGTAATTCATCTATTTATTTAGAAAATTCATACGGGCAACCATGTTACATGTGATGTTGGGCAGCATACAAATTCAGCAATAGTTAAAACAATGTAGCCACTCTTAAAACACTGAAACATGAACAAAAAATAAATTATAAAAAAGCCAAACTTGTGGGGGAATAACAATCACCTAATATCATACAACCACCTTGCAGGCTCTCTAGAGGATGCCCGAGGGCAATAGAAAAATATTTCAAGGGGTTTCCCAAAGATTAAAGGGACGGACCAAAACTAAGTGAGCAGAATTCTATAACTGTCTCAAGGATAAACTTGATAATTGAGGATTGTGCAAATAAGCATTCTACATACCCACTTAGGGAATATTGCCCAGGTCTCACAACCCAGTCTTCTTTGAAGACTGGCACAAAGATACCCAAATCTTTGGGGATAACAAGACAAGCACATTGTATTTTCCACTGCTTTAAGCTTGAGCTTTCCAAATTCCTTAATTTCCAGTAGGTAAGCTAAAGTATTATTGTCAGCAGCATAATTGTATGCAGGCCAAACTGTTTGAAAGGAAAAGCATAATAATGGAAGCTGTTTAAATGCTGTTTTCTGTCTGTTAAAAGTGTAGGGTTTGTTTGCATTTTGATTAATAATAATTATGCAGATTGAAATATTTTCTAGAGTATAATTTGGCATTTGGTTAAGTATAAGATTATATAAAATGCTATTAACATTTTATCCAGCCTTAACCACTCAAGTGTTTTCAAACAGCTTCATATATTCTGTATAATCTTGCAAAGCTGACATATGCAAACTAGTTGCCTGAATTATTCTGAATTCAGTTTCTGGCAGGTTTAATTATTATTATTTTTTATAGTTGAGAATATTTCTATGCTGCTGCCAGAACATATCTGATCAGATGATTATATTGTGAAGACTTCATTCAATAACTTTACATTAACCTAATAATCCAGTCAACCAAATGTTCTTATTGTGGGAAGATTTACCATTAGGGAATATTAGAGGGAAGGACGCTGTAATTTAAATACCTGCTTGGTGTGAACTATGAAGCTCATTTTGTTTTCCAGACTATGTATTTGAAAACAGGTATCGCCATCTCCCAACTGCCACATAAAGCAACCATATTTTAAACTTATGAGCAAAGCCTGGAATATAAAAAATATAAAAGGAAAAAAAATGACAAATAAATTAGCACATTGGAATGTGCTAATTGCTCAAAATCTTTTGGAGTGGGGTCACTAAAACACATCTAATAAATAATGGCAACAATGACAACAGCTAATCACATTAAAATAAAACAAAATACATTTTGAGGTATAGCAATTGGGTACCATCCAGTGGTGGGTGGCCCTCATTTGGACTGGTTCTATAGAACCGGTAGTAAAACCGGCGGGAGACTCCGCCCACTGACCCTGATGTCATCAGAAGCGATCTGCCCATGGGCAGAAGGTGCGTGCGCAAAAGAAGCGAGTGCGCACGAGCAATCCCGTTGCGAACCAGTAGTAAAGATAAGTAGAACCCACCCCTGGTATCATCTCACTATTTTCTCTTATGTCAACCTTGTTTCCTCTTCCAGTTCCTCACTGATTCTTCTAGGAACCAATTCTACCCATTAGTATCCCCTATACATCAGCGCCAGTTAGGGGAGTAAGCCTAATATGTTGTTTAGTAGGACACTAGTGCCAAGGGGGACAAATGTTTTTCCCTCTAAATACTCCACAAGAAACCTGTGCTTTTGTCAATGCCTGAAACTGTGTTGCTTGGCCTAATTAGAATGGAATGCTTATCTGTAAGTCAGGAATCCCCAAAATCTTCATTCAATCAATTCACGAATTTTCAGATTCTTCATCAACTCTCTAACATTTATTATATTAAAATATTCAAGATTGCTGTTACTGCTGGCTGTTCATTCAATCCTGAATACCAACACTGCTTCATCATTGGTGACCTCACATTCAGAATTAAGGACTGGGGTGGAACTCAACAGAGAATTCCAAAGATTAAATGATCCTAACTGATCTTCCAGCGTTTATTGATCACCTATTGACTCCCAATCAGTTACTAGCACCTTTTTGATTTCCAGCCATTAACTGACCCTTGGATAAAACCATTAATCATTGGGGGGGGTCAATACTGATCACTTTGGGGACCCCTACTAAAAGTAAATGTGATCATGGGGTTTTTAATATCCAGAGTTTCTTTTCCTATGAATTGAGCCAAACAATTTAGATTCTACATGAATTAAACTAATAATATCAAGGATGTGCACAGAATATTACCTTGGTACCAATATATTAAGCCTTTCGGATAATTGTCAGATAAAGTATGTGACTGTATTGAGAACTCATATTGGCTACATTACATTCACCTGTTAAAAGTAATTATATATATTTTTGTAGCATTGTTATTATTTCTTGAAAAGAAATGGGCGCTTGAAAAACAAACAAAAATGGAAATGGGCAATAATTTGAAGGAACCTTCAAAGGAAAATACATTTTTATTAGTGAATAAATTACAGAGAACTAATTCAAGAGTATCAATACAACTATCAGATAAAAAACCACTAAATATGAAATATCTGCTGAAATATTATGCCTAGAAATTCCTTTTTTTCTTCCCATGAGTAGCATTTTCAACACAATTTAAATTAAATGAGCTAAAAAAACCAATATGAAGTAATGATACAAAACTTGAGTCTTTCTAGGCTTACAATTCCTATACAAGAAGCCAGGAGGCAGCTATGGCTAGAGGCCTTTGCATCAATTACAATTCTTTCTGAAATGAGAAATTTGCTCACTATCACTCATGACTTCCTTACTAGACAGGATTATTACATGCAGTTTGCATGAGATTTTATGAAGTTACAGCTGATCCAGACTGCAGTTATACAAGTAGTCACAGGCACTCCTTGTGAACATATCAACCATTACTCTAGGAGTAGGAATAATAAATAATAAACCAATTATTTGGTTTAGTCCAAGTTGAGGAAGTTGAATTGTATACCTCTAAAAGCTGGTTGTGACTGGAATGGTTTATTCATCCTTTTAAATAAATACATTCAGCAAGACAGCTAGCTAGTTTAATAGTGACTACAGAAATGTCACTAACATTCATACTACATTTAGGAAACTGTCAAGCAATTTGAGATTATTTTAGAGCAGTGTTTCTCAAATTTAGCAAGTTTAAGAGCCGAGGTGGTGCAGTGGTTAGAGTGTAGTACTGCAGGCTACTTCAGCTGACTGCTAGCTGCAGTTCGGCAGTTCAAATCCCATCGGCTCAAGGTTGACTCAGCCTTCCATCCTTCCAAGGTGGGTAAAATGAGGACCCAGATTGTTGGGGGCAATATGCTGACTCTGTAAACCGCTTAGAGAAGGCTGTAAACCACTATGAAGCAGTATGTAAGTCTAAGTGCTATTGCTATTGTTATTAAAATATATTAAATGAAAAGGGGGAACTCAAAACTAAACAAGGATTGAGTGATCAAGGGATTGATATGACATAGTATTCACAGGTGCAGATACATTCTACATATGAGAAAGATGCTAAATTATATGGTTTTAATAAAGAGGCAACAGAACTAGATATTAACAGGGACAGAAGAAAGACTGATAAAAAAGCTGTATTTATTGGCTATTAAATTGGAAGATGAACAAATGAAGGAGACAACGATAGCATGGGCAAAAAAGTTTGGTTATACAATAGAATTAGACAAATGGCAGAAGTTTGGGATAGGAATTATAAATTAACAATGTCAACCATATACAAAGGAAATTTATATAAGATGTTTTATAGATGGCAAGTTTGGCAAAGATGTTTAAAGACAAACCAGCCAAATGTTGGAAATGCCACCAGATATCTGGGTCATATTATCATATGTGGTGGACATGTGTAGAGGCAAAAAAATATTGGACAAAAATACAAATGTGATTGGAAAAGATGATAATGCAGCATATTGATTTAAAACCATAAATATTTTTGTTGGACATTTTGCCCGAAATTTACAGTAAAGGAAATGCATATTTAATTATACCAGTGGTGGTTTTCAGCTGGTTCTCATTGGTTTGTGTGAACCAGTAGCAGTAATTTGGGTCATCTGGGTCACCAAACCGGTAGCAACCGCTGGCTGGCCATGCCCCCGAACCGGTTGCCTGCTCCCTGCTCACTTGCCCCGCCCGCCCGCTCGTCCTGCCCACCCACCCCGCCCAGTCACTCCTTACCTCCTGGGTGGCTTGCCTGCCTAAGCTGCCTTCCCACGTGGTGTCTGCCCTGTGCCCCAATTGAGCTGCCTCCTTCTGCCTACAGGTAAGTCGCGCTAGGCCCCCCCTCCCCAGAGCACCACCATCCCCACTGAGCTCGGGTAGCTGGCTAAGCTGCCAGGGCCCAGCGCGGCTCCATTCCAGGAAGGAAGGAAGGAAGGAAGAGGAAGGAAGGGAGAGAGAGAGAGAGAAAAGAGAGAGACAAGAAAGAAAGAAAGAAAGAAAGAAAGAAAGAAAGAAAGAAAGAAAGAAAGAAAGAAAGAAAGAAAGAAAGAAAGAAGAAAGAAAAAAGGGAGAGAGAGAGAGAAAGACAAAAAGAGAGAAAGAAGAGGAAGGAAGGAAGGACCACAAACCCTGGCACTAGACGTGGCTTCATAAGATGCTTTGAAACAGCACAGCAATCTAGGGCTGGAAGCGATCTTGGAGGCTATCTAGTTCAGCCCCTGCTCCAGCAATAAACCTTATATCGTCTGGTTTATTTTGGTGCCTCTAACAGAAAGGAGAAGGAGTTTACTAGGACAAGGCTGCCATGCAGAGGAAGGCAGAGATAGTTCTTGACTTATGACTACAATTGAGGCCAAAACTTTGGTTGCTAAGCAAGAGCGTTGTTAAGTGAGTTTCACCACAATTTACTAAATCCATGATTTCTCCTGGCTCTAACATGTGCAAGCTAGGGAAGAACATCTGAAGACACGTGTAATGTTCTAAATGTACAGAAATTATAGTTAAATGTGTGGCAGAAAATGGACTCTGGATGTGTTTTTCCAAATGTAGTAAGTGACGTTGAATGTGTATAGTTTTAGAAGAGCTGTGTGTGTGTGTGTATGTGTGTGTTGTGTACATACACATACAGTATATATAGTAGATAATTTATCATTTTGTGTGCCTATACGCACTCTATACTATGTAATATGTTTGTTCACATACGGCATATATACATAGGATTAAATAGTATGTTTTGAATGTTCAGTAGTAGTAAATAAAGAGACAGGGAAATTGTACCTCATTGAGGCCTTTGAGGTGAGGGGAGGCCAGGCACCCTAACCCTAACCCTAATCCTTGACATGAGTGACCTCAAGTTGCCACGCCCACCCAATCACATGACTGACCGACCATGCCCACTCAGTCACAGGACCACCAATCCACACCCACTAAGCAAGCCACGCCCACAGACTCAGTAGCAAAAAAATTTGAATCCCACCACTGAATTATACATGTATTAACTGCAGCTAGAATCGTATTTGCACAAAATTGGAAAGGTGATGAGATCCCAATGGCTGAGAATGTGATTAGGAAAATATTAGAATGTGCAGAAATGAATAGATTAACGCTTGTTATAAAGGAGAAAGAACAAACTGAATATTATATGACATGGGAGCTATTTTATGGATGGTTGGAGAATAAAAACAGAAGTGAGAAATGAATGGAGATTAGTGGAACAAAGAATATATGTTAAGATAGAGATGTAAACAATATGATGATTATTATCAATATGATTAAGACTATTATACTTAATATAATACTATATTTTCATTAGAAGATACGTTAAGAGGAAGAAATGAATAGTTATGATGATGATGATTTTAAGATTGGAGAATTATTATCAATGTAACGAATACTGTAAATTTTGATTGTAATAGCAAAGACATTTGTACCCAGACCACACGCTGTTTAATATGTTCAAGTTAAAAAAAAAATTAAAACCGTATTATATAAAAAAAAAAAGATGTGTGAACTCCAACTGCCAGAACTCCCCAATCAGTCTGCTGGCAGTTGACAATTACACATCTTAAACTTGCTGGGCTTGAGAAACTCCAATCTCAAAGGAATGCCTTAAAATGTTTGTATATATCGCTTTTAAAAATCCTTGTAATAATAAAAATCCCTTTATTGTAATAAGTATTACAATAAAAGCATCACACATACCTTTGTTTCCATATTTAGAAGATGGAGCCCTTTGACATTTATGCCTACATAAACTCTGATGACTTTATGATTGCTTGAGCTTGCCTTTGTGAATACTTGTCCTGTGAAAAAAGCAGCTCCATACGTAGGAATTTCCCAGCAGTTTTGCAAAAACATGCGCTGCAGATGATGCATCTCTTTACTCACACCCTCGCTAGTACTGAGGCTCTGGAAATATAAGTGGACATGCCCACAAAGGATATAGATTTAGCTTTTTAAAATTTAAAAGCTTCAAAGAAATTTAAAACCTGTGTAAAAATGAACGTGCTGTTGAGTTTCAAATAAGCATAAATAGTTAAAGAAGGTAAATGCTGTATCTAATAACTTGTGGATTGGTCTAAAAGTTACGCCAAAAGATTTTGAATTTTTTCAGTGTATTGGCAGGAAATACATAAAATCATAAAAATCAGGATCCAATTTAAGTCAGTCACTGGGACCAGAAGCTTGTTCAGATACAGATACAGATTAACACAGTTGGAAGGGACCTTATGGGTCATCTAGTCCAACACCCTGCCCAAGCAGGAGACCCTACACCATTTCTGACAAATGGCAGTCTAATCTCTTCTTCAAAGTCTCAAGTGATGAAACTCCCATAACTTCCAAAGGCAAGCTGTTCCATTGATTGATTGTTCTCCCTGTCAGAAAGTTCCTCCTCATTTCTAGGTTGAATCTTTTCTTGATCAGCTTCTATCTATTATTCCTTGTTTGGCCTTCAGGTGCCTTGGAAAATAGTTTGACCCCGTCCTCTCTCTGGCAGCCCCTCAAAAACTGGAAGACTGCTATCATGTCTCCCCTGGTCCGTCTCTTCACTAGACTAGCCATGCCCAGTTCCTGCAACCGTTCTTCATGTTGTTTAGCCTCCAGTCCCCTAATCATCTTGGTTGCTCTTCTCTGCACTTTTTCTAGCGTCTCAACAAGCTTTCAGACTCGTGCGGAAACCCATCCTCAGGAAACTTCTCAATCTCAAACAAGGGCTCCAGTGCGAGTCCAGAAGCTTGGAAGAACAAATCTCTGGCCCATTGATCCAATTTGGTCTGACTCAGATTGGACCCTGTAACATTATCTTGGGACATGTATATTTGCTTTCATCCATAAAAATCAGCATCCACATGCGTAATCTTCCAGGTTGTGCCTCTGATCTGCAAATAATATTTAGCCAGGCTTATCTTCCAATAACTGGCTTTCAAGAACTCTAAATCAGTGATCATCACCATATTACATAATAGTTAAATCCTTGTGTTATATAGATTTTAGGTCTAGTATTTTTTAAAAAAATCTTGAATCTTTTTTTAAATCTTGTTTAAAAATCTTGAATCTTTTTAAATCTTGAAACAATTTGGCTTCCTCAGATCATTTAGTTCTACAACTTCAAGAATGAGAGAAAACTGCATACTTCCTATGCAATTTCATAAACAACAAACATGTTCTTTGCTCATCAACTAAAAGGAACAAATCTTCTAATTTTCCTACAGTTTATCTTCCTGATAATTTTGGCTAATCTTTTGAGCACCACCATATCATTTTAAGATGTTCATTGCGATCACAAAATAATACTCTAATTGTAGTAACCCATTCCATTTTTAAAAAATCTTCCGTTCAGTACTTTTGTTTCAGGCATGTTCTGTTTCAAATTTCCACAAGTTTTTTTCCAAAAGAGCCTGAATTTCTGAAATTATAATGGTGGCTTAGTGGATAAGATGCTGAGCTTGTCAGCATCTTATCCACTAAGGAAAGGTTGGCAGTTCAGCAGTTCGAATCCTAGTGCTGCGTAAAGGGATCAGCTCCCGTTATTTATCCCAGCTTCTGCCAACCTAGCAGTTCGAAAGCACGTAAAAAATGCAATTAGAAAAATAAGGACCATCTTTGGTGGGAAGGTAACAGTGTTCTATGCGCCTTTGGCATTTAGTCATGCCAGCCACATGACCACAAAAACATCTTCGGACAGCACTGGCTCTTTGGCTTTGAAATGGAGATGAGCACTGCCCCCTAGAGTCGGGAATGACTAGCACATATGTGCAAGGGGATCCTTTACCTTTACCTAATTATAACTTTATAATAAGCTTCTTACCTTATACTCATGAAGTATTCGATTTGTCCAGTGGGGTGCCTTGCTCTTTAATTTGGTGATTGGTACTATAGACTTCAAGTTTTCTTCACTAAAAATTAAAATCAGATATATTAAATTATTATAGAAAACTTGAAAAAATAAAACATATTTGCCTTAAGAGATGATAAGTGCATAGAGAAATAATATGCGCTAAAAGTCTCAGACATGAAATATTCTGTAGTACATTCTTATGAACATTTTATTGAATAAACTGTGGAATAGCAATAATTTAAATGCACGTACTTTAGGAAGCCCTGCTTGTGCTTTTTACTTTCATAATTTCCATAAACAATTTGCAGCAAGAGGCTTGCAAGTGTGATCAGTTTGGCATCAGACGAAGCATAGAACCCTTTCAATAAATTGTACCTGGCCTCATCAAATAGGATAAGGATTGCCAGTGGATCTTCAATCTGAAAACATATAAAATAAAGATATATTATATGGATAGATACATATCAGTGGTGGGTTTCAAATTTTTTTACTAACGGTTCTGTGGGTGTGGCTTGGTGGATGTGGCAGGGGAAGGATACTGTAAAATCTCCATTCCCACCCCAATCCAGGGGAAGGTTACTGCAAAATCCCCATTTCCTCCCAATCAGCTGGGACTCGGGAGGCAGAGAATAGATGGGGGTGGGGCAGTCAGAATTTTTACTACCGGTTCTCCAAACTACTGAAAATTTCCGCTACCGGTCAGAACCTGCTGAAACCCACCTCTGATGCATATATAACTAAATCACTGTCAAGTAAGTCAAAGTTCAGATGCTGAATTTGTGAAATCCAGTTTATATTATTGTATTCAGTAACATGCCAATATATTCATTCTTTAAATTCCAAATTCCATCTCTAAGATTCAAAGCAATTAACAGTTACTAAAAGCAAACAAATGCTCAAAGTGGAATGAATAATAATCAAATGCTTTGCACTTTGGGTCAATTATCAATAGAGGGAAACAAGTGGTTTGGTCTTATCCTAAAAGCTAATTCATTTGCTTTTTTTCAAATGTTCTATAATACAGGAATCATATAAATACTTCTGGAGAAAAACAACAACCAGTTTTGACTGCAATCCTATATATATTTTTCTAGGAGTAAATCCTATAGACTTACTTCAGAAGCTTGCATATTACAGCATTTTTAAAATTGTATACATTTTTCAGAGTGAAATAACCATAACTTTCCTTTTAATAACATAAATAACTGAAGCATCATAATAATCAAAATCAATAAAATCTGATATTCTTATATGTTACAGATGGAATATTTGTAGGTATATCTTGGTTGGTACCTTGAAAAAGGGCTGTAAGAGTGGTTATGTAAACATTAGCATAGCCCTCTTGGAAGAGCTGAGAAAAAACCCAAGACTGTCCTACATTGATTCCTTTTGGTATATGATGGCAGAGATAATTCTGCCGGGCTTTCAAGATTCTGTTACTGTACATTGCAACAATAAACTAGACCATGGGTGTCAAATTCGCAGTGTTACATTGCTGTCACGTGACATATCACGACTTTTTTCCCTCTGCGGAGCTGGAGTGGGCATGGCCTGCACATGACGCATTGGGCCGCGGGCTGCCACTTTGACACCCCTGAACTAGAATGTTTCCCAATCTGGCCTATTTCAAAGTATTGACAGTAAGCCACTTTTGTTCAAAATTACAAATAACTTTGTAGCTATTAAAGAAGCAAATATCTAAACTGATTAAAAATCAGCTATCTGATGACAAATATTTAGCAAACAAAGAAATTTAATAACTATTGACTGTAGTGGGTTTTTATGGCTCATAAGTTGGATGCGTAGGAACTATTCCATCCACTTTTTTTAAGCAAGATAACTTGCCTTGTTAAGTGCATGCATAAAATAATTTATGGAACATTCAGACAGCACTTTATTTATTGGCCTCCAGTTTCATTCTCTGGTTTTGAACCTGCATGTGACATAGAGTAACTTATAATGCCAACCTTTTTTTCAATCTCTAAAGGTAGTCTCACATCCCTTTTCAAAAATAGCTGAGGTGTTTCCCTCTGAGGATCCAGGTTTGTTAATTCAGTGAAAATTTCGGGCCAGTCGTGAACATGTTGGAGAGGCTTATGGTACGGCTTCAGCTGGAGACCTATACAACAACAGCTCTATTTAAAGGTAAATACCAAAGTCATATATTTGACAGCTTTTTAGCTTTAAAGGCTATACTGATTAAAAGAGGAAGAAATTCAAAAAATATTGTTCGTGTTAAATTTAAATTTTAAATACTTGAAAATAAAATCACGTTTTTGAATCAATATAAAATTTGTAATTCGTTATTCTGTTTCCATCATATTGGCAAATCATACTAAAGTTCCATTAGAGTTAAGGAAATAAGGCTGATTTTTTCCTCACAAATTCTGATATTTTCACTATGAAATATAATTTAATTTTTGGTGCACAGGAAAAATGGTATGAAATGTCAAGCCCTCATCTTAAACCATTCTCATTCCTCTTTCATGATCAGGATTGGAATCAATTAGAATTTAATTTCATTTAGCAGTTTCAAAATGTATTGCTATATGCAAACCATACACTAAGTTTTAAAGTAAATTCTAGGTATTAATTTACACGACAAACTAATTTTAGAGCCTGAATTGCTTTTGTAGTTCGCTTAGGAAATTTATATTTATTTTAAGCTAGTTTTTGGTTTGCATAAAAAAACTGTGCTCAAACTAAGATTCTCCTCCTGTCCTTATTGGAGAGAATCTGAATCTGCACTTTCTTATTTCAAAATCATGTCAACCAAAAAGAATGCAATTATTTTCATTAATGTCCTTAGGATTTTTCCAGCCTCTACAATCATTCAAACTGAAGCTTAAATGCAGCGGTGAAATCCACTTACCTTCGCTACCAGTTTGGGAATGGGAGTGTGTGCGCAATTCTTCCGCACATGTGCAGAACCTTCTGCACATGCACAGATGGTAAAAAAAATGACGTAATGACATCCAGGCGGGTGGGCTGCTGGCACTACGGGTTCAGCCAGCCAGATAGAACGAAGGGGATTTCACTACTGCTTAAATGTCTTTATAGCAGGGGTGTCAAACTCAAGGCCTGTGGTCCAAATAGGGCCTGTGGGGTGCTTAGATCTGGCTCATGGGGTCTCCCTGGAAACAGCGAAGGACCAGCCTGTGGTGCCTCTTCCAGTGAAAACAGAGATCGGAAGGGCCACGCTCTGTTTTTTCTGGCAGAGCACTCGGGGCACTACAGGTGCTCCGACACAAGTGACATTGAGCTGGTCATGCCCACCCTGGCCATGCCCACCCTGGCTCCCAAAGATCAAAAACAACCCTGATGTGGCCCTCAATAAAATCGAATTTGACACCCCTGCTTTATAGGATTAAAGGACTTTGCCCAGTTGTCTTTAAAAGAATACCTTAAGTACAGTTGGTCCTCAGTTTACAAGTTTATTTAGTGAGCTTTCAATGAAACAATGAAAAAAGTGATATGATTGTTTTTCACACTTACAACTATTGTGGCATCCCCACTGTCAGATGATCAAAATTCAGAAGCTTGACAGCTGACGCATATTTATGACGGCTGCAGTCTTCTGGGATCATGTGATCAACTTTTGCGACCTTCTGACAAGCAAAGTCAATGGGGAAGCCAGATTCACTTAATAACCATCTTACTAACTCAACAACTGCAGTGATTACACTTAATAACTGTAACAAGAAAGGCTGTAAAATGGAGCAAATTCACTTAACAACTGTCTCATTTAGCAACAGAAATTTTGGACTCAATTGTCACAATCAAGGACTACCCATATATAATTTCTATGGCTGTTGACACTATTAGAAGTAAAAGAAAAAGTGGTTTCGTACTCTAAAATCAACATATTTCAGAATCAACAAAAGCATTTTTAATTACTCACTAAGGTTTTCAGAACAGATCCAAATAGTGAAGTATTGCTGTGTCTCTTGAGAAAGACGCATGCCTTCCATTATCTGCTGCACAGTAGTATTGTTTCCATATTTCAATTCCACAGAACGATATGAACCATCCATTCGATAAATTCGTACTTTTTCATACTATAGAAAATTGAAGGTGAAGATCAGCAAATTTTGCATAGTACTGACAGCAAAAAAAAATACATAGTTATTGGAACTATCCCTTTTACAATTAATGAGCATCCCTGAAGGTCAAGACAAGGTCTTTCATCCCCCTTCTCTGTGCAGAAGGTCAGGAGGAGCATTAGAGTTCACCATGAAATTCCAAGAATTTCAGAAGTTTGTTTTAATCTACTGAAATCATATCATACTGATAGAAAGCAACATAAGAAAATTAAAATGCAAAAGAAACAGCCTGTTTTAGAAAACCATTATTTATTAAATTATGTTATTAATTTTAACAGAGGTTTTAGTTCTTAGTTTTTAGGTCGAAAGGTCAGCAGTTCAGCGGTTCGAATTCATAGTGCCACTTAACGGGATGAGCTCCCATTACTTGTCCCAGCTTTTGCCAACCTAGCAGTTCAAAAGCACGTAAAAAATGCAAGTAGAAAAATAGGGACCACCTTTGGTGGGAAGGTAACAGCATTCCATGCGCCTTTGACGCTTAGTCATGCTGGCCACATGACCTCAGAGACATCTTCAAACAGCGCTGGCTCTTCGGCTTTGAAACGGAGATGACCACCGCTCCCTAGAGTCGGGAACGACTAGCACATATGTACAAGGGGAACCTTTACCTTTATAGTTGTTAGCCTTGCTGTAATGGTCCAAAATCAGTCACTTAAATTATAGGTCATTATACCAGATATGAACCTTTTTAGCCTATAAAATCTAGGTATTATAATATTAGGAACATGATACCTACTTGTTTATTAATGGCCTCTTTAAGTAACATAGCTGTTTTTTCCCACTCATTTTGTTTGTTTTCTTCACAGATATTCAACGGTGTTCTTCCTTGTTGATCAGTGATGTGCTACAAACAGAAATAAGACAACTTAAAAATACAGTTTTGCAAATATAAAATCAAATTGTACTTTCCTTTTAGTGAGACCTGAGTTTATCTACCCCAGTAATTTTTACATATATTTTTACACCAATGTTATTTAATAATTTTTAAAAACTTGTTGAAATCTCACAAAATATTCTCAAAAACTAAATTTTCATGAGATTTTGGATGTGTTTGTTTTCTTTTCTTTTCAGTTTTTGTTGCCCAACATAACAAAAGTTCCTGATTTCTCCAGGATTTCAGAGAAGTGTCTTTTCCAGCCATTTTTAAAATTACAGGTACTTGTACCTGAGATTGTTTTCTTGTAAAGCACATGTTATAATATTATTATAGTTTTGGTAAGAATTGCAACATGTACAATAATTTTCCTGTCCCAAAAACCTTCTTAAGTAATCATCTAAAAGACTCCATACTCATCTCTGCTTTCCAGTTTCAACACATAAGATCTGGATCTTTACATTTGAAGTTCAAACCATTTCTAAATATAAATAAGAGCATTTTTGAGACTTTTCCAGTCTTTCCTAGGAAAAGGTCAATTGCATATACTGTTCAAAGGCTGGCAATGATGTTAATAATTACTGTAGCAATAGCAAATCAGAAACCCTGCAAGAGAAATCAGTTCTTTCTTAAGAATCTTAATTTTTTATGTACCACGGTGATACCAAAAAGCCACCTACTTTTATCATTCAAAGGACAAAATGGGTCCCTTTAAGCAAGTTTAACTGTAGCTAGTAAAAAAAAAATTACCCTGTCAATTTCTGGATGGTTTAGGAGAATCTGAACAATATCGGCATGACCACCACCAGAAGCAAAATGAAGAGGGGAGCTGAGTTGTCCATTCAACAAATTTGGGTTGCACTTTCCTTTCTCTAACAGCATTCGTGTTGCTTCTACTTTTCCATACCTGCCCAAATTAAAAAATAAAAATAAAAAAAAATAAAGGATTTTATTTCATTCAACCTAGACTCACTTCTTTGTGAGATTGGCACCTTTAGAAAAAATAAAAATAAATACATAAACATGTATAAAATAATTCTAGAAACCCTCCAAAACATTAATCTTGGTCATCAATAATCCTGGTAGAAACTACATGACAGATGTCTTGAATAAATACACTGCCTTCCTCAGAATACAGGTGCAATCTAATGAAAAATAATTGTGTGTGCCTTTATGATTTTAAATGAATTAAGTTATTTTTTTCCAATATATTAAGGAGATCAGATATTTCTATCTACCACTATTTCACCCAGATTTTTCAAATAAAATGTTCTCACTCTCTTAATTTAAATTCCAGTAAGGTTCTGAACATTTATTAATTATATTTATATTAATTATATTTATTAATTATATTATATTATATACATAGAACAGATATACAACCATCTATGCCTAATATGTTCTAACAAGAATAAAACCAATTATTTCATTCTTTCTAGTGGTCAGTAGTGAATATAACCACAATTATACAAAGCCCAGACATAGGGAAGTGTTGACACTTCCAGTATGAGGTCTAGTCAAATTAACACCTTACCTTTCTAGCGGGGTGAAATTTTAAAAATTCCCCTACCGGTTCTGTTGGCGTGGCTTGTTGGGAGGTCATGTGACTGGGTGGGCGTGGCCAACTCGACATCACTCACTTTGAGTGGCTTCTAACACCCCTCCCCTCCCAGCCACTCCTTGTCGCGAATGGCAGGAAAATGGGGAAGAGAATTTTCCTGCCTGTCATCCATTCCTCAATCTCAGCACACACTGGAAAGGATGGTAATCAGGAATATCCCCTTCCCCATTTTTCTGCCTTTCACAAAAATGGCTCCATTCTAGCTGCTTCCCCCCCTCCCCCTTCCTCCTGAGGACTACCTTAAAAGGGACAGGCTGCAGCAGCTCCATTGTGAATGGAGGGAGAAAAGTTAGCATTCTCTCTGCTGCATTTAACACTGAATTCTGTGGATATCGAGTGGGCAACCGGCTGGGCGTGAGTAAGGCCAAGGAGGGGTAATTACTACTGGTTCGGCGAACTGATGCCCATAATCCCTAGCGGTTCGCCCGAACTGGTCCACACTGGTAGGATTTTACCCCTGCTTTCTAGTTCTGATTGTAAATGGCTAAAAAAAGGAATGTCCATCATTCTCAACCAAAGTTCAGGGGATATTATAGCAGGAAGACAGCTCATAGCTTGTGAAAACTCCACAAAAGAAATTATATTTGAGTTGCCACATCTTTTCACAGCCAATGAATAAATATCATCAGAAGTTTTTGAAATACTATTATTATTATAGGGTAGTATATAGGGTGTTTCCCCAAAAATAAGACCCAGTTTTATATTTTTTTGAACCCTGAATAAGCGCTTGGCCTTATTGCCACGCGCTCAAAAGCCTGATTGGGCTTATTATCAGGGGATGTCTTATTTTGGGGAATACAGGATATGTGTAGATGACGGACATATATCCTATACGGCTTCATTTGGATTTGCACTATAGCACATTAATCTCTTTCTTGGAATTGTATTAATTTAATTCAAACTTCCCAGGATAGGATATGAAAGGTAAACTTTGCCCATATTACAAAATCCTAATCAAGTATGGTATAGCAATATTCACTGTATTGAGGGGAAGCAAAACTATCAGCTCAGTAACACACATTTCCTTGTAGCTCCTTTTATTTTAACTATATCATTAGTTTTTAGTCATTTTTAATGGAGCTTTCTTTTAAATTCAAGTTATACTCCTTTGGGTGAAACAAATGTGAAGGTAGAAGGATAGATAAAGATTTTTTTGTGGACTTGAATGATATGAGAAAAAGAAAGAATGACATGTTGTTAGCCAAGACTCTCTCCCTTACAGAAATAAGGCAAATAAATAAAGATAGAGCACTTTACAAGGAAAGGATCTGTAAGTAAAACAGATGATTCTTTTATTTCAAACAAATTTGATGCCTTAGAATGGAACCTTCAAACAGAAACAGAAAAACAACAGCTGTCAAAGCATTCCTATCTGTTAGGGAAGAACAAAATGGGAGTTAGGACTCCCTCATGGACTCACATTATGAGTCACCATTCCAGCTAATTAGTCCATCTACCAGCCTTGGGAATTAAAAACAAGCTGAAAGATAAAAGCTGAAATTAGAAGAGGAAGAACTCCCCCAGGGAAAATTCAATAGAATATATGGCAGAACAGTGCCTGCACACAGGTTAAACGTTGATCTCCATTAATTTGAACAGTTCTCAGTCATAAAATATGAACAGGACATGCTGAAAGATAATATATAAGTTTATATTTAAAAGCATGAAACTGGACCATTCATGTCTATCAAGGCAGTCTATTTAACCCTTTTATCTGGGGCAAATAAAGAAAAAGTAAAACAATCTGACAAAATGCCACAGTACCTGAATATTCTTTAAAGCTTGACAAGGCAAGCTTCACATATACTAAAGCTCGCCCAGCTGTTGTTGAAGAATCTTTGTAATTCAAACTCTTTATGGCAGACACAACAGACTGCTCTCAGCATATTGTAAATAGCTGTAATATCAAATGCTGGAATTTTAACAGAGCAATAGTAACTTCTCTAAGTCAACTTACTGCCAGCATGGCCAGAGAGATCTATATGCTTCTGAATGGCTCCCAAGTATCTTAACAGATTCTTCTTTCAAACAACTTGCCATTCTACTTATGTTCTTTAAGATGAGAACATATTTAGGTTTATTTGAAATCTTGTCCAGCAGAGTCTTTTATCACAAAAAGATTAAATTGCTGTTCAATTCTAGGTCAGCTATATCAAACATCCATGTCCCAAAAGTGCTTTTTCAAGAGGCAACTGGACTTTGTGGTTTTTCTTTGAAGATGTTTCGCTTCTCATCCAAGAAGTTTCTTCCCTACCATCCAGCCAGAACTGAAGAAGCTTCTTGGATGAGAAGTGAAATGTCTTCAAAGAAAAAACAGAAAGCCCAGTTGCCTCTTGAAAAACACTTTTGAGAGGCTCTGGAGGCTGGGGACAGCAAAAAACGTCACTTCCTATCCAACTGGGAGTTGGAAAAAACAAGCTGTTTCTGGCTTCCGGAGTGCCTCCAGGGGGGTGGGGAATGCTGTTTTCGCCCTCCCCAGACTCATAGAAGGGCTCTGGAGCCAGGTGAGAGAAAAACGACCCTTCCACACCACCCCCCAGGCCCTCTGGAGGCAGGAAACAGCCTGTTTCCCTATTTCTGGTGGGCCCAGAAGGCCCAAAAATCAGCTGGCCGGTAAACTCGCGTGCCCACTGATATGGCTATGTGTGCCACCTGTGGCATGCATGCCATAGGTTCAACATCACGGCACTAGGACATCTGAGGGAGGGGGATTTTCCAGCACACCAAGGTATTGAGCGCAATATGCTGACTCTGCAAACTCCTTAGAGAAGGTTGTAAAGCACTATGAAGTGGAATATAAGTCTCAGTGCTATTGCTATTGCTATATCCAATTGGGTTTACAAGCAAGAAACAGGGGGCAGGAAGCAGACTTCTTGCTGATCCAATTGAGCAGAGCAGCATATAGCAAAAACCATCAATCCTCCATCCATTGTTGCTGAACAATGTCCCTGCAATGCAAACTGTATTGGACTGTGCTGATTTCGTATTCTGACAAGATGCCCAGGAATGTGCATGAGACAAGCTAACTCTTGCAGGAGGCTTGGTTGGTTTCCCATTGGCTCTGCAGCTCAATGCAATGATCTCAGTTCATTAGCTCACCAAAATAGAATTCATAGCCATTTACTATCTTTGAATGATGATACAATTTTCTTGTTAACCTGGAATATTGATGGCTGATCTACTCCATCAAAAGTCTCTCTTTTTTTTGTCAAAAGCATTTGACATGCTTTTGTCATCTTTTTTGTCTGGGAATCTTCAGCTATATCAGAGGTGGAGCTGGATGGCTGTTGGGTCAGCTCTGTTTTGGCATCTCAAGGAGTAACGCAGGAGGGAGACCCAAGCGTGGCATTGTGACTTTAGTCACTGTAGCTTTGTAATGAGCTTTTTCTATATTAAAATCACTTCAGTTCTGAACAATTGTAGATTGATCTGCAACTTTATTGAACTCACCAGCATGCATAATGAATAGGTGCCCAGTGATCACTATCCAACTGATTTACAGAGAACTTTTCATCTAAAAGTTGACTCAGTAATTCAATATCACCTTCACAAGCACTACGATGAAGAGGAAAATCATCAACCCACTGACGTTCCCTAGGAGGAATAAAAAAGATGTAATATTTAAATCGTGTCCCAATAGAAAGCAGTCAGAATATAAAATATTATGAATGTGTACAAAACAGCATATAAATCTATTTTCTAATGCAATAGAAGTGAATGCACTTGAACAAATTACATCCAAGCTTATCTTACATTTCACAGATCTAGTTCAGTAACACGTTTTTAAAAATTTTAAAAATCCATTCACTTTTGACAAAAGCTTTTAGAAAGTTGTAAGAAAGGTCTCCTTCATGTTGAATTCAATTCCCAATGCCTTCATAGATTCATCTACGTAGTTTTTCGGCAGCACTAGAAACAGTTCTGTTTCAACATTTTTTGGTGACTATCCAGTCTAGCTTCCTGCTTTTAAGATTTCCTTTTCGGGCTGCTATTTAAATATTAACAATGACTGATCCTGTGTAGGTTTTTGTATCAACAGAGTTTGGTTTGGTATTGATATTTAGCTGCCAACTCCCACTTATGAAAGTCATAATTTTTTAAAAAAATGAATGAAAATTATTTTAATAGACTAGAATTCTTTATTGGCCAAATGTGATTGGACACACAAGGAATTTGTCTTTGGTGCATATGCTCTTAGTGTACTGTGGTGTGGCATAAATTATTGCATGTTGACAGCCATAGCAACCAACAGAGAAGTGCTGAATTATATAAAACCAGACGCATCATAAAAAGCTAAAATCTGAACTTCCGGTTGACCTCGCGGCAATTTCAAACACAGAGAAATGGGTTTCCATGTTCTCTGTCCTGAGTTCTTCCTCTTTGCGGGCTCTGGAGAGCCTAAGCTTGGCTGTCTCAGGAATTCTGGGAGTTGAAGTCCACAGGTTGTAAAAGAGCCACAATTGCCCACCCCTGGCCTAAGCCACCCTGAAGGAGGGATGAAGCAAAGGAGGGAGTGTCCTGTGAGGCCGGGCAGAATCGCACTTCTCCTGCCTCGCTCAGGGGCTTTTTTCCCTCTCAGCCACAGCAAGAAGAAGCAGCAGCCTAAAGATGGCCGCTACAAAGCTGGGACAACCGATGAATAAAAGCTAAGACTGGTGCAGGAGAGAAGAAGGTGAGCTGTGATGGAACTGGGAAAGAGGATTTTTTTTTTTAAACCTTAAATTTAACCCCAAGGAATAATCCAGAATAATTGGCTCCAAATCACCTGTTTAAGCTGTGGCTAGGCACTCAGAGAAACTACCAGACCATCTGACAGGAAGTGAACTGTTGGAGTGAAAATAATGAACTTTGAAACTTTGAAATATATAGAAATTTAAATCTTTAACTGGGAAGGCGTGGTACTGGTACTGGGAAGATATTTTTATGCTGGAATTATTTAAAACCTATTGTTATAACCCTGTTATAACTAAAAATACACTGGAAATGTGATTATACTGAAATCTAAACTGAGAGTGCTACCTGCTGACGAAAGAGAAAACTACATTAGAAAATAATTTTATTTTACAAGCTTGGAAATATCCAACGGAATTTATATGAAAATCTGTATTGAATTACTTCTAGGTACTCTATGACTATTGGATTATTGGAGATTCAAGTTTGACCTCTGGAACTATTCAAATGGAACTGATTTACGGGACATAAAAAATTGGGACTAGTAAATTAAAGATTGAATAAATAGCCTCTTGGATTGTTGGATAAAAACTGAAATCTTGTTAAAAAGAAAACAAGGTACCTAATAAAGGAGAGATGGGTGGAATTGTACAAAAGTTGGATTTACTGTTTCAAAATTTAAAAAATTTTGGAGGAAGAATTTAAGGAGACTATGGGCAAAATGGAAAATATTATACAAGGGATGATAAGCACAGACAAAGACGCCCAGGAAAAGGAATAGTCAACTGAAGGAATGAAGAAGGAGGAAGACAAAGAGAAGACAACTATGGAAATAATAATGGCTAATGAATTAAATCAGGGGGAGAATATATCAGAAGGGAAAGAGAGGTCTGAAGCAAGATAGGGACTTGGCTAGAAAGGTTAGAAACTAGGCAGTAGAAAGGGGTAGAGGTGGGACAAATACCTAGATTAAATATTCAGGAAGCAGATTTAAGAGAGGAATTTGGGAGGCAAGTAAAAAAAAAAACAGCATAGCAATTAAAATTGCGAGGCAGGCAAGAGACAACGGATATTAATATATTGTTGTTTTGATTTACTCTCCTTCTTTCCTATTTTTCTTGTAAAGCATAGTAAAGAAAGTATGGAAGCAGGCAAGGGATAATAGATGCTCTTTTGTTGTTATGAGTTACTTTTTTTTCTCTCTCTAGCTTTCTGCATCGTTTTCCTTTTTCCTCTTTTAAGTAGGTGACATGATTAGAAGTTAGATAAGAAAGAAAGGAAAAGCTTTCTTTTATTAAAGGGTGATATGATCAAAAGCTAGAATAAGTGATAGAAATAAGAAGAGGGGGAATATTAGTATAGACTTTTTATATTACAAAATGAAAGTAATAGCAAGAGAAAATCTGGAATAATTGAATAATGACAGGGTATAATTAATATAAGTATGCATTATTATTAGAAATATATAAGCGGATTGAATGTAAAGATTATTATTTATTTGATTAGCTTTATTTGTGTTAGAATGTATGACACCCAGGTGCCACACTGTTCACACTTTGATTTGATATTTTGATAAAAAAATAAAAAACTTGGGGGGGGGAGGAAGAAGCTAAAATCATAACACTACATCTGATTTACTTTGTCTGTGTCATGCTTGCAAATTTGTTGGAGAAGTCAGTGATGCTAGGAATGGTTAGTGGAACAAGAAGAAGGGCCAAGCCAAGAACACACTGGCTTGATAATATAAAACATGATACAAAGATGAATATCCAACAGTTAAAAGAAGTTGTGCTTGACAGGGCAGCATGGAGACCACTTGTCTCTAAAGTCAGTTATGACTGACTGGATAAAACAACAACAAATAATTAAAATGAATAAAAATAAAATAGTACTTGTCTTCCATGACACTGCTCATGCTTCGTTGCCACTTTTCCCGTTTTGGAATCTGTATTTTCGAATAATCTGGAGCTCCAAGTCCAAAATAAGGATTTATAACTACTTTGTCCACCTGGAAGTATTGCAGAATTTTAAAAAGTTTTAAAGCCCAAAATGAAAATATGAAGCCCAAAAGTGATATTAATAATTATTTCTTCTTACTCTGTTGGTATACTGAAGATCAGATCCGAATAAAGGGTTGTAAATACACATGTCCGCCTTCTCTAGTGCAAGCATTTTGCTCTTGATCTCCAACGCAGTGTATCCCATGTGAAGGGTACTCTCGCTCTGTCCGGGTTCAACAGCATAAGCAGGGTTTGTAACGTTTGTTTTAATCCGTTCTAAAGGAGATGGTCTGAATAAAGCTGGGATCGAATGAGATTGCAAATGCCGTTCTTCTAACCATCTGCAGAAAAGAATGGATTAGACTCACCAGTATTACCCATGCAATCAGACAAGAAACAGGGTGATTGACCCACACTGCCCCATGTATAAATAATGGGCATCATTTTATATATACTGTTAATATTTCTTCCTAATTCTGCCCTTTTTAAAGTGTGAGTTCTAGCAGGAATGTACATATACATACATTAGGAATGTGTATGGAAGAACTATTTGTGGATAGTTTATGTTTAGACCAGGGGTGGGTTCTACTTACCTTTACTACTGGTTCGCAACGTGGCCACGCGCGCACTCTTCTGCGCATGCGCAGAAGTGTTCTGATGACATCGGGGTCAATGGGCGGAGCCTCCCGCCAGTTTTACTACCAGTTCTATAGAACCGGTGCGAACTGGGTACATCCCATCACTGTTCTGCAGTGTGCAGATCACCCATGATGACGTCATCGTGGATGGACGGAGCCTCCTGCTGGTTTTACTACCGGTTCTACAGAACCAGACAGAACCGGGAGCAACCCACCACTGGTTTAGACTAAAACATTTCATCAGGGCATGGATCTGAAACATGTAATGCTCCAAACAGAAGTATTTTCTGGGTGAGGAGAATGTGAAAAACCCAAACCCACTAATGGCAGGATAAGGTAACAGGAGCTATGGAGAAGTAAGGGAAAGAACAGGAGCAGCAAGATGTAAAGAATGAATGGCAGGTTGGATATGTTACACTTGAATTCAGACATAACCCCATTTGGCCGCTGCCCTTCTAGTCAACTGTACTACATCCTATCTCTCCAAGCTCTCTTTCCTTTTACTTTCCCAAATGGGACAGGGCAGCTTGTTGGATAGGTTGCATTTGACTTCAAAGGTGGTAGTATGCAGTTTCATCAGCTAGGGGTAAGGACAGGCAGGCTGGCATACCACCCATTAAAAAGGAAAGCATGAGAAACACCAACGCCTCGCTGCATTTGCCCTCTGAAATCTCTCTAGGGTGTTTTCTATTGTGGGGGAGAGGGAAGCTGAAACTTACAATTATCACAATGTTCTGAGTTTCACTTAGATGAATTATGACTTGATCAGAAAGGTTCAGCTGAATTTCAGTCCCATAATTTTTTTTTCATACAGGTAGTTCTTGACTTACAGCCACAATTGAGTCCAACATTTATATTGTTAAGTGAGACCTTTGTTAAATGAGTTTTGCCACAGTTTTTATAACTTTTTACACCACAATTGTTAACTTATCAACTGCAGTGAATCACTGCAGTTGCTAAATTAGTAACCTGGTTGCTAAGTGAACCTGGCTTCCCCATTGACTTTGCTTGTCAGAAGGGTGCAAAAGGTGATCGCATGACCTTGGGACACAGCAGCAGACATAAATATGAACCCGTTGCCAAGCACATGATCATGGGGATGCTGCAAAGGTGGTAACTATGAAAAACGGTCATAAGTCACATTTCTCAGTGCTGTTGTAACTTTGAACATTCATTAAATAAACTGTTGTAAATTGAGGACTACCTGTATTTGGTACAAAATGCATTTCTCCATTCCACGCAGCAGGCACTTATGTATGTCACAAAAGTTAATTACTGAGAGAGTAATTCTCCTACAGACAGAATTTTAAAATAAAAATTAAAATTAAAATAAAAAAAACATTTCTTACTTATCTAAGAAAAGTAACATTCTAGCTGTTATTGTAGCAAAATGAGAACTGGATTCACTGCAGACTCTCATGATGTCTTGTAAACAGTAGAAAACTGGGCATCCAGGACTGTAAACATACTTTGTATTATCTATAAAGAAAAGAATTTTTAAAAAGGTAAAGCACTTTTTAATCTTTTTTTAATATTTTATTAATATATAGTATAAGTATACATTTATATTTTTATTCCCCTAGGTATATTTTTCAACACACCCTTCTTAGACTGTACAGAAATACTTTTGCTGCCGTATTTTTTTTTTCCTTACATAGGCCACATAATTTGCTATCGTAGTCCTTCAGAAATCATTTTAAGTAAGAATGGATTCTTGGCTGCTCCCGTTTCTTTTCTGTCAGTGTAAATGTCTAAACAAAACTGTATAAGCTAAACTAAAAAAATGTGACTTATGGCTCTAAGATATTAATAAACAAACAGCCAAAGTTCCTAGTTTAAGAATAATCATAAATCAATCATCTTAAGAAAGATGAATATCCAATGAATGATAATCGATAGTAAACTTAAAATACTCTAACAAACTTGACTATTGGCAAAATAATTGTAGCCCAGAAGATAAACTGGTGAAGTGATAAACTGGTAAAATAAAAATACTATAATTTAAGAAATTAAAGAAAGCTTTAAAACACAAAATCTATCTTTGGAATTTGAAGTAATGTCATTTCAAAGACCAATAAGCTTCTTCATTTCTGACATTCAAGAAGCTTCTCAGCTGAAAAGCAAAACACTTTCAAAGGAGGAAAACCAAGAAAGTCCAGTTGCATTTTGGAAAACCATCTTTGGTATACCTATAGCCTGTATGATTGAGAATCTCCATAGTTAACTTGGAATAATGTTTGTAAATCAGTGTTTTACACAGATAATTACATCACTGATAGCTTTTAAAGACTAGCACACAAGCCAGCAAACCACCACTGGACACCATAGAAAAAATAGGAAATCCTTAGATGTGTAGAAAAAGTGCCTGGACAAGAATCACCTGTAGTACCTTCTACATAATGGGAACTACTGGCTTATAGCTTCCTTCTCCATTGCTGATTTCCCAAAAAGATTCTAATGAAATCATTGACAGATAATTGATAAAGAATAAAGACTGAGACATAAATTGTTTTCGTAAATACCATAAAGTGCACATTTAGGCAAAACAAAGTAATGGGGTTAGTTAAATAAGCAGCTAATTATTAATTAGCTGCTTATTTAATTATTCATCTGTATCACATAAACATAAACAACCAGCCACATAAAAACCAACAAATAAAAAACAACACAAGCCATATCAAAACTAATATAGAGAGACTTCTTTTTAAAAAAAGCAGAAGCAGTACATATATAGAGAATATTTTCTAACTTTTGATTAACACCTGTACTTTTAAAATGCACTTTTTATCTTACCTTTGACAACTGTTGGTACAACGAAAAGAGATGCATCCTTGCCTGTTTCCTCCCCAAGAGGAAACGTCTTCATTAGTAGAACTCTTTTTCCTTCACATAATAAGAAAATCTTTCTCAATTAAATAGCTGAAGTAGTATTTCTCTACCACATATAAAACATACCGAAAACTAGATTAATGGCCTGGGGATTTAGAATTCAAGAATGATTCTTGAAAAACCTGCAGATTTGGAAGTAACAGTGGATGTAAAAATATTTGTGAATTCAAAGGGTTGTTATGACCACTGATGATTCTAAACAATTTTAATAAGTATGCCAGTGTCCCACCAGATGATTTATAGTACATAGTTGGTAATCTTTAGGAAAACAGCTATAACACACCTTACAAAGGATTGCCTTTAATGCTATTTGAAAACTTTAATTAGTTTTAAAAATACATCCATCTATGTGATTCTAGGAATAAGATGCAAAGCGCATATTAGCTATTTATAATTTCCAGACTCCTTAGAAATTATTGATTTGGACCTAAGCTGTATAAATATTATATAAACTTCTTTTGTGTACCTTTCTGACCATATATCAACATTTTAGGACTTACTCAAAGCATCAGAGATTAGATTAGAAGAGGCAAGAGAAAGGGTCTTTAAAAGCAGGAGAACTTTCCATTTTTTTAAAGATAGATAAAATAATCTTATACTGCAAAAAGAAGTCAAAATGTATCTTTTCTAGGAAGCATTCAGAGAATTAGAACAATATTTTAGTTGGGTTGATTAATTGATATTAATTGATGGGATTAGAGTATGGAAATGTTCTTTTATGGCTGGATATAGGAAAACACAGAACACAAGCATTAAAGCCATCATTACCTTTAATCCCTTGATTTCCTGGTGAAATTGGTTTGGTGGTTTCTAGTATATAGTCCAAGATGCTTTGGGTTATATCACTGCCTTCCTGAATCTTAGTTTCTAATAACATTTTCCTTCTCTTTTTCTTATGTCCTTCAATGGGAACCTCAAGTAACAAAATCTTGCAATGATAAAATTAAATATTATTGAAACATAAAGATCCATATTTATTTAAAAATCTAACACCTATATCTAACTATTGGGGTGATAGAATCTAATCTTTCCCAACCCAAAATTCTCCTATGGAAATTATAACTCACAAAATTTAAATCTAGAAATGCTAGAATAAGACATACTTTCCTGCATGTAAAGTAAATGCAATAAAATTAGTATCAGAAGCAGAAATTATCAACAAAAATATGTAGACCTCATATAAGAAGTAACTAAATACTATGTCAAGAAATTTCAGAAGATTTTCCGAAAGTATTGCATCCTTTTTACGAGCAAGACTTGTTTTTTCTAAATCAAGCATAGATACTTTTTGCTATGAATCTTTTTTTAAATATAAAATTTTCTTTTTTTAATTTGTCAAAATACATTCCAACAGAACTTTTGTCACTATTATTTGTTTCAGATCGTTCTGATCATTAAGCATGGAGTTGCTTTAAATCCAATATTTTAAAAGTTCATGGTTGAAATTACTTCATTTTAAAGAACTATATAATAAAGCAAAAAGAAAGAGCAACAGCAATAACACTTAGACTTATATACTGCTCCGTAGTGCTTTACAGAATTCTCTGAGAAGTTTACAAATGTCAGCATATTGTCCCCAACAATCTAGGTCTTCATTTTACCAACAATGATGGAAGACTAAGTCAACCTTGAGCCCTATCAGGATTGAGCTCCAGGCTGTGGGCAGAGTTAGTCTGCAAAACTGCATTTTAATCACTGTGCCACCAGAGATGTTATAAATATTCACCAAAAATAAATATAAATAAATGCAATACCTAATATTGAAACAAAATCTGAAACAGAACCACAATGCTAATTTCAAAGCATTTGCTTCAAATCTATTTCATTACCTTTATTAAGGAACAACTACATACTTTAGATTCAATATCATCTTCATAAGCCCACATCTGTGGTATCACCTACCATTATGATCGAATAATTACAATTGAGAAATTAGCAATTTATATAATTATATAATCATTTCCAATTTATGAAAGGATGGCTTACACAGGCAAAAATGTTTATAATGGAAATGATACTGCTGGAAAAGAAATCATTCTACAACCTGAACATATTCCTGAATTTTTATTTGCATTATGAAACATTATGGATATATTGATGATTAAATATAATTACTGGTAATTATAAAAGTTGTTTTCATTAAAGTCAACCCCTGCCCCCTTATTTTACCTCATAGGATTTAGCACGATATTCCCGAGAATTGAGGCTTGCAGTATTCTTTGGACGAATGACAGCCACGTAGGCTTCTGTTATTGTTTCTGGATTTCCCATCATTTGTTGTTAACTTTTCTTACTGGAAAAAAATCAACTGAAAATAACAATTAAATTCAGAAAACAAGGTTCCAAAAACAGCAGTGTTTCAATTGCTCTATCCTTCTTTGTCTACATGAATATTACATGAATTATATGCTTGCAAATCTTATGCAAAAGGAAACTGTCTTTCTGTGGTTTCTAAAGCTAGGCTGTTATTCTTTTTAAGATAAAGCTTGCAGTTTGCAACAGATGTTTGTGAACTAACTACACAGAAAGATTTTAATGCTTTCATTTTTGATATTGCTAGACACTGGAGGGGAAGAGACTGAATTGCCTCCCTTCCTATAAAGATACAAAGACTGCACTCTTCTATATAAGTACTTTATTTCAAAAGGCGGATATATGAAATTCTCTACGTGCTGCATTTCAGCAGTCAGCCTTTCTGCTTGAAGTTCTCATTAAAGCAAACACAAATTTCATTATGATTAGCAAAGCTGATTTTCATGTGATGCTTTCAATATCGAGCTACAAGTTTCCGATATGAAAATAACTATACATGGGCAAAAATAATCAGTCCTATGTCTATTTATAGGTACTGTATACAAGTCTGAAATTATTTTATTATAATATTCTGATAACTCAAAAGTCAAAGCAAGTTATCTTTTAAAAAGATTATAAATGAAATATATATACTGTACCAAAGTACAATGTTTGATAGACCAATCTTATTTGGATTATTCTAACAAAATCCTGTGGAATTTTAAAACAAATATTTATTATGGCATGATTTTGTAGATCTATTTTATTAAAGGCATGACATTTTTCGCCAGCTTACAAGTGTAAATACAGAATGGATTTTCAACTGTTGATTTATAACATAAATGTTTACATTGGTAAATCTGGGTTCATGCAAATGAACCCTATAGGTTTGCTTAATTATGGTTTATAATTAGATATCTTTTTTGGAGTCAGTCCCTTCTACCTGTTATTGTAAAAAAAACCTGCTGGCATATTTCTTTTATTATCTTAAGATAAAGAACATGAAAACTGTTGTGTAAGATCACAACAGTTTTCTGGGGGTGACATGATAGCAGTGTTCCATGATAGCACTAGGAATGACATGATAGCAGTCTTCCATGATATCTCAGAGGCTTCCACAAAGAAGACAGAGTCAAGCTATTCTCCAAAGCAACTGAGGGCAGTTCAAGAAGCAATGGGTAGAAACTAATCAAGGAGAGAAGCAATTTAGAACTAAGGAGAAATTTCCTGACAGTTAGAACAATTAATCAGTGGAATAACTTGCCTCCAGAAATTGTAAATGCTCCAACAGTGGAAGTTTTTAAGAAGAGATTGGATAACCATTTGTCTGAAGTGGTGTAGGGTTTCCTGCCTAAGCAGGGGGTTGGACTAGAAGACCTCCAAGGTCCCTTCCAACTCTGTTATTCTAATAGCAAAGATCAAAAATAGGTTTGACTGCTTTTAAATCTTAGAAACCCTTACAAAATGTCAGGCCTATCTGTTTCAAATGATGATCTTTGTGCCCATGAAAAAAGCACACTGAAAGCTAGGATATAAGATATTTGGTTTTGGCTTAACTAACTGGATACACTCAACCATGGTTTAATTAAAAGGCAAAACTATCCATTTTTGAAGCCATGGTACATAGAGTTGAAACTTTTTATTCATCAATTTCTTCTGCAAAGTCTACCTTTGCTGTTTCTCAACTCCAGAAAATATACACCTGTGGCTAGGGGGACGTTTGCACAGGTTCGCCTGGTGCACTAATTGCGACCCTACTTGGATCAGGAGGCTCTCCTCACAGTCACTCATGCCCTTGTCACCTCACGGTTGGATTATTGCAAAGTTATCTACATGGGCTACCCTTGAAAAGTGTTCGGAGACTACAGTTGGTCCAGAATGCAGCCGCACGAGCTATTGTGGGTGCACCTAGATACACCCATATTACACCAATTCTCCGCGAACTGCACTGGCTCCCTATCGGTCTCCGGATGCAATTCAAAGTGTTGGTTATTACCTTTAAAGCCCTATATGGCTGAGGACCAGGCTATCTTTGAGACCGCCTTCTACCACATAGCTCCCAGTGACCGGTAAGATCCCACAGAGCTGGTCTCCTCCGGGTCCCGTCAGCTAAACAATGTTGGTTGGCGGGCCCGCGGGAGAGGGCCTTGTCTGTGGCTGCCCCGGCTCTCTGGAACCAATTACTTCCTGAGGTCCGGACTGCCCCCACCCTATTGGCTTTCCAGAAAGCGGTGAAGACCTGGCTTTTCCGGCAGGCCTGGGGCCGTTGATTTCGCTACGGCGATCTTCGAGACCCGGCCATGGAATGGAGTGTATGGGGTTTTAATGTTTTCTTTTAAAAAAATTTACGGGATATTGTTCACACTGCTTTTTTTGCTGTAAGCTGCCCAGAGTCCCTATGGAGTTGGCTGGCATAGAAATGCGACTAATAAATAAATAAATAAATAAATAAATAAATAAATACTTTAATTATAAAAAACATGGGAGAAATTGCCATTTATAGCAATAGCACTTATACTTATCTACTGCTTCACAGTATTTTACAGCCCTCTCTAAGCGGTTTACAGACAAACAATTTGGGTCCCCATTTTACCCACCTCAGAAGAATGGAAGGCTGAGTCAACCTTGAGCAGGTGAGATTTGAATTGCCAAACTGCAGACAGCCGGCAGTCAGCAGAAGTAGCCCACAATTACTGCACTCTAACCCCACTGTGCCACTGTGGCTCGTTTATGATGTTTTTTCTCTATATTTGTCAGTAGGGACTCTTCCCCCCATATAGCTGACAAAGGTTCTTGTTAGTAATGTGTCATACACCACATTTTAAAATCACAAAAGGTTGAGATTGAATTTATTAAGTACTTTAAGAGTGCCATCATAATAAATATGTAAGCACATTTTGGCATCTAGATCAATCACAAGCTGCTTTATATGGTCTATACTATTTTGTCCCATTGCTGGGCAGTTGCTATTTTGTACTTTTATATCAACCAACTAGAGAGAGTTAAGAGTTAAAGCTACATTTAAAAAGTATTAACAAATATATAGAGAGAACATTACGAGACTAGTTTATAGGTTCATTAGAAACTGATGATAAAAGTCCCTCCCCACCCCCACCCCCACCCCCCATGCAATTGTGGCATTTATTTTGTGGACAAAAATTCTACATCAAAGCAAAATTTCCATTCTGGGTAGTAAAGCAACCATTGTAGTTGTCGACTTACAACTGTTCATTTAGTGACCATTCAAAGTTACAATGGCACTGAAAAAAGTGACATGACAATTTTCATAGTTATGACCTTTCTAGCATCCCCATGATCAGGTGATCAAAATTCAGATGCTTGCCAGCTGGTTCATATTTATGTCCATTGCTGTGTCCCAAGGTCATATGATCATCTTGTGAAACCTTTTGACAAGTAAAGTCAATGGGAAAATCAGGTTCATTTAACAACCAGGTTACTAACGTATCAATTGCAATGATTCACTTAACAATTATGCCAAGAAAGGTTGTAAAATGGGGCAAAATTCATTTAACGAATGTGTCACTTAACAACAGAAATTTTGGGCTCAATTGTGGTCGTAAATTGTGGACTTCCTATATTATCAATATTTTTATTGGATTTTTTTTTTTTTTTTTTTTTTTTTTTTTTTTTACTCCTGGCAATTGCAGTTGTCCCTGCTGTTTTCTTGGCAAATTTTCAGAAGTGGTTTGCTACTTTCTCCATCCTAGGGCTGAGAGATGGTGACTTAGCTTCATGTGGATTTAGAACTCATAGTTTCCTCCACCAAACAGGCTGCTATCAAGATTATAGTGCTGCAAATTTTCTTAAAAGTGGACGATTACAGACTGCAAGTATGAGATCATAAGCAGTGTTAACCAAGAGGACTCCCTATAGATACAGGACACAATCAATTCTGTGAGATTGCCTGGCCAAGTCCCTGCAGTTTTCTTGACAGGGTTTTTTTTATTCAGTTGTTCGCCATCACCTCTTTCCTAGGGCTGAGAGAAAGTGATGGGACTTCTGCTGGCTTTGTACCTAAGGTGGGAACTAGAATTCATGATCTCCTGGTTTCTAGCCCAATGCTTTAACCACTTACACCAAACTGGTGCTCTGTATTTTCTTAGTAGAAACCAGTAACTGAAGGGTCCTTGGTGCTTTCTGAGCTTGCTTGTTTTCTTGCAGACCCAAAGGTGCTTTTTCAGGAGGCAACTGGACTTTCTTGTTTGTTTGGGGTTTTTTTCCCCCCATTCCTTCCATTCCCCACTATCCTGTCAGAGCTGAAGAAGCTTCTTGGATGAGAAGCAAAAGGTTTTCAAAGAAAAAAACAAGAAAGTCCAGTTGCACCTTTGGGACAACCATGAGCTGGATGACTGAGAATCTCTACAGACTTTTCTTGCAGACGTTTCATTACCCAAACTAGGTAACATCATCAGTGGCTGAACGGGCTATATTAATACGAACGCAGTATATTTCACACACAGCATATAATTTTTTTTTATATATATATATATATTCATCCTGTGATGATGATTTCTAGCAACAACACCTGCTCGTCACAGTGGGGAAGATCCACGCATCCCAAATCCGAAGACTATCCAAGTGGTTCTCAAGACGACCGCCGATTTAGGGAGGGAGGGAGCCGCGGAGGCTTTTGGCTTTTCCGCCAACCAAATGCTTGTCGATTGTCTCCCATAAACGAGCATCTGCAGCGGCGCCAAAAGGGACGGAGAGCGATATAAAGCGCCGGAGCGCTCTAAGCTTTGGAAACTCTCGGCTTTCCTTACCACGGAGCCTTGGAGACTTTCCAGATAGAGACGCATCCTTGAAGCCCGGGTTTCGCTTCTCTCCGGCGGGGCTCCGCCTTACTTCCCACCCATTTAGCCGGCTCTAGATCCGGTTCCCGTACAGCTCTGGCTGCCGATAAAGGTTCCGGGTCGGAGGCCTGATAAATGGGCGCCGCCGCTGGTCGCAGGAGGAGCAGTCGCCTTGTTGTGGCTGCCCGAGATGGATCGCCTTGAGTCGGGACTGTGAGGGCCGGTCGGAAGAAGAAGAGGCGGCTGAGGAAAGAGAGAGGCGGACGGGCTCGGCGATCCGAAGACGGGCAAACCCTGCCGCCAGGGCGGAACAAAAGCGGGGAGAAGGAGACGCACCGGAGCGCCCGCTCCGATCCTCACCCGGCTTCGTTCCCCGCATCTCCCGATTGCTATCCCCGTTGGAAGCCCGCCGCGGCTGTCCACCTTGTCCTCGGCGCCTGGAAAGCAGGCCGATCTCCCGGGAAAAGCGAGCTCGGTAAGGGGGGGGTGGTGACAGATAGACGGGCAGAGGTTGCCTCAGAAGCGCTGCGGAGTGGATGGAAGGTGAGAGGCGCCCAGAGCAGGTGTCTTATGTGGAGAAGGAGCGTTGCTGAGGGGAACTCGGGGCGCTTTTCCTCGTTCGTCCCCGGATAGGCCTGGGAACCGCAAAGCCTCGGTACCCCTTGTGTGCCGTTTGTACGAGAGGGATCTCTCCCTCCCGGTCCCCAGCTACTTTCTCATGCCCCTTTCGCTGTAGCTGCCGCTGGGAAGGAGATGCTTAAGGCCGGAGAAAGATCGCAAATCTCAGCAGCCTCTGGATAAAGCAGATTATCCTGGATGGTTAATAAAAAAACTGGCGAGGGAAAACAGTTTCCCCTAGCCGAAACTTCACTGCCGTTCAGGGATGGAAGGCGTCTGTGGAGGGCGTCTGTGGAAGGAGAGGGGAAGGTGGACATCCAGTCTGATGGAGGAAAGTCCGGTTCAGAAAATGCGGGGCTTCAGCTTTTGCCTTAGTGGGGTTAGCCTGACCTTTCCAAGCCAGCCCGGCTGGAATCCCTCCGGACTATTCTCGTAGGCAGTAACCCAGGGGAAGGGGAAGATTATTATTTTTTTTCCCCTCTAGGAAAATTCTTTATTTTTCAGCGTCAGTTTAGCGGGTAAAATTCAGATTTCCAAATCTATTTTGGCAATTTATAATGTAGGGTGGACAGGTTCTAATTGATTCTAATTAGCAACGAATTGAAGGATATGATCTTTTATAAAGAAAGATGTGCATCTAATTAGAGTAGCAGAAAGTTAATTTTCTGATGATAATGGGCTGCTGTCTGTGCAAGGATTGCTCAGAAATTATTATGTAAGGGGCTAGCGTAAATTGTTTTCCAGTTCTCTTTCCTACTTCTTTCTTGCAAAATTGGCCAGGTGACAGATTCAATTTACCTGTTAACTTTGGTTTTACTATGCGTACTAATTTTCAAAACCAACAAATCTAATTTCTCTCTATTACCTTATAGAATGGTTCAAGAAAATATTTTATTTCATTTTTTCTATTTCATTCTATTTCTATTGACAGGATTCAGATTGTGATTAGAGCTACCCTATTTGTATTATAGATCTACCTTAAGTATGCCCACTGTTTATAGAAACAGCTGTTAGACGTGAATGTGTTTAGTAGCATTATTCTCCACAAACGAAGTCTTAGGACAAGCCCTTAGATTTTAATCACTTAGACATTTAAATAGGATGTTCCTAAATTTAAAGCTGTCTTTAAATTCAGCTAGTAAATTTGAGAAATAAATGTTCAGCTAGCAAACCAAAAACAGAGAATGGGAAATTATGGCTAAAGGTGTGGGATTAAATTGAACCTTTTGTGTGGTTAAATCAAAAAAAGCCTTAGATGAAAAGCTTGAGAAATGAAAATGTTTTAGAAATTTCCAGCAAAATTGAATAGCTGTTAAGCATAATTGCATTTTAATTAGGTATTTTCCAAAGTACTGGAAGTAACTATATTACACATTTGTCCAACTAACTTATCTTTATCCAGTTATGAGTATTCTTTCGGCAAAAAAAATCAAACCATAACTGATAAAGAAAAAAGCAACAAAGTGCAGCAGACTGTAAACTAATCCTTTTTATGAGATGGTATAATATAACATTAGAAAAGACAACTAAAGCAACAAACCACATTCCTTTTATACAAAAGAAGACTCAGATTTATTTCCTATTACCATATAGTGGAGGTTATTGAAGTTTCAATAAGGGGTTGATTGTTAGGAAAAAAATTTCTTAATGATAGGTATAATTAAGCATATACCTATACTATGGGATTGCGGGGAATTTGGCACACCTTGGCAACTGAACAACAACATATTATGTATATCCATATACACCAATGGAAGTGTTAATTGCCTCTTCACTGGAGATGTTTAAGCAACTGATTATGTGCGTGCAAATGCCAGTTTATTGCAAATGCATTCACAAGTTTCTATAAAATTCTATAGTTTTATTTCAAACTATCTCAAGCCTAAATTGATTTATTGTGCCAATTGGGTTTTGATTTTGGGTTAGTGTTTTACTACCCTATTTTTCTGTCTTTTAATATTCTATAGCATGCAGAATCTTTAGGGACTGAAATGGGCACAAATAAATAAAATCTGTTGGGAACCATTTTAGTATGGATCTCGGACTTTAATGAGGTTGGATTCAGAAGTTCATATGGCCTTTCCAACTCTTTGACTCTACTATAATTTCATAAATAATTCTGAAGTAGTTTTGTTTCTAATACTTTTTCTTAAAAGGTAAGTAAGAAAAGGGGAAAAAATTTAAAAAGTGAGGGAGGAAAACAATAGCTAAGCCAGAGAAATAAATCATATATATTTTATTTACAAATTTAATTGCATATGTGTCTGTGTGTGTATAAACAATTTATATTTCTTTTGTAATTTTCAAAATTCATAAAGGCATCATTGCTTTTTAATGAAGACTGTATAGAAGAAGAAGATTACTGTTTATAAACTAGGCTTTTCAAAAGATCACTGCCCTTGAGTTTCAGCATATTGACTTGGATAATTGAAAATTAAGCACTTTGTTTTGCTTAAGATATTTTTAAAAATTAAATATGACACCTTACTTCTATACTTTTGTTTCCTTAAAGTACTATTTCAGAGCACAACAATTAAAGCTATAAACAAATGTCTTTCTGTTAGTGTTTAAGAAACTTTAGTAGTTAAAAGTGGCTGCTTTTGCTTCGTTTTACTGGAATAGATTATTAATAAAGCTATTAGAATGCAGAAGATCAGAGCTGTCCTTTTAGTTGAGTCTTCTTTTAAAGAAGTGAATCATATGACAGCACACTCATAAACAGTATGCACTGTTTAGCATGGAAGACATATTACACAGTTTTTCTTACCCAAAGCATATACTGATAATAGTTAGCTATCCTGTTGAACAATCTAAAACAGAGAAAGTAAAAAACTTCCTTTTTTATGATAATAAACATGATGAACTTTGAACTTGGAGGCTTTATCTGTTTCATGCTAACCAATGTGGAAAAAAATAGAACTGAGTACCTGGATAATGCATAAAAAGTGGGAAAGATATGCATCTTTACAGAATACAAACAAGGAAAGATTCTTCCGTCACAATTGTTGCTTTCCATGTTTATTTTTGATCACCAACATCTTGAAAATTTATCAGCATTCAATAGCATGTAATTTTTTTTTAAGCTTTTGTTGTACCAAGCACTGGATTAAAAAAAATTAAGGTCACTTTTCTGCTTTAAAAGTATATTTATAAAGTTGTTCAACTCAAATCATACCAACTTTTCAGAAAATTCAGAATTACTATTTTTAAAAAGCACAAAAACTGTTTTCTAATAAAATTTGATTTTTGAAACTAATGATTGGTTATTTGGCAGTCACATGAATAAATGTATTGAAACTGGTTCTCCTCAAGTTTATTGGAATGCACTTAAAAGGTACTTGCATTCAGGAACCCAATTTTTTTAATTATTACAAGTCTAAATTGTTTTCAGGTAGTCCTCAACTTAGAGCCACAATTGGGCCCAATATTTCCATTGTTAAGCAAGGCAATTATTAACTGAGTCATGCTTTATGATCTTTTTTGCCATGGTTATTAAACAAGTCACTGCATTTGTAATGTGAATCATGCAGTTGTTAAGCAATCTGGCTTTCCCCATTGGCTTTACCTGTTCAGAAGCTGGCTGAGAAGGTTGCAAAAAGTGCTGCAGCCATTGTAAATACATGCCAATTGCCCAAATTCTGATCATGCCACTGTGGGGATGCTGTGACCATTTAAATCCTTAAAGGATCATTTCTTAAGTGATCGCTTAAGTCACTTTTTCAATGCTGTTGTAATTTCAAATGGTTGTTAAATGAATGGTTGTAAATTGAAGACTACTGGTATTGAATCTTCAGTTTAGTAATATAATGCTGACTGAAAATGAATACTTTCTGATTAAGTGCTCAGAGGCTAATAATTTAAATATGGTATGTCTGCAAACTGCATATTTGAAGCTAAAAGTTCTTTTCACCAATAAATGCAGTGAAGTATCTACTGATTTATAAGATAATTCAAATTAGATATCCTACTTCAGACTATCTAGACATTTACAGTTAGAATATAAAATGTGCACAATTTATTTTTGTAAACTCCAATGTTTTGATCAGAACATGAGTTAAGCGTTACAATTTCTGTTTTAAAATACAAAATATACTAGCATTTTCAAACTTGCTTGAATTCTTAATTAGAATGAAAGATACAATTGCTAAGGAAAATTTATTGAAAAAGCATCTCTGATCTCAGCAGCCATCCTTTCAGCGGAAAAACTATTATATTAAAGTAGGCGGTTCCTGAAATTTGAAATGGTTTGTTGTATTTTTACAGAATAAATATGTCCCATCAGATAAATTGCCACCAGCTTAATATAACTACATCAAATTTGTACAATTTAGATGATTCCAAACTGTATGAAATTATTTTGGACTGAACATCTACAAAATCTTTTTCAGTGCTTGCAGTTTTTCTGGATATTTTTGAGCATGATACAGTGAGTACAATAATATGCTTTCCAAAGGATTTTTGTTTTCAAAACTAATAAGTGATAATACAAAACCCCCATTTTTCTTAATTAAAATGATACTTATATTTTCCCTATATTTAGTGATATTTAAAAGTTAAATAACTGCGAAGTATCACCTACTGATAAATTTGGAAATTATTTAAACTCTGTTAATACTTCCAGATTTAGCAATAAGTTAATGGAGAGTCCTTTATTGTTGGAGGTAAAAAAAAGCATAGAATACATCTTTGGTGTACTTTTATTACTATATAGATGTTTGTTTCTATTTCTAGAGGCAATCTGATATCACAATAAAAAATAAACAGCTTTAGTACATTATTATTCATTGGGCTTGTATTCTACTTTTCCACCAAGAAATGTGTTGATTACATTAGTTTATAGTAAAAAAAAAATCAAAC